CTGCCGCCGGATTAGTTTGTCCAACCATATATATTCCCCATCCTAACCCATGCCATTCCAACCCATCCCATCCCATCCCATCCTTACATCCTTCCGCTCTGTCTGCATCCGTATGCGCTTCCATTTGCTGTGCGAGTGGTTTATTTGTCCGCCTCTATTTGCCTTGATTTCATCTTTAATTCGGGCAACGCCTGGATGTCCATTCGTCTGCCGGTTTGTGTTTACGGCTTGTTTGCTGGCCAGCCCCTTATCAAAACATAATTCCCGGCTTGATGGATTCCCATTCTCTTCTCAGTCCGCCCATTTACAATGTCCGCGGGGCGTGGCCGGCAAATTGAATTTCATTGTTATGGCTACGGTAATTAATACGCACAAACACACGTGTCGGGGGAATGGAGTAGTCACACACACAAACACACACACACACACTCCACTCTGATATGCATACATGCACTTCCGGTCGCCGTTCGCTCCATAGCAGATTATGCATAATTACGGCCATATTTACCATGCCAGCAGCGATTTGAAAGCCAATGGGGTTAGTCAGTCAGTTGACCAGTCAAGAACTTATCTAGGTCGTAATTCTGTGAGATTAGCGCAGATACACAAAGGACTCAATAAATCACTAAAGCTTAAGAAAACAACAGATAAGTATAAAAGTAAATTAATATGTTAGGGTTATCTTACTAATATTGCTTTCGACAAGTTATTCAAGTACTTTCGATAAGGATATTCTACTGACTAGTATTTTATTATATCTATTTTATTATATCTATTTTTTTAAAATAATTTTTTTATAATTTTTTGGTAACTATGATTAAACCAGATTATTTTACCTAGCCATAACCATTTAACATAACTTTTGGCGAGGGTATACAAACAATTTTGTAAATGAATTAAAAGCCAATCGCTTTTCACACAAGCGCTCTTTTAAGCGTACTTAATTTCCACACAACTATTAGATGAAGTATTTTTTGGATGAAGTGCAGGATTTCGCATGAAAAGCACATTCACTGGCTTTCCCGAGAAGTGCAGATCAATTAGCCATTTTTTTGTGCTCGTTTCAAATCCTTTTTGAGCCGCAAGCATTTTCATGCTGTTTAATTGCTTGTGCTTTATTTGTGCACATGCTAGTATTTTGTTTTATGACACTGCCAGTCGAGAATTGACATCCTCCGCCAAAGAGCACAAAAGCCATAAATATCAAAAAAGAGCCCGAAAAAGCCGGGGACGTACAAAAAAAAAGGTGAAATGAAAGCCCAGCCAACTGACCTCAACAATGGCAATCAGTCGACGCGCTCTCTTCAATTATTTGCTTTTGACCCACAAAATGGACGACCGACTCGGCATGTTACCACGCCACTGGTGATGCGTTAAGTGCGGGGATGCTCCTCCTGCTCCTGGTCCTGCTCCTCCTGCTCCCCTTCTCCCCATTTCTGTTGCTGTTTCAGCTTCGCACGTATATACCATGGCCCAGAGCGAATAATCAGTTGGACCCAAACAGGCGGAGATGGCGGGTTTTATTTTTAATTAAACTGGCAGTCGCGATCTGGGCGGAGAGCTCATAAAGTGGGCAGCCCTTGTTGCCACATTACGCATACGCAACGTGTACGAGAAGAGGGGGAGTTTTAGGGAAAAGTGCAGCCGGGACAGCCAGAATGTGTTGAACATTTCTGTGGCCGCCATAAAAGGGTACGCAACCGGACTCGGGGATTCGCATTTGGATTCGCATTTGGATTCGCATTCGGATACGGATTCCCTCTAAAACGGCACGTTTTGTGCCGCAGTTCGTTAGTGTGAATGATGTGGGTGGAGCGAAAGAGGAAGACTCAAAAATTTAATTACTTTCACTTGTGCGAACTGTTTGTCTGCCAGTCAGAGAGGACGGCCAAAGGCATTTAACGTGAATGTAATGAAATAGCAGACGGACTGCGACTTGAACGGTCGTTGTGCCACGCACTTTGGCTGCCTTCCGTTTCCGTTTCCATTTCAGGAGTCCTGATCCCGGCTAGCAGCACTTCTTGTGCGGGTGGGTGGGTGTTATAGTCCGCCCTTCGCTCTGTAACGCATTATGCGGCAAGTTTTCTCGCCTGCTGTGCCACGTAAAGTGCAGCGTCTTTTTATTGCCACGTTGAGGTCCGTATTGCTGCTCCTTGGGGTCGGCAAACGTTAACAGGATTAAATGGCAACTGGGAACGTGTTTTGCTTGAGTGCCGTTTGCCCAGTTTTAGTTTGAGTTTCAGTTGTAATGCCATTTCCACTTCTCTCTCTCTCTCTTGCTGACATCCAAATCAATCATCCGCCATGTGGGCCGCGCAGTGTTTTAAATTTAAATTTTATGTATGCAGAGCCACGCAGGCGAAGCATATATTTTTAATTCACATCAGGGCACACGTGTTCGCAGCAGCACTGTACAGATTTTCCGATTGTGTATGTAAATATTTGCGCAATTCTAGAAATTTGTTTGACTGTTAAATCAAATGTAAATACGATATGTTTTCAAAGTCAACATGCAGCAATTGCAGCAAAAACAATGGCAATGGAAAAGGGGAAAACGTGAGCAGATTGAATACACATATCTGGTTGATGTGTAATTTAATTCAGATTTTACAGCATGTCAAGCGAGCGTTGTTTTATCTGTGTGACTAACAGGATTCATATTTCGAGCTTTCCCCTAGAATTTTGATCCCAGTCTGCCATTTGCCGATACGAATTCCGATCTTTGACAGCAACAGAACTGCCTCATTGCCCCGGAGTCTGTTATTTTGTGGGTGTTTTCTGGGGGGCCGACGTTATTTCCTGTTTGCCCTCCTTTTGCTCGAACTGCAGGAAGGCGACCACAGTTCGTTTACGGTGCGTATGAGTGACATTGATTGGAGCACTGCACTGGCAAACAAACTGTGTGGTCGGGCTTCCTTTTTTCGCCTTTTCTGCTTCCTGTAAGTGTGGCCCATGATTGCCATGCTCTGCTGCACTTTCGGGAACTAAATCAAAAAAACGTTTGCAGCTTGATAAATATGTAATTTGCAATTTTGGCCAAAACAACACGCAGCAGTAAAGCAAAACCAAAGCAGGAGTAACCAAACCGAAGAATACCCACATATTCAGCTGCTTCTGTAATGGTGTTTTCGTAGTACAGTGAGTACTTTATGGACAGAAGCCTTTGTTACCAGGGACATGTTCAGATTTATCAAGATATGAGCTACGAATTTAGTTATCTTGAAACTTTTTAAAGAATTTAATCCTTTAGACAAGCTGAAAATCTAGAAAGATAAATTCAATTTATCTGAGCATGCAAAGCTTGTAGTTTAGAAGATGAAACACTTTTATAAATTTGTAGAATGAATAAGCATTTGAGACCATAAAATCTATCTTTACATAAAATCTACAATGAATAAACATTTAAGACCATAAAATCTACTTCCCAATACAGGATTGTTTTTTCATTTAATAAATAAAGAGAGGAGTATCTTTATCAAGATACGAGCTACGAATTTAGTTATGTTAAAACTTAAAGAATTTAATCCTTTGCACAAGCATAACATCTAGAAAGATAAATTAAATTTATTTGAGCATGCCAAGCATATAGTTTAGACCATGATACACTTTTATAAATTTGTTGAATGAATAAACATTTGAGACCATAAAATCTACTTGCCAATACAGGATTGTTTTTCCATTTTAATTACTCCTCTCTTTGAACGGCCCTGAAAATGTATGTTTATTACCCAAAGGATGTGTGCAGTAGAGCCAATTGGCATGCGTTCGTTCCAAGTGGGCATGGATTTTACGGCCTGCACTCCCATTTGCACTGACCCACTTAGACCCACAGTTGGACTCAAAGATGATTGGTTTTGCCGCTCCAGTTGTAATAATCAAATTGCCAACACCCGTATCTGCATCTGCACATCGGAGCTTCCGAGATTCCGAGCTCCCGAGTAGGAAACTCGGAGATGGACAGCAGCAGGTGGAAAACGGGGGAAAAAGCGGAAAAGGATGGAACATCCAGAGGAGGAATATGGGCCACGTTGAGCGGCCTTCAGAAGTCAAAAGGCGTTAACGTTAATGCCACCCTATCACGAACTGGCTGGGATCCGGGATCTGGGATCCACGGCCACTCGAGCAGGCTCCACTGTGCCAGCCGTGTAAATAGCATGAATGCAATTTTATTTTATTTATGTTTGAATTAAGCAGAGCTCCGTGCAGCCAACCAGCAGCATTTCACCATTTCAGCAGGAGCACTCAGACAGTCTTTATAGGCAAATGAATTGCTCTAACCGGCGCTTGTTTGCCTGTGAAATGTTTTGACATGAAAAATAAAGATTGATGTTGGCAGTGTCGAGGGAGGGCTTAAAACGATCTGCTTTAAATATTCGCCAGTCGGAGAAAGGCCATTCCATTTCAATGTGTAGGGTCTGCATCCTTCGGTCTGGGCCAGTATTTATTTCACTGGGCAAACGCACTTAATTAATTTTGTTTAACATGTCTGAGGCAGACAGGGCAACAATTTCATATTTTGCTTGTTAACTGTTATCGTTGTTGCTGCCGTTTTTACTGCCCAGTGGCCACATGGGTGCCCTTCCCTTATGCACATTGCGTATACGCCATGTGAGCGGTGGGCGGTGGGCAAACAAAAGCATCAGCTGGTCGGGAATGTTCTGGTAGTCCGGTTGTCCTGCTGTCCTGCTGTCCCGCTGATGCACTGATTAAATGGATATGCAGAGTGTGTCTATCCGACTGCCCGGCGAAATAACTGTCAGAACACCACGGCTTTATATCCTGGCCAGTAGATGTTGTCAGTGCGAGGCATAAATTACCAGCTGGGCGCATTGGCCCGCCAGCTAACCAACCGCTCTGCTCGCTGAGCCACATGAAATTTCAATTAAAATAAAAATTTATACGCTTTTCGCCCTGTCGCTTATAATTAAAAACAATTTGTAAGTTATGGTAGCAGTGCTATAATGCCCCTAATTTAAATCGCTTTATCTCCGGCCTTGCAGGCGGTTTCATGGGCGACATTGCCCTGCCGGAGGGCGACTCCGGCCCGCCGGTGGTGGCCCACACGCCCACCGACGAGGAGGAGGAAGAGGAGCAGCTGCTGGCCGACGCCCCAGAGCAACTTTCCGCCTCCGTTTCCGCCTCCTCTCCAGCCACAGGACCAACCAAGTTCAATGCAACCTTCCAGCTGGATCTGGAGAAGCTCAAGCAGGAGGTCTACCACGAGGGGCTTCAAGTGGAGGAGGAGGGCCTCACCGACATCATCCGCAAGAAGACCAAGCTGCCCAGCTCGGGTCCGGTCAACCTGAAAGCCGCACAGAGCCAACTGGAGACTCAGGTAAGTTGTACAATAATCAACATGACAAATAAAGGAGTATGCGCTGATTATTGTTAAGTAATTAAAAGATGTTAATATGGCCACTTAATTATGTCCTTAATATGACTTTGCAAAATGGTGACCTAGTCCGGCGCCTTTTGAAACCCTTTTCCAAAAATGATGCAGATCTATTGTATAGATGTGTAGGTTTCACAAAGACGTCTTATTGATTCAGTAAGTGGTCGCAGCTAAAGTGAGTTTATTCTTTTTCAAATTATGCGTGTGAAGCCTATTTCACAACCGATCGTACGACCGAGATAGACATAGTGTTCGGTTGACAATAGGTTTCGCACAAGATTAAAAGAGATATATATAGGATATAATAATTGTGGGACGTATCTTAGAGTATGTATGTACAATAGGATCCTGAGTACTTAAGTGTAGGTGTGTATGTACATGTGTCATACACTACAGATGCCAGCTGCCCAAAAACAGTCTGTCCTGTAGGTTCGTGTATTTATATGTCCAAACCCCTTTAAAAATGTAGGAAAATCAAACCAGTCTTGTATTTTTTGAAGCAATAAATTAAATATAAAATAAATTACAATTGCCCTGTCAATTAGTCCTCTTTAAAGTTTATATTTCTTCGATTTTGTAGAGTGTCAATGAACCCGTGAAGCCCGGTTCGCAGTCACCCTCCGATTATGCCCAGTCTGCCAGCTACAAGAACGAGGTGCTGCCGCCTTCTGAGCAGCGCACCCACATTATTGACAAGCCAGCCAGGTTGACGCTGGCCGAGATTGGCTTCAAGCCGAGCAACAAAACGCAGGCACTGCATCGCAATGTGGACGCTCGCAAGATTCAGTCGGACAACAAGGACATCGAGGACGATTCGGGCAACAACTTTGTGGCCGAGCGGAGGCCATCGCAGATCGTGCCCACTTCCCTGCCGGAGCAGCGTTCCACCCCCGCCCACGTCTACAGCAATGCGGGGGGCAACGGGATGCAGCTCACCGACGAGGTGGACTTCCTCCATTCGCGAGGAGTTGTGAGGCGCCGCCACAGGCGAGGACCCAAGCAGAGGTAAGTGACATATTCACCTTAAGGTCTTAAATAAATACTCTTAAATCAAAAGACATTCCATAAGCTTTAAATGTTTAATTTTCCGATATATGAATAATGCGGAAATATTGAAAGCCGTTGATTAAATAAATACTCCAAAATCAAAAGACCTTCCCTAAGCTTTAAACATTTGATATTCCGATATATAATGGGGATGATTAGAAATAATATATACCAAACTTTGTGTAGAACATATTATATTTAATAATCTGCTTTATGAAATGCCACATTTAATACGTATTTATTAAACATTTTGAATCTCAATACAATTTAGCCATTTTATCTCAAATTTAAAGCTTAAATTCATAAATATATAAGTGTCACAGAGAACTAATTTCATTTCGTATAATGTCAGTAGTAAAATTTAGCTGCCTAATTAACTACGAAAACACAGTTTATTAGGTCAACTAAAATGGTTTAATTACCGAAATTTGATTTGTACGTCAGAGTAAAATGGCGAATCGCATTTCATTTATATTAATTTACATTCGTTTTAATTATGAGTCATAATTTATGATGTGCACATGTAGTTGTGTACTTTCTTTGCCTCGCTGTGCGTCTATTCAAATTTATTATTTTCCATTCTCAACCGCAGACGCAGCAACCAGCATTCGGAGCACGAGGCCAAGCTGCAGAGATTGCGGGAGGAGCTGAGCCGACCCGTGGTCGAGGGGCACCACCGCCAGTCGCACCACCAGAAGCAGCAGCAGCAGCAGCTGCAGCACCACCAGAGCAAACATCGCAAGAAGCACCGCTCGCATCGGCAGCACCGTCGACGAGGTCAGGGCACCACGCAGTATGTGAACCATTCCCCGCCAGGATTCAATCAATCCACGCCTGAAATGGATTTGCTGAACGCGGAGTAAGTCCAGGGAATCCCCCCTCTCTCACCACCACCAATGCCACACCACCACCACCACATCCGTTTCCGTTTCCGTTGCCATTTCCCGGCCCACTGTAAATTGCTGGCCATTTTCATTCAGAGGTTTTTCGGCATAAACTTTAAACAAACAGCAGCCATTTTGGCAACTCACACACACACACAAACAAAGGCTTATTCACACACACATGGCTCATTGTGCGGTTGTGTGTGTGTGTTTGTGCATGCTAAAAGTTATGAATTTTAATAGAAATTCGCGTGCCAAAAGTTGTGCCATACAACAACAACAGAGAAAAATGTATGCAAAACTGTTGGCAATTAAAATTACGCGTACGCCACGTGAAAGTTTTCCGCCCACCGCGTTGCACAATCATTCGCATCTAACAAGCCAACCGCTTTCTCTTTTTCTTTTCAGGACTCCCAAGGATGAGGAGCAGCTGCGTCATCGGGTGGCTCGCGCCGTCACCGCCAAAAAGGAACGCATCTGGGACTACGGCGTGATTCCCTACGAGATCGACGGCAACTTCAGTGGCATCCACAAGGCGCTCTTCAAGCTGGCCATGCGCCACTGGGAGAACTCCACGTGCATCAAGTTCGTGGAGCGCGACCCGGAGTTCCATCCCAACTACATCGTCTTCACTGTGCGCAGCTGCGGGTGAGTTCAGGGGTCCTAAATATAAACAATAACTATAAAAACTATAAATTTAAACTTTTTCATTTTATTTACCAAATTGTATTTATTAATTATAATAGTAAGCTCCCGTTTTTACCTTTGCAACTTATAATATACACCCATAGAAAATATAGAAAATTTCCTTAAGAGTTTCAAACTGGCGTACATTTCCTAGAAAAAAGTACCTTAAACATAAGCCTAGCTTATTAATATTAATATAAATTACCTTATAGTTAAGTCAATGCAATATATTGCTAAACTTGAAATTAGTCTGCTTTCTGGGTGTAGTTTCCTTTTATTTAACGAAATTATAAATCTAGAAGATTTGGATTTATTAGACTTTATTTTACACCACCAGCAAATCAATTTTGATGGTGTTTGGTTTTCAAGAATAATGTTTTCTTAACCGCACATTAGATTTTACTTGGAACCAATTCTCCTGTGAGTTTTGGTGCCAGCAATAAAATAATGTTTAATTGACTTAACTATTCTGTCTTTCTTGCCTCTTTTCCCCACCAGATGCTGCTCGTTTGTGGGCAAACGCGGTAATGGACCCCAGGCCATCTCCATCGGCAGGAACTGCGACAAGTTTGGCATCGTGGTGCACGAACTGGGGCACGTGGTGGGCTTCTGGCACGAGCACACGCGTCCGGATCGGGAGCAGCACGTGGTGATCGAGCACAACAACATCATGAAGGGCCAGGACTACAACTTCAACATGCTGTCGCCGGACGAGGTGGACTCGCTGGGCATGGCCTACGACTACGACTCGATCATGCACTACGCGCGAAACACCTTCTCCAAGGGCACCTACCTGGACACCATCCTGCCCATCGAGATGAAGGGCCGCAAGAGGCCGGAGATCGGCCAGCGACTGCGCCTCAGCCAGGGCGACATTGCCCAAGCCAACCTGCTCTACAGGTGCCCCAAGTGCGGCCGCACCTTCCAGGAGAGCTCGGGCATCTTCGCCACGCCCTCTTACTACACGGCCGGAGCCCTGACCAACGAGACGGAGCACTGCGAGTGGCGGATCACGGCCACCTACGGGGAGCGGGTGGAGCTGAAGCTGGAGAGCATGGTAATGGAAACGAACCCAATAATACCTTAACTAAATGATTTAGAATTTGCGGTTTAATTTAAGGAGGATATTTGGAAATTTTATGGGCAATTCCAAATTTCCGAGAAACTTCTTTACTTTACTTACTTCACTTTTTACCATGAGCAAATTTTACATAAATAGTTCTTCATAGTTAAGTGGGATGACCCTTATATGTATTTTCCATAGAACATTTTAATTTCAGTTGAATATTTGAAACTTAGCTATAAGCAAATTATACATTTTATATATCTTCATAGTTAAGTTGTATGACAATAATGTGTACATATTTCCCATAGAACATCTTCAAGTCGAACAACTGCGAGACGGACTACCTGGAGATTCGGGACGGCTACTTCGAGAAGTCGCCGCTCATCAAACGCATCTGTGGCAAGGTGGACAAGGACGTGATCCGCACGGAGACCAGTCGCATGCTGCTCACCTACGTAAACACACGCCGAATTGAGGGCTTCAGGGGCTTCAAGGCGGAATTCGATGGTGAGTGGGAAATGGGAAAACGGAGAACGGGGAAAGTGGTCCTTGGCAGTGCCTGACATTCCATTCCGATAGTTGTCTGCGGTGGCGAGCTGTCCGTGGACGAGGCCGTGAGTCGCCTGGAGTCACCCAACTACCCGCTGGACTACCTGCCCAACAAGGAATGCGTGTGGAAGATAACAGCTCCGGAGAATCACCAGGTGGGTGCGGAAGTTGACTATTGTCTATTTAAACAGGAAAGGGAACCAACTTCAGCCAGCCGGAGTTTATACACACCTAGTTTTGCAATATTTTTTTTAATAAATACGCAATTTAAAGAGTATAAAAGCGCAGTCATTTAAATGTATGCCACTTTAAAATCCGATTTCTGTAAGAAAAGTTATGGGCTTAGAAATGCAGTTTTTTGGACACTTTTCTGCAAAGCCATTTTTCGCAAATTTGGAAAGGGGTTACATACATTGTAAAAATGATGAAAAATCGACCCAAAAATAAAAAAAAAGTTAAGTACACAGATTTTTAGAGAATTTAACCAGGGTCATTTAGAGGTATGCCATTTTAAAATACGATTTCTGCAAGAAAAGTTATGGGCTTAGAAGTGCAGGTTTTGGACAGTTTTTTGCGAAGCAATTTTTTGAAAATTTGGAAAGGGGTTACATTGTAAAAATGATGAAAAATCGACAAAAAAAAAAAAAGTTAAGTACACAGATTTTTAGAGAATTAAACCCGGATTATTTAGAGGTAAGCCGCTTTAAAATTCGATTTCTGTAAGAAAAGTTATGGGCATGGAAGTGCAGTATTTGGACACTTTTCTGGAAAGCCGTTTTTCGAAAATTTGGAAAGGGGATACATACAGGAAAGTTATGGGGTAAGAAGTGCATGGTTTGTCGGAAGATTGTATTCCATTGTTCTTGTCCATTGTTTTATAGGTCTATTTTAATTTCGACAGTGTATGGCTTAGTCTTCTCCAAATAAAACCGCAACATAGACCCCTGTTAATTAATACCCATTGGCTTCCAGGTGGCGCTGAAATTCCAGTCCTTCGAGGTGGAGAACCACGACAGCTGTGTCTACGACTACGTGGAGGTGCGCGACGGTCCTGTCCAGGACTCGCCGCTAATTGGCGTTTTCTGTGGCTACAAGCCGCCGCCGAACATGAAGTGAGTGCCACTGAAGAACTGAAGGGGAATCCCCGCCCGTCCCCGTCTCCCCGCCCCTCTAAAAAGGAACTCTGCCTTTGTTCGCCTCCCTTTTCAGGTCAAGTGGCAATTCGATGTTCGTGAAATTCGTGTCGGACACTTCGGTGCAGAAGGCGGGCTTCTCCGCCGTGTTCATGAAGGAGGTGGACGAGTGCGAGACCCAGAACCACGGCTGCGAGCACGAGTGCATCAACACGCTGGGCGGCTACGAGTGCAGCTGCCGCATTGGATATGAGCTGCACAGCGACAAGAAGCACTGCGAAGGTGGGTTGGCTGCTCGAAAGTGAATTGAGATCTAGTTATTTTCATTTGAAGATTATAATACTTGCAAAACCAATGGCCTATTTTAAACATTCACCACAAGCACAGGGGGACATTTTTTATACCCTTGCAGAGGGTATTATAATTTCAGTCAAAAGTTTGCATATATATTCTTGATTAGCATCACCAGGAGAGTCAATCTAGCCATATCCGTCTGTCCGTCCGTCCGTCTGTCCGTTTCTACGCAAAATACTCCTAGTCTAGAGGAGACTAGTCAAAGTACATTACATGTATTCCGTAGTGCTAAGTAATTGCCACCACAGATCCTAGCTGATTTGCTTCGAGTTTCAAGTGCCTAAAACTAATATTGGATCGCGACCTAGTTTTAAAGCTATCGGCTTGAAACTTTCCTAAAAGTTGTCTTTCTATAGCAGGTAGTATATAAGTCGGAACGAGCCGGATCGGGCGACTATATCATATAGCTCGCATAGGAATAATCGAAAAAAAAAATTCAAAAAAATTATAACTTTGTGGATTTTAATATTTTTTGTTGTTCTTTGGGACTTGGTAATATTTAAATATTATGGAATTACGGTTTTAATTAACTTAAAATAGGACAGCAATATCATATAGCTGCCATAGAAACGATGGCCAACTGCAGCTCAAAATCGACATAGCATCATTGTTTTTAGTAATATAGGCTTCCTTTCTTGTTCTTTATAAAATCCAGTTGTTATTTAAAAGCAAAACCGTTTAGTAAATTTTGTTCATTTTTAGCAAAATTGTGGTTAAAGTTTCTACTTAACTTCAATTATTTACAAGATTTAAGGACGCAGTTCTAAAGTCCCCAAACCTTCCTTCCTTTCTCTTCAAGATGCCTGTGGCGGCGTCATCGAGTATCCGAATGGCACCATCACCTCGCCCTCCTTCCCCGAGATGTACCCCCTGCTGAAGGAGTGCATCTGGGAGATTGTGGCCCCGCCCAAGCACCGCATATCGCTGAACTTCACCCACTTCGACCTGGAGGGCACGGCGCACCAGCAGTCGGACTGCGGCTACGACTCGGTGACCGTGTACTCGAAGCTGAGCGAGAACCGGCTGAAGAGGATCGGCACCTTCTGCGGCTCCGCCATTCCGCCGGCGGCCACCTCCGAGGGCAACGCCCTGCGCCTGGAGTTCCACTCGGACAAGTCCATCCAGCGGTCCGGCTTCGCGGCCGTCTTCTTCACGGACATTGACGAGTGCGCGGTGAACAATGGAGGATGCCAGCACGAGTGCCGCAACACCATCGGATCGTACATCTGCATGTGCCACAACGGGTACTCCATGCACGAGAACGGGCACGACTGCAAGGAGGGCGAGTGCAAGTACGAGATCTCCGCCGCCTTCGGCACCATCTTCAGCCCCAACTACCCGGACTCCTATCCGCCGAACGCCGACTGCGTCTGGCACTTCATCACCACCCCTGGCCATCGCATCAAGCTGATCTTCAACGAGTTCGACGTGGAGTCGCATCAGGTGAGCAGCTCCAAAGGAGCTTGTGGAAGAGATTCTAAAACGAATACCATATAGGGAAGGGTGGAAAAGATCCACCATTTGGATTTCTTATTAGTTTATTTTATAATTTTATTTTTGGAATCTTTAGAAATAATTTGTCAATACACGAAAACAAGGTCCCTCCTTGTGTAGCGTATTCAACAATCTAAAAAAAAAAAAAATTATTATTATTAAGATGATAGTAAAGTTTACAAAACTAAGACCAACATAAGGGGTGTAGTGCTAGATGCTAACAATATTTTAAATTTTGATTTTTGATTTTAGATTTCGTTTGTATAAATTGTTTTTTTTTTAGGAAATTTATGATCGGTTTTTTATATTTTCTGATGTTGTGTTCTTAAGGTGGCTAGGCGATTTTTAAAGAAATGTTGCTTTTCTTGTGTAATTGCATGGATATAGAATGTGTTCCATGTTTAAAGAAGTTTATATCCACAATGTTGTTTCTAGGTATTCTCCTATTTAAAAAAAAAAAGCTTAAGATAAATAAATAGAGTAGACAGACTTAAAATGTGTTTTGCTCTATAATTAAATAAATAAAAGATATATTCAATTAAGCTACTCAGAATCTGTATCATTCAAAAGTATCTGTTTATACTTTAGTTAGAACGTTACCTTTCAGGGTGTTTTCAAGACTTTAATTTAAATTAAATTATTGCAGGAGTGCACATACGACAACGTGGCAGTTTACGATGGGGAATCCGAGTCGAGCTCCGTGCTGGGTCGGTTCTGCGGGGACAAGATTCCCTTCCCCATCTCCTCCACCTACAACCAGATGTACATGGTGCTCAAGACGGACAAGAACAAGCAGAAGAGCGGCTTCACGGCCTCGCACTCCACAGGTAGGGTGTTGTGAAACTTAAGCCAGTAATCCTGGACCAGTAATGGACCTCCTCCATTCATCTGCAGCCTGTGGGGGCTACCTGCGAGCCACCAGCCAAGTGCAGCAGTTCTACTCCCATGCCCGCTTCGGGAACATGGACTACGACGACAGCATGGACTGCGAGTGGACCATCGCGGCTCCGGACAACAGCTACGTCCAGCTCATCTTCCTCACCTTCGACATCGAGAGCAGCGAGAACTGCACCTTCGACTACGTACAGGTCTTCTCCGATATAGACGACGTCTATGGACAGTACGGACCCATGTACGGACAGTACTGCGGCAATGTGGTAGGTGTAGTTACCTCTTTTAGTAGTCCTTAATCTCAGATTGCTCAAAATGACAGGGAAAATACAAAGTACTTATGTTTTGTATTAAAATGTTTTCTCCAAACTACATTTTTCGAGACATTGGAAATGATTTTTAAAAAAATTCAAATTAAATACAATTTTTACAAAGTCAATGATTTAAAAAAGAATACTGTCTAATTTATGAACTTAAAACTTGAAAGGATTTCTATTTGCTTAAACAGTTTGGAAATACTGTCTAATTTATTAACTTAAAAGGATTTCTACTTGCTTAAACAGTTTGGAAGTCTACTTTAAATTAAATTAATTAATTTAAGAACTGAATCATTACCACCATCTACAAAATACAGCTGACATTACGTATACTAAATAGTAAGATACCTCCAATCCACCTTTCCAATCCATTACAGCTGCCCCAGGACATCAACTCGATGACGCACTCGCTGCTGGTTCGCTTCAAGACGGATGCCTCGGTGGCGATGAAGGGCTTCTCGGCCTCGTATGTGGCAGTGCCCAACTCCGGGGAGTACGACCACTCCGACGAGGATGCGGAGAACTCGTACAGCTCCGAGATGGTGACCCCCTTCCCGGGCTCCCTGAAGAGCATCTACATCGAGGACACGCAGGAGGAGACCGACGAGTACGGGGACGTGAGCGAGAACCGCCTGGTTTTCAATGGGCAGTATCGTCCTTACAGTCTACCGCATCGGTACTACTCCGGAAAGGCATAGAGCGCTCGGCAGGAGCCAAAATTCATGACAATATATTAAAACGGAATTTATTTAACAGATTTAGGCATATCGTCGCGTGCGTAAAACAAACTTTCTCGATCTTCCACGCGCACAGGACTTAATCAAGGACCTCGTCTAGGTCGCGATCCAATATTAGTTTTAGGCACTCGAAACTCGAAGCAAATCAGCTAGGATCTGTGGTGGCAATTACTTAGCACTACGGAATACATGTAATGTACTTTGACTAGTCTCCTCTAGACTCTGTAGCTAATGTGCAACCTTCTCTTGCATTTCACTGCTGTTACTCTGAAGCATTTTTCCCCTTCAATTTATATATTTCATTGTGCCACACAGCAATGTGCAGCGCACTTCGTTAGGCATCTTAGCATAAGTCGATGGGGCAGCCCATATCAAAGTCGGAACGAAAATTAGGATAGGACATATCTTCGGAGGCACCGAAAGTGGAGGGTCCTGGCAGAGGATCACACTGAACTTTTCACGCATGCATATGTACAACTCTCGGATATTTGACTCAACTTAATACGTAATTAAATCTATATATACATACTATTAAAACTTGCATAGTAACTATGTTTTAAAACCAAAACAAAATGAGTTTGAAATGGGTTTGTAGATGGGTTTATGACTCGAGTTCACATTGCCATTCGCAGGCAGAAGCGCCATGGCTCTTGAATAGCATTCGGAGGTGGAATTACCGCGAAACGATTCGTTCATGCGGGGGATTTGTGCCTTTATGATCATTAATGACCTGCCCTAAAAGGCCCGAGCCCAACACCTGATCCTGATCCGGGCAAATGCCCCTGAGCCAGGCCAGCGCCCCAGGTAGATGGTCGCTGGTCAATGTCAAGGTGCGCATCGCGCAGGGAAACCCAAATCAAAATCCATTGAATGCAGACAGGCAGAGACAATGGATGGGATGGTCAGCCCGAATCGCTTCTCCCTCCTCCTTTCTTTCCCTTAAGAGCTCTACCGAGTCCCTTTGAGCGGTCAGTCAAGATTCCTTCTCGCGTTCCCTCGCCTCGCCTCCCTCTGCCCAACCAGTCTGGGATCTTACCTGCTCGATCCACGGATCCCTTGTCGCACCAGTATAATTCGGCAATCGCGGCCCACGAGCGCTCAGTTAGAACTTTGAACTGGTTGAAGCAACTTCGAGGAACGAGCCCCCAGAAACACCTACGAAATGAAAACGAAAGCGAAATTACTTGTACTCTCTGTGGGAGCCACGCTATTAATATTGCTGTTGGATTTCGCGGAAGGCAGGCGACTGAGTAGTCAGCTGCCCGAGGGCGAGTGCGACTTTGACTTTAAGGAGCAGCCGGAGGATTTCTTCAGCATGCTGGATGCCCTGCCGCAGGTGAGTGGTGAAGTGGTGGCATCACGTGGCGGAGATGCGATGCCAAAGGAGCCAAGGGATTCAAAGGAGCACAGACAGTTTTCGGGGTAAGTTGCACAGGGATTAGTCCCACACAATGGCGCACAATTAGGCGGGCCACTTGGCCTTTGGGCCAGCACGTAAGCAATACCTGAGCTCATAAGCCGTCTGCCCATCCACCCCACTTTCCCCCACCCAGAAAACGCCGGAAGCAGCCGCAATCGCGAAGCAAAGCCAGGCTGAGATTACCCCCGCCACTTCTCTGGACAGACGACGTAGGAGATGTCATCCAAGCCTCCAGTCGGAATCAATTTTCCAGCGGAAGGCAGCGCAGGGCTGTCACTGTGCGAAGGGAGCGCACCTGGGACTACGGAGTCATCCCCTACGAGATCGACGGCATCTTCAGTGGAGCCCACAAGGCGCTCTTCAAGCAGGCCATGCGCCACTGGGAGAACTTCACCTGCATCAAGTTCGTGGAACGCGATGCCAGTCTGCATGCCAACTACATATACTTCACTGTGAAAAATTGCGGGTAAGAGTGGATTATATAATTTCCCTTCTTTTGAGATTTATATATACTTTCCCCCCTCAGTTGCTGTTCCTTTCTGGGCAAGAGCGGCAATGGTCGCCAACCCATCTCCATTGGACGCAATTGCGAGAAGTTTGGCATTATAATCCATGAACTGGGCCACACCATTGGCTTCCACCATGAGCATGCTCGTGATGACCGGGACAAGCACATCATCATCAACAAGGCGAACATCATGCGGGGCCAGGAGTACAACTTCGATGTCCTGTCGCCGCAGGAGGTGGACTTGCCACTGCTGCCCTACGATCTCAACTCCATCATGCACTATGCCAAGAACTCGTTTTCGAAGAGCCCCTACCTGGACACCATCACTCCGATTGGGATTCCACCCGGAACCCCGCTGGAGTTGGGTCAGCGAAGGCGTCTCAGCCACGGGGACATTGTCCAGGCCAATCTCCTGTACAAATGCGCCTCCTGCGGACGCACCTTTCAGCAGAACTCCGGCAGTATTGTCAGTCCCCACTTTGTTTACTCGCCAAATGGTGTGCTCGGCGACTTCGAGGGTAGTGGAGATGGCGGCGAAGCTGGAGAGGATTCCCCTCCGGCATCCGAATTCGATGCCTCCCTGACCAACTGCGAGTGGCGCATCACGGCCACCAATGGCGAGAAGATCATCCTGCATCTGCAGCAGCTGCAGCTGATGAGCTCCGAGGACTGCACGCAGGATTACCTGGAGATCAGGGATGGCTACTGGCACAAGTCGCCGCTGGTCAAACGCCTCTGCGGAAATGCCAGCGGGTTGGTCATCACCACCCAGACGAGTCGCATGCTCCTCAACTACGTGAACCGGAATGCGGGCAAAGGTTATCGAGGGTTTAAGGCGAAGTTCGAGGGTGAGTTTTTGACCTCTGAGAAAAAAGGGAGTTTAAAAAAATCAGCACAACAATTACAAGAAATTTATAAGATGTTAAGATCACTTTAAATACACCCTTTAAATACACCATATTATTGTATAACAATATTTCATATCTACGTTCATTTCCCAGTGGTTTGTGGAGGTGACATCCTGCTGACCAGGGATCAGTCCATCGACTCGCCCAACTATCCGCTGGACTACATGCCCGACAAGGAGTGCGTGTGGCGCATAACTGCTCCCGAGAATCACCAGGTGGCCCTGAAGTTCCAGAGTTTTGAGCTGGAGAAGCACGATGGCTGTGCCTACGACTACGTGGAAGTGAGAGATGGGAATCACAGTGAGTCCCGGCTGATAGGACACTTCTGTGGGGACAAGCTGCCGCCCAATATAAAGTAGGTCCACATGATCATGTTTATAAGAAGTCTCTTAACTAACAACTTTTAATTAACAACCATTCAGAACCCGCGGTAATCAGATGTACATCCGTTTTGTATCCGATGCTTCGGTGCAAAAGCTGGGCTTCTCCGCCGCCTTGATGCTGGATGTGGACGAGTGCAAATTCACGGACCACGGATGCCAGCACCTGTGCATCAACACCTTGGGCAGCTATCAGTGTGGCTGCCGGGCGGGGTATGAGTTACAGGCCAATGGAAAGACCTGCGAGGATGCCTGCGGCGGAGTGGTGGATGCCAGACGGTCCAATGGCTCACTCTTCTCACCCTCGTATCCGGATCTCTATCCCAATTCCAAGCAGTGCGTTTGGGAGGTGGTTGCTCCGCCGAACCACGCGGTCTTCCTGAACTTCACCCACTTCGATTTGGAGGGCACGCGATTCCACTACACCAAGTGCAACTACGACTATCTTATAATCTACTCCAAACTGAGGGATAATCGGCTGAAGAAGATCGGTATTTATTGTGGGCATGAATTGCCCCCAGTGGTGAACTCCGAGCAGAGTGTCCTTCGGCTGGAGTTTTATTCGGATCGCACAATACAGCGGAGTGGATTTGTGGCCAAGTTTGTGATAGGTAATATTAAGTAGAGCTTCTGTTTACCAGTTCTTATTATAATTCCCAACCCCCAGATGTCGATGAGTGCTCCATGAATAATGGTGGCTGCCAGCACAGGTGCCGGAATACCTACGGATCCTACGTGTGCAGCTGCCGGAATGGATACACTCTGGCCGAGAACAGGCACAATTGCACGGAGACGCGTTGCAAGTTCGAGATCACCACCTCGTACGGAGTGCTCCAGAGTCCGAATTACCCGGAGGACTATCCCCGCAACATCTACTGCTACTGGCACTTTCAGACCGTTTTGGGCCACCGGATTCAGCTGACGTTCCACGACTTTGCGGTGGAGAGCCACCAGGAGTGCATCTACGACTACGTGGCCATCTACGACGGTCGCTCCGAGAACAGCTCCACCCTGGGCATATACTGCGGTGGGCGGGAGCCCAACGCCGTGATCGCCTCCTCCAACGAGATGTTCATGGTCCTGGCCACGGATGAGGGTCTGCAGAGGAGGGGCTTCAAGGCCACCTTCGTTTCGGAGTGCGGGGGCTATCTGAGGGCCACCAACCACTCGCAGACCTTCTACTCCCATCCGCGGTACGGAAGCAGGCCGTACAAGCGGAACATGTACTGCGACTGGCGCATCCAGGCGGATCCGGAGAGCAGTGTCAAGATCCGGTTCCTGCACTTCGAGATCGAGTACTCGGAGCGGTGCGACTACGACTACCTGGAGGTCACCGAGGAGGGCTCCTCGATGAACACGATCCACGGCAGATTTTGCGGCAAGCACAAGCCGCCGATCATCGTTTCCAATTCGGACACCTTGCTGCTGCGATTCCAGACGGACGAGAGCAACTCCTTGAGGGGCTTTGCCATCTCCTTCATGGCCGTGGATCCGCCGGAGGACTCCGCCGGGGAGGACTTCGATGCGGTCACCCCCTTTCCGGGCTACCTCAAGAGCATGTACTCATCGGAGACGGGCAGCGAGCACCATCCGCACGGCCACCTCCTTCCGCCCAGCAGGCTGGTCTAGTTTCTAGTTTCTAGTGGGAAGGATGCGGAAGGATCTTTACTGATTGTTGTTGAAATTTGTAAATAGATTGTGAATAAAACTCATTTCGAATTAACTCATAGGAGAAATGGCATTTTTTAATTTAATATGTGGGCTTATATTTTATGAGTTTATTTTTTAAGTCATTACATTTTTGATGTTTCAATGAAAATTCATTTTAAATACTAAAAACATTATTACCAAATCATTGGGTTTTCTATAATTATTTTTCTTTGTAAGCAGATACTTGTCATTGTAACAAAAAATGTATATTTGTCAACCAAGTTTAATCGCCTTAAGTAATTAATTACTAACTTGCTTGTTTAGCCCCAGCATTTTACATTTTGCACTTTGCACATGAAATCACTTATCAATTTTGAACGTACATATAAATTTGAATTTCGCGCTACTCCATCATTCAGCGCTATCGCTTACACTATTGTTATCGATAAGTAGTGTTGCGCAACGAAAACTTTAAACAACTATTGTAAACATTTAACAAAACAAGTTGAACACTCTGAACACTCCCAATGCTTGGCAATCGATATGTTTCGATAGTTCGTCAGCCTTTGCGCCAGCAATCAAACAATCAAATATCGGCGTCGCTTCGTTTCGAGCGGCTTCATTTCGAATCTGGATTTTGTTGGCGACGCTCTAATTTGTTTATTCGTTGTTTGTTAATTGTGTTAAGTGTTTAGTTAGTCGTTGTGTTAATGGGCCACTAAGTTCGCTGCGTGCCCGTTTGTATTTAGAGCCAGTTTTTTCTGTTTTTGGCCAGCGTTCGCAATGAGCGCCTTTGAGGTTAGTTAGGTCCTTCTTGTGGACCTCCGAAAATGGTTTCCTCGCAAATAACAAAATTCCCGGTACTTGCAGATCACAGTGACGCCTTCACGCCTCAAGCAAAAGAAGCGCGCAGAAGGACGCGAGCCTGCCGTGGTGGTCATGGCCCCCTTCTCCGCCAAGGCCATTGTGCAGTTCGAGGATGTGCCGGTAACCAAGACAGCCAGGCGCCAGGTGCGCGTCCTCAATCCCAGCGACGAGGACATCGAGGTTAGTGGGTCACCGACTGCCTGGCAACTGGTATTTGATCAATGAACTTGCCCATTTACAGGTCAAAGTGATGAAGGCCATCCGGGAGGAGCACAACCTGAGCCTCGAGTGGCTGGAGCACACGGTGCCCGCGCGCGATGAGGTGTCCATGGAGCTGGTGTGGAGCCCCCAAATCGAGGTGGCCTGCAAGGAGACGCTGCAGCTAATCGACAACCGCAATTTTCGCAAGGATGTGATGATCATACTCAAGTCCAAGAGTAACCAGCCGGTCAAGGTGCGCTAAAGACTGCAATTCCCACCCTCCATAAGTACTCACCCTTTATTTTGCATGTATCTCTTACCTTTTTACCTGAAGACTGCGCGCAAATTTCCCACCGTCGGCAAGACCCTGCAGCTGAAATCGCCGACAGGCGCTGGCAAAACAATGAAGAGCATAGTGACGGCTGCCATGCAGCAAAAGAAACGACTGTCAGCGGCAGCAGCTCCTGCCTCCAAGCAGCACTGGCGAGCTACCGCTCCTGCACGTCCTGCCGCCCGTCAAAATCCTCCTGTTCAGGCTCCATTGGCCGAGAAGAATGTATACAAGCAGCCAAAGGAAGAACCTGTTTACATTTCGCCACAGCCGCGCAGCCTCAAGGAGAACCTCAGTCCCATGACGCCGGGCAATCTGCTCGACGTGATAGACAATCTCCGGTTCACTCCCCTCAACGATACTCGTGCCATGGGATCAGCTGCCATTTTGCCGGACAACTTGGCTGCCTGGCCGACTCCCACACTTGCAGGTAATGCAAAACTAAGTGCCACCGAGATGCGACCACGTAGGATCACTACTGATGATCTAGAAGATCAGCCAGCCACAAACAAAACCTTCGATGTGAGGCATTCAGAGACCATAAACCTTTCCCTGGACACTTTGGACTGCTCCAAAGGCGAGGGACAAATGCAGACGCCCTTGAACAAAACCACCACCATCGTTCATGCCACGCAAACCAGAGCACTGGCCTGCATTCGCGAGGAGGAAGGGCCAAGTCCTCCGAGAACGCCCACAAAGAGCGCCATTCACGATCTGAAGAGGGACATTAAGCTGGTGGGCTCACCACTACGAAAATACTCGGAGTCCATGAAGGACTTGTCGTTGCTATCGCCGCAAACAAAGTACGCAATCCAGGGCTCCATGCCTAATCTTAATGAAATGAAGATCCGTTCGATCGAGCAGAATCGCTACTACCAGGAGCAACAGCCCCAGATAAAAGGCAAGGACTTGAATAGCTCCTCCAGCAGCGAGGCCAGTTTGGTGGGCCAGCAAGAGTTTCTGTTTAATCACAATGAAATCCTGGCTCAGTCAAGTCGCTTCAATCTCCACGAGGTGGGTCGAAGGTCACTCAAAGGTAGTCCGGTAAAGAATCCGAATCCCCACAAGCGCCGCTCTCATGAACTGAGTTTCTCGGATGCACCCAGCAACGAGTCCCTGCACCGGAACGAGACGTTGGCCATCTCACCGCCCAAGAAGCAACGGGTGGAGGACACCACTCTGACGAGGAGTGCAGCGCCAGCCAATGCATCCGCTCGGAGCAGTAGTGCCCACGCTTGGAGCGCCACCCAGTCCAAGAAGTTTAAACTGGCGCAAACCATGTCGCTGATGAAAAAGACCACCACTCCGCGAAAGGTCAGGGATACTGGAGTTCAAGCGCCTGTCAAGCTTTACGACTCGGAGCTGTATATGCAGACGTATATCAACCCTGATCCCTTTGCGGCCACCACTACAACGGATCCCTTCCTGGCATCCACCATGTATCTGGACGAGCAGGCTGTAGAGCGACATCAAGCGGACTTTAAGAAGTGGCTGAATGCCCTGGTTTCCATACCCGCAGACCTGGATGCGGATTTGAATAGCAAAATAGACGTGGGCAAGCTGTTTAACGAGGTGCGCAACAAGGAGCTGGTGGTGGCCCAAACCAAGGAGGAGCAGTCCATGAACTACCTAACGAAATACCGCCTGGAGACGCTGCGCAAGGCAGCCGTGGAGCTGTTCTTCAGCGAGCAGATGCGACTGCCCTGCTCCAAGGTGGCCGTGTACGTCAACAAACAGGCTCTCCGCATCCGCAGCGACCGCAATCTCCACCTGGACGTGGTCATGCAGCGCACCATCCTGGAGCTGCTGCTCTGCTTCAACCCTCTCTGGCTGCGCCTTGGACTGGAAGTGGTCTTTGGAGAAAAGATCCAAATGCAGTCCAACCGAGACATTGTGGGCCTCAGCACCTTTATTCTCAATCGCTTGTTCCGGAACAAGTTCGAGGAGCAGAGGTACAGCAAGGCCTACACTCTCACCGAGGAGTACGCAGAGACTATCAAGAAGCATTCGTTGCAGAAGATCCTCTTCCTGCTGCTCTTCCTCGACCAGGCCAAGCAGAAGCGCATCGTCAAGCACAATCCTTGCCTGTTTGTTAAGAAGTCGCCGCACAAGGAGACCAAGGACATCCTGCTGCGCTTCTCCTCAGAGCTGCTGGCCAACATTGGGGACATCACGCGGGAGTTGCGTCGCCTGGGCTACGTGCTTCAGCATCGGCAGACTTTCTTGGACGAGTTCGACTACGCCTTCAACAACCTGGCTGTGGATTTGAGGGATGGTGTAAGGCTTACCCGAGTTATGGAGATCATTCTGCTGCGCGATGACCTCACCCGGCAGTTGAGGGTGCCAGCTATCTCCCGCCTCCAACGGATCTTCAATGTAAAACTGGCTCTGGGTGCCCTTGGCGAGGCCAATTTCCAGCTGGGCGGTGACATCTCAGCCCCGGACATCGTAGACGGGCATCGCGAGAAGACACTCTCGCTGCTCTGGCAGATTATCTACAAGTTCCGCTCGCCCAAGTTTCATGCGGCGGCTGCGGTGCTTCAGAAATGGTGGCGTCGTCGCTGGCTGTACGTGGTCATCCAGCGGCGCATTCGCCACAAGGAGCTGATGCGTCGACACCGAGCTGCCACAGTCATTCAGGCCGTGTTCCGTGGTCACCAAATGAGGAAATACGCCAAGCTGTTCAAGGCGGAACGCATACAGGCCGCCATAGTCCTTCAGAAGTTCACACGTCGTTATTTGGCGCAAAAGCAGCTGTACCAGAGCTATCACAGCATCGTCACCATCCAACGTTGGTGGCGAGCCCAGCAGTTAGGTAGGGAATGCCGCCGGCGGTTCCTAGAGCTCCGACAGGCCGCCATCTTCCTGCAGCGCATCTGGCGACGCCGCCTCTTTGCCAAGAAGCTCTTGGCGGCGGCGGCCACAGCTCGACTTCAGCGATCCCAGAAGCAAAAGGCAGCTGCCAGCTACATCCAAATGCAATGGCGAAGCTATCAGTTGGGCAAAATTCAGCGCCAAAAGTTCCTGCGCCAAAGGGAACTCATCGTCCTCGTACAGCGCAGGATGCGGGGCAAGTGGAGTATGCTGAAGCAGCGGAAGGAGTTCCGGCAGCTAAAACAGGCGGCCATCAATGTGCAGCAACGCTGGAGAGCAGAGCTATCGATGAGGAAGCATCGAGCTTACTACTTGGCACTCCGCGCCGCCGTCCTTACGGTCCAGGCTCATAGGAGAGCCACAATCCAGATGAGGATCGAACGTAACAACTACCAATTACTACGTAAGAGTGTCATTTGCTTGCAGCAGCGCATGAGGGCCAACTGGAAAATGCGCGAGGAGAGGGAAAAGTATCTGCAGCTTCGCTACTCCACTATACTCATCCAAAGACGCTACCGCTTGCTTCAACAGATGATCAGGGATCGCAATGCTTACCTGAAAGCCCGCCAGTGCATCATCAATGTCCAGAGGCGCTGGCGAGCAACTGTGCAGATGCGTCGCCAAAAGGAGAACTACGTTCAGCTGCAGTCCACCACCAGATTCATCCAAACGAAATACCGTGCTAAGCGGCAGATGCAAAAACAGCGAGATGAGTATCTCCGGCTGAAAAAGGCAGCTCTGGTAGTCCAACAACGACGGCGGGCTCTGTTGCAGATGCGAAAGCAGCGACTGGAATTCCTGCAACTTCGCGAGGTGACCATAAAGCTACAGCGCAGGTTCCATGCCCAAAAGGCCATGAGGTTCATACGAGCCAAGTACCGAGGCACTCAGGCCGCTGTTAGTTGCTTGCAGATGCACTGGCGAGGGCATCTCCTCAGGAAGCGGGAGAGGAGCAGATTCTTGGAGCTGCGCCAGGCAGCCATAACTCTGCAAAGACGTTACCGAGCTCGTCTGGCCATGATCAAGCAATTGAAGAGCTATAACCAGCTCAAAAAGGCAGCTATCATTGTTCAAACCCGGTATCGAGCCAAGAAGGAGATGCAGAAGCAGGTGGTCGTATACCAAAAACAAAGGGAAGCCATCATCAAAGTGCAACAACGATTCCGTGGCAAGCTGGAAATGAGGAGGCAGATGGGAGTGTACCAAAAGCAGCGCCAGGCTGTCATCCGTCTGCAGAAGTGGTGGCGCAGTGTACGCGAAACGCGGCTTATTAGCGCGGGTTACCGCAGGATTCGACTCAGTTCATTGAGCATTCAGCGCAAGTGGCGGGCCACAGTTCAGGCTCGTCGCCAGCGGCAGATCTTCCTGGACACCATTCGCAAGGTGCGACTCCTGCAGACGTTTATCAGAGCCACTCTGGAGATGCGACAGCAGCGCATGGAATTTGAGATGAAGCGGAAGGCAGCTTTGGCGATACAGCGCCGGTTCCGTGCCCGCCAGGCCATGCTAAGGGCACGACAGGATTACCAGCTAATCCGATCCTCTGTGATCCTGGTGCAGCGCAAATTCCGCGCTAATCGCAGTATGAAACAAGCACGCCAGGAGTTTGTCCGGTTGCGAACTCTAGCCATCCATCTGCAGCAGAAGTTCCGTGGCAAGCGTCTGATGGTGGAGCAACGTGAACGTTTCCTGCTGCTTCGCCGCACCAGTCCTCACTTCCAGGCCCGTGCCCGTGGCTTCATGGCTCGCAAACGTTTCCAGGCCCTGATGACACCCGAGATGATGGAACTAATCCGCCAGAAACGCGCCGCTAAGGTGATACAGCGCTACTGGCGTGGCCATCTCACCCGGAGACGACAGAGGCACCAAGGTCTTTTGGCCATCCGAAAACGCCTTATTCTGCTGAGGGAGGAGGCGACGGCGGTCAACTCTGTGCGCTGCAAAGTCCAGGAGGCGGTGCGATTCCTTCGGGGACGCTTCATTGCCTCGGACGCCCTGGCTGTCTTAAACCGTTTGGGTGAGTATCTATTATTTGTTAAGTATCTGTAGTGGCCGACTCAACTAATCCCCGATTTCCAATCCCCGCAGATCGTCTTTCGCGCACTGTACCACACCTGCTGATGTGGTGCTCGGAGTTCATGTCCACATTTTGCTATGGAATCATGGCGCAGGCCATTCGCTCGGAGGTGGACAAGCAGCTGATCGAGCGCTGCAGCCGGATCATCCTCAATTTGGCCCGCTACAACAGCACGACGGTGAACACGTTCCAGGAGGGTGGCTTGGTGACCATTGCCCAGATGCTGTTGCGCTGGTGCGACAAAGACAGTGAAATATTTAACACGCTGTGCACCCTCATTTGGGTCTTCGCCCACTGTCCCAAGAAGCGAAAGGTAACGATTCACATACTAATAATATAGTTTGAATAAGACATGATAACTATTAATTTTGTGTTTCTTAGATCATTCATGACTACATGACCAATACAGAGGCCATTTACATGGTGCGAGAGACCAAGAAACTGGTGGCCCGCAAGGAGAAGATGAAGCAGAACGCCCGCAAGCCTCCGCCCACCTCTTTCGGACGTCATCAGACCCAAAAGATGAACTTCACGCCGAGTGCCCTGCCCAGCCTGGAGCCGGACTTCGGCATCATCCGCTATAGCCCCTACACGTTCGTCTCGTCCGTTTTCGCCTTCGACACAATTCTGTGCAAGCTGCAGATCGACATGTTCTAGTTCTAGTAAGATTCGTAATGTTAAATGTTTGAAACGTTTCTGTGTTGTATTTAAAATATTAAGATGAATTGTTAGACCAAGCTAGTTTTACCGAGACAATCGCAAATAAATTAAGGAAACCACAATGTAAAATAAAAGTTTAAGTAAGAATGTATATGCTGTAAAAGAATACTGTAACTAAAAGTTTATTACTAGAACTAAGTTTTTTTTTACGAGAAACCACAATCGGAGCTAAACAATAAATCAGATATTTGAAAGTCACAATCAACTGGATTTGCTTGCGCAGTTTTGCTGCGCTTATGTTTATTTGGGTAGGTATGCATGTATTCACAAAACAATTACATGTTTGTAATTATATAGTTAAATTAGTAATCACTTTGTTCAAACACTTAGTTACATCGATATTAGTATGCAGTAGTTTACCCAATATTCGTGCTCCTCCGGTTGCGACCACAACGAATGCCACTTGTGTCGCCCTTTTCGAGAGAGATTGCCCCAAGTATATATGTATGTTTAAATCCGCGTGTATATTAATTAATGCCCCTTTAAAATGTACATATATGGAGTACTGTAAATTGGATTGAATATGCATATATAATAGATTCGTATAACATTTTATGTATTTCCTTCTTGATAATTGCACACGCCAGTTTCGTTCTCAATATGTCACTTCATTTTTTTTGGTATTTTTCGCAATTTTATATTGGAGGCTGCCGCTATATGTCTCGATTGCATGAACTAAAAATTATTTATCTGGCTCTAGCGAATTACTATAAATATTTAAGGGACGAGGGGCGTGCAAAGAAATCGGTTGGATTAAAAGACATTTAGATAGGCTCCTGAATGTGTTTTAAGTTTGGAGAAGAGTCTCAGAGATTTAGCAAGTACTTGTTTGATAATAATAGTTAGGATTTGATTTGCTCCTTGGTCAAATGGCGCACGGCTGGAATTGGTTTAGTGCGCCATCCGATCAGGATGGATCCCGGGTTGACTTAACGTCGGCCCAGGCCAAAGTTGAAGGGCTGCGGACGCGTCGTCCTCTTGTTCTGTCGGCCGGGTCGCACTGCAAGCCCAAGGATTAAAAGGATATGTGGGATGGGAGAAGCAGGTGGGCTACTTACCACCACGCTCGGCTGCCAAATAGTTCGCTGGCGGCACTCTGTAGTCGATCTCGTTGTCCTGCTCGTAGTCGTAATCGCTCCGCTTGCCCAGTCCGAAGGAGTAGGGACGAGACCTCTTGCCCAGGCCGAAGTTGTAGACCGGCAGCCGTTTCATCCCGGCTCCTCCGTTCGTGTACATATAGGCCCGCCGACCCAGGCCGAAGGCGTAACGCTCCACCCGCTTGTCGATGTTGTCCGCCCCGTTGTCGCCCATGTCGTCGGCGGCCAGCAGGACATCTGCATCGCTGTCGCCGGACACGGCACTACGCTGATCCTGGCCAATGACCGGGGAACTGGCGATGTAGCCGACACAGCAAACGGCCAGCAGCAGGAGGTGGGCGTGAAGGGAGTTCATTGTGGGACGGGGGGCGTGGCACGGGATGGGGCACGTCTGGCTGCCGCTGCTGCAAAAACGAGAGAAGACAAAGTGAGCAGGCGACGAATAGAATTTTAAGCGCCCGCTCCCCAATTCTCTGTGTGTCAAAGCGTTGCATACTTTGCGGCCGACACTTGTCGCCTCGCGCAAACATGGATACGCGTGAGATAGGGTGACTCGATGTTATGATAAGCCACATCGAAGGACGGGTTCTTAGGTTTTTAAAAAATTCATTTCATAATTCCCATTTTAAAGAATAAAATATCTTGTGTATGTATAGTGTACCAAAGCTTAAAGCAGTGTCTTTAATAAGTAAGCTGCCAAAGAAATATGAATTCATTTAATATACATATGTTAAATAAAGATTATTTATAAGTTGTTTATGAAGGAATTTTCTGTATTGCAATACGTCTTGCCAAAAATAAAGGTACACCAATCAAAATACAAGTATCAAGCTATTAAATTAAAAATATATTAAATAAAATCAAAGTTAAATGATGCCAAACAGAACCTCTAATTCTATTCTTCCACACAAATCCAATCACCCTAATGTGTGCCTTCGTTTACGAATATTTATGCAAAATAAAGAAACAAACAATCGACGAGGAATTTGGCCAAACACAAAATATGTCAACGGCAAACAAATGTCGACGCGTTGACAGCCTGGCAATAGCAAGCAAACAGAGGCCAAAATAACCAACGAATAAAAATGGGCTGCAGAACGCGTAAAAATGTGGCAAAAACGTTTGATGCCACCGACTGAATAGCTGTGCGCCACCGACTGAATAGCTGTGCGGAAGGTCTTTGGCCAACTGGAATTGCAGCAGACGGGTTTTCTTTTCTGCTGGCCTTGCAGGTCGGGCCGTAAAAGTTGAATTTGATCCGCGAAATGGGTGGCTTAACTCCCGCCGCAGATGCCACAATTAACAAAGACAATTACCCAAAAATTAAAGCCAGTCGAGACGTGAAATGCTCTGGCGGGGTGTCCTTTTCGCAGGATTCCATTAGCGGAATGGCAGTGCCAGTAAGTGGCAGTCATCAACGCTTTTGTTGAGATGTCAGTGCCATCAGTTGAAAGTGCACAACTGTTTTCACTGCCGTGGTTGCATTTCCGCCGGAAAACTTGGCAGTCGGGGCACGTAGAACCCCAGTGCCTCCAGCTTACTTATTGTTTGGCTAGGCAAATGAACTTTTCTGGCAATTTTCTCTAAAGGCCTCCGACTTAGCAGCTTAGTAAGTACGCGGCTCGTTGTCGCCCATAATTATGTGCAAACACTGGGCAAATCAATTAATCGAAGCCTACGCTCTGTGCTCCAAATGTTGCGCATACGCACCGTGGCCGGCCATAAATCGCTGGGTGCATGTGCAACAGCGCCACAAATCATGCAACAGGTTCGCCAACAGACCGCAAAAGGCAGCCAAGACCCCCGACCTCCGTGTTTGATTTACAATGGCAGCACTCCGGATGGCAGCTGTGCATTTTCCACGCAGGACAATAAAAGCTCCGGCTGCAAAAGGCTATGGCCACGAGATAATAGGCGGAAAATCGTCACATTTGTTAGACTTTATCAACCGCAACACGGCGAACACGACGACAAAAACAAAAACAACGAGGAGCAGCTATCGTAAATCTGATGGGGGCAAAACAAGTTTTGTGAAAAGTGTCAACACCTTTCACTATTATTTCCATTCGTGCAATAAAATCTTGTTTGTCGCACTGCTGCGCCCTTGGTCGCAAATGAGATTCAGGCATTATCTGTTTATGAATTTACGCCACTTTTGGCCATAACTCTTCTGCTCTGCTGGGCTTTTCTCATATCCGCAGCGGCGATTAGTTTTGACCGAGGCAAAATGCAACGGAAATTCAAAGGAGCGGCCAAGAAGGTCGTCTTCTGTCCTGGCCTAATTAAGTTGGGAAACTTTCCCAGTTGCCGATGAAGCAGCCAGGGCAAAGGGCAACACAACACAGGCCAAAGGATACAAGCCAATTTTCAGCTTTCGCGGTGAAACAATTTCAGCTGATGTGGCAAATTACGACCGACAGATCCCTAAGCTGAACCTCAAAATGAGCAAAAATTAGCTGTGTGCAATTGAAACGCTTTTTTAAATTGAAAGCCCTGCCAGGGGCGAAAGCGCCCGCGTTCACCTTTACTCTCTAAGCTCCCCTAATTAAGTTACGTTCAGGTAATGAAGTGGCTAACTTCTTTGCGCCAATTTATGGCGGTTAGGCAATAAAAACCCAGCACCTCATGGCCCCCTTTGTTTTGTTTTGAGATGCTGCTGACCCTTGTGCGCCCATTCAGTCCCCCCACTTTCTTGTTTTTCTTTAATTTGACATGTGTATCAATTCTGCGAGTAAACATTGCGACTGACCCCGGAGCGGCGAATCGTGCCCCATCTGCCCCATCTGCCATCCGGAGCAGCCCATAACTTGCCCCAACATCAATCAACAATTGTCCTCCGATTTGTTTATTTAATATTCTCGTCCTTGGCTTTTGGGTTTCCTATGTGTGATCCCATTTTTCTGCTCTCGGGCGCCATGTTATTTATTTAATTACAATTTGATTGAGGCTTGTCTTTTGTCTTCTAGCAGCGCCTCTGCGATTGCGAACGATTTGGCTGAGAGTTGCTGATTTAGACCCTAGACCCTGTTGCCATATGTCAATTGTTGCCTGAGGCATTTTATATAATCAAATTTGGCCTTGTCTCCGCGCTAAGCGATTGAAAACGAATTGAATTTGAGGGTTTTCTTTAGATCAAAAACCAATACAAATTGCATTGCGTTTTTATTGCATACTTTTTGGGGCAAATGTTCTGATTGAGTTTTGGGTCTATTGGCAAAGTGCGAACATTTTTGGGAGATATATTCAGATAGACTTTTTGGGTCAAAGGTGAAGCGTATTTGTAAAAGTATCAGAAAAACAATTGATTAAAAACTGAAAAAAATCCTCAACTTATGTATAAAATACAATACAGTTATCCTAATCCTATCCTATTTTAAATAACAATTGTTATTAAACGTTTTTTTAATGCATTTTCACATTATATGTTTTGAATAAGAAATACAGAACAAATTTTATAAATGAATTGTACACAAAATTTTAAATTTTAACTTTGTTTTAATTATAAACGTACGTTAAATTGGGATTTTGTTAAAAACAGTGATTAATATAATTACATCACTTAAATAATTTCCTATCCGAAATTGAACTCTTAGTTATGTTAAAAAATGATGGTCTACTTTATATATAAAATTGTATTATATTTTGGATAGTTATGAGACACGCAACAACTATGTTTAAAAGGTAATTCTCCAATTTACTAACGCCGGATTTATTATTTAATTAAAGATTACAAGCCTATGCAAGCCTTCACTTAAACTACTCTAATCAAATATTTTAAATATTCAATTATATGCACAACTTACAGCAAGATCCAAAAGCCGCTGGGAAAACTGACACGCAATGCACAAAAATCGCGATGCAACTTTTGCAGGATCGATTCGGGGATTGGCACTCTGGGACACAGGATACGCGGTGAAACTTGGAGGTTCTAGAGGTTCCGCGGAGTCGTTCGCCTGCTGCTCCTGTGGCACGTTGACAGATCAAATGTCGGTTAAGTTTTGAATCCGCATCCGCTGGCACTCGGCCTCTTATATTTGCGATTTGCGCGCCGTTATCAACGAACCACCCACACGACAGCCGCAAGAAGTGACGACAATGTGTGGTGAGTTTACGGCGGATTCTCACCACGAACGAAGGGTGGTTTTGGGTCGTGTTGTGGGGTCCTTTGCGCCCAAGGATGTAACAAGTGGCCATGGCCATGCGGCTTTTCCGGAAAGCCAAGCCAAGAAACCGCTCCACGACGATGGTGAAACCAAAGTCGAGATAATTCCGACGTTCTGAGATGGTGAGGAAAGTTGCAACTGGAGGATGCACTGCTGCATATATGCTAGTCAACGGTGCGTGTGATGAATGCGATGTTGGGGTTCATTAGGATATACCCCGACACCCACGGAACATCAGCCGGCAATGTGTGCCCAACTATTTCTCATTTCAGCGGAAAATTGCCAGCTGACTGGGCGCGCATTACTCAAATGCAGGACACTTGCCCTCCGGCGCCTTTAACCCATCTTTGTGGGGAATCCTCAGAAAACGGCTGACATCTCAAATGACATGCAACCCGGGCTTTATCCCAGTAGCCCCCTTCTTTGGCGGTAACATTTCAAAAGCGAAACGTCAAGGAATTTTATGCGGAATGCCAGCATCTATTTCATAGCGCTGCCTTGGGCCCACAACGCATAACTTTTAACATTTGTCCTGCTGCCACATTTGCCCTGTTCTCCGCTCGGCTTTCTTCGCGGATTACACAAATGTGTGGCTAAGTCCAATTCGACGCACTTTGTCGATTTTGCTAGAAACATCTTTAGGCGGATTATTCATTTGTGTATAAGTGCAAGCTTTGTTTGGTTATATTATTCCAAAAGGGAGCTGAAGTGGTTGATTTGTTAAAAATTGTAATTGCTTCGGATTAACTTTCTTACTGTGAAGAACACATAATTCTTTCTTAAATCTTTGCTTTTATAAAGCCAAAGCAATTATAACGAAACTCCTGGACAATTTATCAGCTTTTTCATTAGATTTCTTTTATATAATATATCATTTGACTTCTGATACGACAATTTTTTTGAATTTGTGGCATTACCCATTTGATTTCCGTACAGTGGTATTTTGACATTATTTCTAATCAATCTGCTTACGTTTCTCCAATACGTTTCAATGCATTCCGGGCAATTAACCAGATGGGGGAAAAAGGGACTGGGGAAATAATCATTACCCAAGCGAATCCCGCTGAGACGATGCTAAGTTGTAAATAGTTTAATTACGAATAAAAGAAAAAATCGCTGGCTAATTGGAAAATATTGAGAAAATATACACATTGATTGGCCATCCACCCCCTGAATACGGATAAAAACGGTCTGGGGAACACGGGTCGTATACGCAATGCTAGGAGAACAGCGTGAAATCGAGGGGACTCACCGAAATTGCATTGAGATTTGTGGCGCAATTACAATTTGTCCTAGAAATTTATACGTTTTTATGGCTTTCTAAGAAAAATGGCGGCTAATTGTGGGCATGACGTCAGTAGTCATCAGAAGGGCATTAAGTTCCTGAAAAGCCATTGGCATCATCGCGATACCTTGGCCAATAACTGCAGCTGCACTTGGGGACATTTACTTCCAATGGTTATGTGGATTTAGCCATATGAATTTGAATACATTTGTCACCGCGTGCGTTTCATACTCACCACAGGGCCATCGATCATAAATCAGGCTGATAAGAGGGCCTAATGACATGGCCCGCAACACCAAAACATGGCCAAAGCGTGGCCTGGCGCGTCATCGCACCGGAACAGGTTAATAAATTTCCCAGCGGTCTAATCACAGGCCAAGCAGCTTATTTGGGTGTTTGGCATCTGGCTTGCGGATTGGGCCATGTGTGCATATGGCCAGAAGGAGGATATGTGACTCGATTCGATTTCTGTCCGCTTTTGCAGAAGACAAGTTCAGCTATAAATCATCATCGCGGACCGGCGGCGGTAGGCAAAATAAGGCAAAATAAGGCAAAACAAAGACACAAAATTAAACCTGCAGTTGGCCGGGCCAAAGACACCGAGGCACCCAACCAGTTTAGCCCACACCTACTCCACACACAGCGATACGATACTAACTTCCCACCGAAAAAATGCATAAGCGAAAACATAAAAATAACCAAAGAAAACATTTTTGTAGTTTGTTAGACCGACGAAAAAAATACAAAAATCAAAACAACAATAAAAAAATGGAAAATCACGATTCTTATGCAGGTTTTCGGAGATTTTTCCCACAACAAGTTTTCGTTTGGTGTTTTTTCATCTCTTTTAATTGATTCTGCGCATGAGAAAAACGCAGTGCAATGTGCACTTGAGATCCAGATGAACTTATGTGGCGTCAGATATCAGCAACTTGGCCAACAACAATGGCAGCGGCAAGTAGAAGCCACTGACTGGCGGCATAAATATGCATTTATAATTAGGAGTCAGCCCAGCGAAGTCGAAAGCCGGCGAGATTTACGGCCAAGACAAGAGGTCTTTTGGCCAGATGCGTAGTCGAGAATCGAATCTCAGGAGGAAAGTGGGTGGCATGCGAAAGGCCAAAAAGGTTTGGATTTAAAGGCCTAAATCAGAAATCAACACAATAATTTTGTTTAATTTTCTAAAAGCCAAGACCGAAGTAAAGAAAAGATTTTACTGTTATATTTTTAATTTGTGTTTTTTTAATGTAGTGCAAGTTTTATACTGAAGACTTATCTCTGTAACAACTCAGTATTTAGATTTATATATAATTTAACTTGTAATAGTCGCTTGTTTTTTATAAACATTTTTACATTGTTTAATCAGCAAGTGTAATATAAAATAGCTTTTAATTTTATCAGACATAAAGTTAATATATTCTTGACGGATTTCTTCATAGATAAGACAAAAAATATAGCTGAATGAAAATGCAATGAAAAAGTATCATTTGGTTGAGCTTTTTTTATTGTAGTGGGTCTCCGCCATCATCTATTTTTAGATACTTCTGGTAAGCACTATTATTTTAGCCGCAACTGTTTACACAATAAGTAACTGCAATACATACTTACTCAAGTACGCCGGGAAGAGTCGTAAAGTAAAGTCGTTAAAGAATGTTACTCTCTCTTCTGCTGCAGCTTCTACTCTCTCGCTCGATGACACACTTTTCTACATAAGTGGGTGAGCAAACGATCACCTGTGTGTGATTGTGTTTGCTTGTTTGCTAGCACTCCACTCCAAGCACAAACAAACATACGTTCTCCATTCTACGCTTCGCTGCATTGAAATTTCTTTTTTCGCTTTCTTTTCGATCGGAGTGGAGTACTCTTTCTCTTTCGCTCGCTCTCTGTTCTGTACTCTCTCCTGTTCGCTCTTTCCCCCGCTCTGCTGACGTCAGCAGCGACCGAGGTGTTATATAGTGTTATATGGGTCACCGTGACTTTTGGGTTCTTGGAGAAAACTGGTAGTGCGAGTCTTCTGCTGCTTCTTCTCCTTCTGGCTGAGGAAAGTGACGATCGATCGAAAGCGAATGCGTTTGTTTGTCTCTTTTGCTTTTTTCTTTGCTCTCACCAGTTGGAAATTCTTTGGGTCGGTTCTTTTGGGGTCAGGTTCAGGCTGTTAGAAAGGCATTTCCTTTTGCTCTTTAATGGCTTTTACCACTCACATTTAATTACGAAAAAGTAAGACCGAAATATAAGCTGAGCAACCAAAAAAACTTACAATATAAAGTCTGCTGTGAAAGGTGAATGAAACTTAATGAATGCCAGCAACAACAATAAACAGGTGAGTCGCTGCATTGCTTAGTGATTTTCACTTGCTGCTTTTGTTGCTGTTTTTACTGTTGTTGTGGTTTTTGTTGCGAGCGTGCCAGTGGAATTCGCAAATTGTTATGAGTAAAACTACAACAAAAACAAAGCTCCACCGAAAGAGAAATAAGAAAAAAATAAAAAATAAAAAAATACATACAAGACGACGTAAAGATTACACAAGCGCAGCGTCGTCAATTTGGGACGGTGGAAGGGGGAGGGATGGATTGGGGAGGCATTAGAAACAACACAACAACACTCTTTGCTGCAATCAAGAAAGCTCTCCCAAAAGCAGCGACTGCGACACCGACTGCGACTGCGGCAGCACAGAGAGCCTGATCAGCTGCAGAAGATACACGAAAAATAAAATTTAATTTTATGATCTTACATATACATTTTAATTTCTAAAAAGATTTTGACTTAATATTAGAAAAAGCTAAACATCTAAGATAAAAGAGGCATTACGATATAGCTTAACATCCTCCAACTTTGTGTACATTATTATTTATATTAATAATTACCACAATATTTTTTTAAATTGGTAAAATGTTATAAAGCTGTTCTTTAATTCAACCATTAAAACCTGTGGCAGTTAACCTCGTCAAAATTCGGAATAAAAGGTTATATGCATCTACCAAATAAGGTTTGTAACTCTACCAAATTGATATATTTTGAGTGCCAAACTCCTAAGAATAATTGCTAGAAATATATTAAGGTATGTTGTTATAGATTTCTTACTGTAAGTATTTGAATTCAATCTGCATTTTTTTGTTGTGTAGAGAAATTTAACATTTCACTGCAGCAAAGTTTGCAGCAGCATCGACGTCGACAGCGCGCTCTCCCTCAACAGCTGCTGATCGCAGCGCTCTTTTTTGACTGGGGATTGGGGCTCTCTCTCCGCTCATCGCTGGCAACGTCGACGTCGCTGCCGCAGCGCTGCCGATCGGGGCCTGGCCACAAAAACAACACCACAGCTTTTCGAAATTAGTTCTAGTGAGTCTGTGAAAGTGTGAGCGACTGCGAGGCGCGATCAATTGGCAAACAACCGCAAGCGGATCCACTGCTCCACACGCCAAACGAAACGCCACGCCGAATATCATCGAATATAAAAAGCGGACTACCCCACAAACAACAACTACACATCACGTGCAACATGTCCCATCAGTGCAGCTGCGGTCGCGACCTCAACAACAACTACGTCTCGTACACGAACGCCTACGCCAATGCAAATGCCTCGTTGGACCGCGAGGCGGCCACCAGTGGCAAGTCCGGCGGTCCGCCGCGGGCCCAGCTGACGGCCAAGGTGATGTTTGGCACGGTGGGCGCCATCAAGGAGCTGCGTGACAAGGAGCAGCAGCAGCAGCGACAGGCGGCGGCGGCACGGGCGGGCGAGAGGCGCAACTGAGAGCGGGGGCGGAGCGGCCCGAGGGGCGGGGCGGGACGAACGACCGTTGGAGCGGTCGAGTGCTGTGCTGTGGGTTGTCGGCGGGGGATCTCTGGCTGATCGAAAGAAGGGTAACATGAAGACTTGGACAATGCTGCAAGGACCTGGATTAATCAACAATAATTCAAGCAACAGGTGATTTGGTTTAATCATGAGGAATTCGCGCAGCTCCAAGAAATCCAGTTGAACATATTCAATCATAATGAATTCGCGGTACTCCCAAGATTCTACAAGTAATCCAAATAATTCGAATCGTTCGGGCTCCGATGACTCAAATGGGTGATCCCTGGATCACGTTAGAGGCTTCAAAGTTTTGGCAGGGGACGGGCAATCTGTGTAACGACATTCCTTCTCAACAAAAACTATCCAAAAAACAAAAAAAAACAAAGTACATCACATATTTATACACTTTTTTTTGTCTGCCACAACTTCTCTAACACTCTCTCTCTTTCTCCTGTAAGCTTCAGCAGACTTCTTTGATTCAATGTAAATTGTTTATTACATATATTTATACATATACTACTTAGTGCAATACCTTAGCTATACACAGAAACACACACACACACACGCGTAGCCTTAAGTTTGTTTTATTTTGTAAGTGCACACGCATACACTCACTCATTTTACAATGTTGTTTAATTTTGTTTTGTTGTTTACGCGCTCTGCGAGTTTTGGCTGCGAGTCTGGAGACTTCCAGGTGCTGCTGCATCTCAAAACGCAAGGCACGTAACCCACACACACCCCCATATAAACCATATAAATATAGCTACACATATGCCTAATCTTTAATACCCATACTACTGTTATTACTTCTAATAATCATATTGTATATGCCGCACGAAGAGACGAAACAGAAACGTAAAAGAAAAGGAAAAAGAAAACTTAAAATTATTATTAATCCAAATGGGATGGTGTTTGCTCAAGTGATTTGTACTAAAATGGAAGCGAAATAAATTAAATCGCCAATCGAAGCTCAATTGAAGTGCTGTAAATTGCGTATGTTTCGAGAGAGCGAGCGGAGCATCTACAATATATTTATTATACCTATAAAATAATATTAATATGTATGTCTACTTGTACATCTATTTATAGAGCTAATCCCAACAAAGGCGAATAAAAATCGAACTTTTAATAAACTGAAAACGAAATCGAAAACTTCGGGGCCTCTGCAGATTGGCGATTTCAATTACTCGAACAATGGACTGTAGATACCGTTCGTTGAGTGGGCGGGGGCAAACCTTTTTCTTCGCCGGCCGTCTGCGTGTGAAAGTAAGAAACAAGAAGCAGAAAACATTCAAATAAATTATAAATTACAATAAAGCAAAGGGGAAACGTAAACGTAAAATATGCGAAACGAAAGCGAAGTCTCCGGCCAGAAGGCGAAAAGCCAAAGGCAACCTCGTGTATTATATTATTCCAGCGATTCTTTTCGTATTCTGCCGCCGTCTCGCACTCTTTATCGCCCTCTCTTCTAATTACGAAGCACTCCGGCTTTTTTCTTCATTTTTTTTTGTGTTTGAGAGTGTGTGCGTGAGCGGAGAACGTTCGCTGGTTCTTACGCTCGTAACAGTGACCCAGTCTCGGGCTCTATAACTCGGAAAGCAGAGTCGCAACCCGGCACTCAGCTGTCGTCATCGGCGGTCCCAAATGGCGGTTCATTTCGCTCCCACTTGTCGCCCACGCCGCCCCCTCGTCACGCCCCCGTAGAACGTCGCTTTGTGGATCAAAGTCAGATTGGTTTTGGCTTTTTTTGTACATTTTCAGGGGGACTTTTTACACTTTCGACCCAAAAGGTACATGTGCAATGTCCAGAACTCTAGCAATATATTATAGGTTTTATGACTTTAACTTTTCCATAATAAAACTAAGAATGGTTTACGTTTGCTTGGATCTTTCCTTTTTTAATTTGTTTTGAAATCAAATCATTATACTTCGCAAAAGTTCGTCTCTTTTGAATAAATGTAATTGCATATACAATACATTATTGTGTTATTGCAAGGGTATATTGACTTCTCCGTCGTTTTCATTCTTATCCGTCGTTTTGGAGGGCGCTCACAGTTCAATTGAATCCAATTGACCAAGTGCGTGGCTCTTGTCAAGCAAATACATTTGCTTACGTATACTTAATTTACGAGGCGTATACGTAATGCAACGCCCACCAATGCACCGCTCGGCTAGTGGAAGATTAGAGCCAGTCGGGGAATGCTAATTGAACCCATTTACTGTGCCGACTGGATCACATTTTATTGCTCTTTAGCTGCTTACCTTTGACTTTGTCTCTTGGCAATTGCACCAGCTGCGGCGCAATTGGTGATGATCCAACTCTACCGCTTACCCGGCTTCTCGACCGATTTCATCACTGCCTCGGATTCGGATTCGGATTCCGATTCCGATCTGATAACATCACGTGTAAGTGCAGCTAAAAGCATTTAAGAGACGATGAGAATCCGGGCAATGGGCCAAAGTGTGAGGGGAATCACTTACTCGTGAGTAAGCACTTTGAAATGCCTGCATCTTAGTCGAAGAAATAAACTACCTTTATTTATTTGGAATTTATGCAATGTTTACGTATGGTTTTTTAATATACATATATTTTTTTCATTATTGGCTTATATTTGATTTTCTTATACTTCAAAAAATGTATGAATCTATGAAAGTATTCTTACCTGAAAGTAATCTTAATCTTTAAGCAGAACAAATTTAGGTGGTAGACACGGCAAAATACAGAGATGCACAGAAATTTGTAGGCTGCTTCTTAAATGTTTATTTACTAAGCTTTAGACCGATCGTAAGGATTTTGAGGTCATAAATAAATGGATGTATTGGCAAAATACTCTCTATTCAGACGCCTTAAAGTAGGCAATGCTTTTAGAGATCTTAGTTTCAGGGGGTTAACTAAACACTTCTTTAACATAGTTACCTAGATCCATTTTCTAGGATATATTTTCAAAAATCTATACAGTCCTAGGACTTTTTTTTTCCAAATTACGTTTACTTTCTTTAGAGTACTCTAAGACACTCGACTAACGATGTCAAAACTCATCGCCAACGGCACTATTTCCTTTTACAATTCTATTTTAAGCCATGCAAGCTGATGTCATTTGTTTTCTATGCATATTCTGCTTTTTGCTCAGTTCCGTTCCGGCCAGCTCGGTTTAGTTTTGCCCGATTTCCATCTGAAGGCCGGGGGCCAATTGTTATTGTTGTCACTTTGGCGGGGTGATACATCAACTTCTTAATTTATGAGGTGCAATTTTTATGGCCCGGCCTTCGTGATTCCAACGTGGCTAAGTGTAAAAAGAGTAAAAGCATCGCTCGCCCGCCGCCGGTAACAACATTTCTTTGTTGATTATTTTTACTTTTCGAGTGTGCTTCTTTTTTCACTTTTTCTTGCATGCGCTTGTGGCAAGAACTTTCTCTTCTAATTGAAAGCAGTTCGATGGCGGTCGCCGATAAGCCAGCATGGGGTGGAGGGGGAAGGGGGGGGAGGGGAAGCGGTCTGCTAAGCAAAGCATCCAGCTGGGCATCTTTTGATGAACCGGCTGCGGCAATGGATTGACATGGATGTGGATGTGGAGCTGGTCGGATGCCTGAATCTGAATCTGAATGGCCCAACTCGGCGGAGTGGAGCGGATGAATGGCGATCGGCGCATAGTGAGACATTTCTTATGTTTCTGCTTTAATGGGAACTTTATGCAGCCGCAAGGCATTTTATCTCTCTCGTTTCGATTTGAATACGGAAAGAGGCGACCACGACGACCAAGACGACGACGACGACGATAAGCGCCAGCAAGTTGAAAATAAATAATAAATATTTAAAAGTAGAAGCTGAGGCGGGGTGCTGGGTGCTACTACGCGGCCAGTGAATGAAAGCCGGCGAAGAACTGGTCGCTTGCCTGGAAGTCTTTGGTGCTTTTTCATTTTTTTCATCTCTCCGTCGGTTTTTTACTCTTTTTTCCAACGTTTTTTGGTGAAGCTGTGGCATGTCTCGGCTTTGCGGCTCGGCGTCTGTGTTTCTTTTGGCTTCTAATGGCAGCCGTGAGGTGAGAATCGATTTAGTTCGGTTTACGACGATCCCAGATACAAACGCGAAAAAGTTTCTTTTCGGTGTGTGTTTTGAGCGGCGGATCCAAAAAGTGTAAAGCATTGCCAGGAGCTGCCCCAGGAAAATAGAAGCTGCCACACACCCACCATCCACCAACCACAAAAATTAACGTGAAAGTCGCCGGCTATTTGAGGCAGGTGTTAAACACAGCAATTACGAACTACAAATTGCCCACGGCTCTTGGGGTAAATCAATTTCCGTTTTTGCGCAAAAGATCATCCAACAAATTGATTATTATTAATGGCCGAAGTGCCACCGTTGACTAAGTGAGCGTGTCTTCGCGTTAAAGTCAAAACCAGCCAAGGCGCACAAATGGCTATAATAGCGGACTGCAAAATTTCTCTTAGCCATTAACTTCCTGGCTGGTACTGTATGTAGGTGGTTTTGGAGCTGTGGACCCTTGAACGAGGAAGAGAGAAAAGGCCTTATGCAAGCCCATAGTCATGAGCCTAATTGCATAATTTTATAAAAAACTAAACCAAACATCTGCAAATGCATTGCCCAAAATACCTGTGGATTTCGGTAGTTTTCTAAACTCTATGGAATATATATATAATACAACAAAAGTTAAATTGCAAAAATTTAAACGGCAATCTCTTTAATTAATACTTCCAAAAAAAAATAAAAATCGCATATTTTCTATGCACTTTATTTCACAAATTAAGTGATTATAAAACAAAGCAATGTAACAGTCTTGCAATTGCAGTTTGATCTTAAATGATGCCTACCATATTTGGTATCAGGCAAGGTCTATCCCCTTCCACTTTGCTCTAAGAATTTTTCCACATGGTGTCCATCTGGTCAGTCTATTAACACTACTGGACGTGCAAATGCAAAGGCAGTGTATGAATTGTAGGTTTTAGCCTCCATAAAATAGTTATTACATCGACCACTGGCACTCTTGACGCCCGTTATGCGGTCATTGAAGCATATAAAGTACTCCGCATTGCGTCGAAATAAGTAAAGTGAAACAAATTAAATAAGCCTGTAAAAACGAGGAAAAGAAAGGAAAGACATCGTGAACAAATAAAGTGATTAACATTTTATACGCTCGGCTAATTTAAATTCCAGGGATTTGAGGTTTTTTCTGATTAGTTCTTATCTACAACTAATTTCTTTGAAATTTTTAAAATAATCATCTCAATTTATGTTTTTTATACCCTTGCAGAGGGTATTATAATTTCAGTCAAAAGTTTGCAACGCAGTGAAGGAGACATTTCCGACCCTATAAAGTATATATATTCTTGATCAGCATCACCAGGAGAGTCGATCTAGCCATGTCCGTCTGTCCGTCCGCCTGTCCGTCTGTCCGTCTGTCAGTCTGTCCGTCTGTCCGTCCGTTTCTACGCAAACTAGTCCCTCAGTTTTAAAGCTATCTGCTCGAAACTTTCCCAAAAGTTGTCTTTCTATTGCAGGTAGTATATAAGTCGGAACGAGCCGGATCGGGCGACTATATCATATAGCTGCCATATAACTGAACGATCGGAAAAGCCATAACTTTGGTGTTTTTAAAGATAAGAAGTTGGGACTTTCTATGGGTTTTATTTTTGGCCAATCAATCCGACATACCGAATTTCTTAAGGATCGGCCGACTATATCTTATAGCTGCCATATAACTGATTGATCGGAAGTGCCATAACTTTGTTGTTTGTAAAGTTAAGAAGTTGGGATTTTCTATGGGTTTTATTTTTGGCCAATCAATCCGACATACCAAATTTCATAAGGATCGGCCGACTATATCTTATAGCTGCCATATAACTGAACGATTGGAAATGCCATAACTTTGGTGTTTTTAAAGTTAGGAAGTTGGGATTTTTTATGAGTATTAAGAATGCATCATATGAATAATTTTGGAGAATATAATTTACAGAGTATTCTGCAAGGGTATATCAACTTCGGCTCCGCCCGAAGTTAGCTTTCCTTTCTTGTTTAATCATAATGTTAAACAACTCAGGCCTAAGAAGAGTATTCAAATAAAAGCAAGCTCAAAATTCACTCTGCCAAAACAAAATGAAATAAATAAAAGTGCCAAGTAGAAACAAAAAACGCAGGAAAAGAGAATAATATGCTTGGGCGATAATAAGTTGCAGTTGAAGTTAATTTTGCATTATTGTAATTAGCAGTGGGCAGCTTAAAAAAAGGCTAACAAAATAATAGCAATCTTTTTGCTGTTTTTTTTTGCTGCTGCCTTTTTCGATGTTTTAGTTGCTGATGTAACCGCATCGATTGAATCACGAAAGAAGCAACATCAGCAATTATGCATCGGTATTGGCGACCCAAAGCGACGTAACATTATTGATAATTATGTTTAATTCGCGCCTTATCGAGTTCACTCAGTTTATTGGCAACTTTTACACCTCGGGGGAGATTAGGTGATTGGTGTTTTATTAGGACGCAATGCGAAACCAATCAACTCATTGACTAAGTCACTGCTTGGATATATTTCACTCATAGTTAAGACTTCGCTTTTTTAAGTAAAGGCATTTTTAAATTATTTTAATTCTTTAAGCTTTAGTTTTTATGAGTTTACCAAGCTAACAAGCTAAATTAAAAGAAAATTAAAAGTTTTTTTTGAACCCCCCAAGAAAACCCAAAGATGACCCCAAAACCACTGACAACTTTCCAACTTCCCACACAAATTCCCTTGGCAACCTTTGCACTGAACTTGACAGCGAATAAACCATTCCAGAAGTCGCCGCTGGAATGCTGCAGCCATCACTTCTGGTGGCGGTGCTGCTGCTGCTCCTGCTGCTGGTGCACTTGGAGAGGGGCAGCGGCAAGCCGCCCACCAAGGAGCTGCCCCGTCCGCTGATCCCGCTGTTCGGCCTGGAGGAAGAGGAGGAGCTGCACCCGGAGCAGGTGGAGGGTGGATTCCAGGGGACGCGGAATGGGCGCTCCAGGCGTCCCACCTTGATGGATGTGGCCTTGCAGCAGAGCGTGCGACAGGGACTCGATGCCATGGCCGAGCTGTACGGTCGCATTCAGCCGGAGATGCTGCGCAATGGTGGGTACTATGCGGCACTTTTCCTAACCCTGAATCACATCATCCTCGAAATCCTCGGAATGCCTCGTCAAAGGCCAAACCCTGCAGGACAATCATCCGGCCGCGATGCTCTCCCGCTTCAATGCCCCCACTTCGGACTCGGATCGCCGGGAGATGGCCGCCTACGCCACCCTCGCCGCAGCCAAGGCCTTTCGCAAAAAGTAAGTTCCAGGGGGGGGAGGTGGGTATTATGGTGGGTGGGTGGTCTGGATGTGGGTGTATCCACACATGCGGCTTGTGCAGATTGTGGCGGGCCATAAGTTCATCAGCCGCAAATATGTGGCTATGACATATGAAAAAAGTTATTGGCAAAAGCGATGCGCATGATTAAAAATCAAAGTGGATTCGTGGGTGGGCCGAAAAGTCATTGCATCACTGATGTTGATTTATTGTATACCCTACAAATAAAAGCCATACAATTTCATTGTGCCTAATGGTATAGGAAATTTAAAGTTTAGGAAGTCCTAAAGGTAAATATAAAAGTAAATGGTATAGGAAATTTAAAGTTTAGGAAGTCCTAAAGGTAAATATAAAGATATAGGAACCTTATTTTACCAAAAACATTAAATAAGGTAATCTTTAAAAATAGTTCTTTCTTTTGTTAAAAAATAAAAGGTTGTACAGGAAAACTCAGGAAAGGTAGTAATACATATTATTTTTAAATACTTAGATTTCTGTTTTAGCACAAAATAATTGATTTCCAATTCTTGGACTGTCACTCTCTGGTAATAAATTTGCTGGTCAAATATTGATTAATGTGAAGTGTGGGGAATTTGTGAGATTCATGGGAAACCGTTATGACCCACGATAAGTTGGCATGGCCACACTCGAGTTTCTGCCCCCGGGCAATCTAATGCAAAGCGGGCAACAACTATGCAAAACAAAAAGTAACGGAAAAGACAAAGGCGAAAAAAGTGAGCAATATTATTGAGTAGAGGATGCCTCCCCCTGAGTGCACCCCCCTCACCGCCCCCCTCGTCGACAATTACCGCCGGCAACTTTCTCGCTTGATTAACGAGTTCTACGGCATCCATGGCAGCAGTTTCTGCGGCGGCAGAGCTAATGAGTTGGAGCCGGGATCGGAATGGCCTGGAAGTTGGCTCAAGTGGAAGTGGCCCCCTCCACAGCAACCATCCCCCCTCTCGCCCATATCGAATCGTAGCAAAAACGATGGGGTCCAACTGCGATTGCTCATGACTAAGAGTCAACTTTCACTTTGACATTGAAATGCCGCATAATTGGCAGACAAGACCAAGACACCAACGCCAATCCCAAATCCAAATCCAATACCAGATCGCACCAAATTACTTGCACAGAAAGAAAAACATTATCAAATATGGCTAATTTCATGATTTTAGGTGCTATTTTGTACAATTACCAATGTGTTAGCTAATAATATGCAAATGTAATACATTAGACACAACTTTTGCATGAGAAAACATAAATACATATTAAACAAATATTGTATATTTTAAAGCTAGCCTTTTTTGATCTTTTTATACCCTTGCAGAGGGTATTATAATTTTGGTCAAAAATGTGCTACGCAGTGAAGGAGACATCTCCAACCCAGATTTTTTGAGAATCGAATTAAGAGTCTTTAGAGGTATGCCACTTTGAAATCGGATAAAATTTGGTAAAGTTATGGACTTTGGAAGTCCAGTTATGGGCCACCTTCTAACAACACATCGGAAACTTGGAAATAAATGACATGAAAATGGGTCAAAAATTGGACCAACTCTAAAATGAAAAATTTTGATGCAGATATTTTTAGAATCAAATTAAAAGTCTTTAAAGGTATGCCACTTTGAAATCGGATAAAAGTTGGTAAAGTTATGGACTTCGGAAGTCCAGTTATGGGCCACCTTTTAGTAATATAGGCATAGAATTGGAAATGTAGTCGATTTGTAATAACTGCAAGGGTATATGAACTTCGGCTTGCCGAAGTTTGCTTCTTTTCTTGTTTTTTTCTTATTATTAAATTATTATTATTTATTATTTGATTAGCGCATTGCTACTTAATTGGCAACTTTATTTAATCAGTCTTCAATATAATCGGTTTCCTTGGGTTTCAGTGTTGCTTAAGACTAATAATTTAACCTAGACATTTTATGGAGAAGAAATGTATAACTAATATTGACAAGAAAGTGATATAAAATGTAAAAATCTAGGAATATTTTAAGTCTCTTGACAGGGGGTTTTCAATCATTCTACGTTTTTTGTAGGACCTGATGAGCAATGTTCAAAACCAGAATGAATACGTTCAATTTTTTGGAATATACTTATTTTTAAGTGATTCAAAATCCCTAGAGATTTGATCTAGACATTTTGATTCAGTAAGTTACGATTTTTCTCTGAGTGACGAAGAGTCTCGGTATTACTGTGGATTGGGTTGGGTGAAGGTAAATAAAAGTGGCCCGGGTTAAACGACCTCTTTTGGGTCCGGGCAACGGAAATGGCAGACGCGACCAACTCCGACTCCGACTACATTTCCATCTCCGTTTCCATCGTTGATGGCTGGCAGTTTTTCCAGTTTTTCCGCTGGCAGAGTTTTCACTTTCCACAAACGCTGTGTGGAAATCCATGCGATTTTCCACACACAAAAACGCGTCGAGCTGAGAACTTTCACCTGGGGCAGCCGAAAAGGCAATTTACCCAGGTGGATTCGACTCAGGTGCAATGAGCTCTGACCGCGTCGAATGCAAAGCTGCCCGAAATCGCATTTATGTAATTGCAATCAATGGGGCGACAAGCGACACGGCGACATCGTCCCCAAAAAAACAGACAATTGCCAGACAAAAGATGCTGATGATGATGGCCATTAATGGGAAATGCCTTGTGGTCCACTCGGTGTCCACAATCAAATTACGAAATGAAATGGCCAGCATGTTTGGTTTAATTAAATATCGACAAATACCGTCACTCGATGATGATGATCGTCGCCGATGGGGCTCGTTAATGGTGCCAAAAGCAGCATTTAGCCAAATTAGAAGCCAAAGAAAGCGACAGCGTTAGAAAAATAACACATATATAACCGAATGGCTCTCTTTCTCACATTTGTGGAGCTTCAGATTCGGCATTCGCAATTTGATTACATCAAGCCAAGTCAGGCAGCAACAAAAAACAGGGAAAGGCAAAGCTTCGGCGGCTGCTACGTCGACAGAGACGTTGACTGAGGCAGCGGCGGTACAACTGATACGCTGGCGAACAAAAAAAGCAAAAACTGAAACACAAACATGAGGCAACTTTCGTTTTCTACCAGCCGATTCGGCCTCAAGCTCTCCAAGTCGTACGAAAGTTTTGTATTGGGCTTTTATTTCTCTTGTTTTCAGCGGGGCAATGAACTCTCGGCACTAATAAAATACAAAAAAAAAAGTCAACGCTGCGGCTGCGCTTTGCACCGAGATTGCGTATACGCCGGGTGAACTCAAGGCGAAGGGCGTTTGCACCTTTAATGGGCTTTTCTTCAAGTAAAACAATGCTTAATACGATAATTGTGCAGAGCAATGACAACCGAAGCGCACAAAGCCTGGGAAAATATGTATTTCCACTTTCACCTGCTGACAAAAAGCTGACGATTGGCAGGAAAACTGGAAAAACGTGCCGAAACTATTATACACTTGCGCATCCCCTTGGCGACCATCGAAAATGGCATTTAATCATAGCTAATTTCTTGGACATTCGAGTGCAGAAAAGTGAAAACTCCTAGAAGATTGATCGCTAGACCGCAGGAAATTATATGCCAGGCAGGAAGTTGGGCGTCCCACACATGTGATCTAGCCAAGAGAAAGTAGAAAAGCCGATTGAGATCGATTGGTGGGAAGCGCAGCAATAGGCACTTGCTACTGCAATTAAAAACTGCAGAGATTAGTGTTTTAATGTAAGTCACCTCCGTCTGAACTATTTATTTTGTTAAAGAATTTTAACAAAAGGTATCAATTTATATGGATTTATTTTAAAGCATTACAAAACAAATTTTTGTGTTTCTTTGCCCAAATAAATAGTTGTTAAAAATTAATTACGTAGTAAGAAAAAATAAAAAAAAAAGCAAATCAACTCTCATTTAAATGAAAAATAAGATGGATGCAAATTCTTAGTAGATGTTTAAAATAAACCGTTTTTAGTACATTAATTTGAAAATCAATAGAAAAATAATTAGAATACAAATTTTTACACACACAAAATAACAAATATTTAATATTTAGAAAAGTACTCGGTTACTTTCTTAAAAGCTGATCCACAAATAAAATAAATACATTTTTATTTTTAAAAATTATGTGTTAAAACATATGTTAGTAAAATTAAAATCAAAGGTAAAAAAAGTACTTAAAGACTTCATTTCGTCAGCCATAAAATACTCAATCTTTCTGGGGATTCCCCATCCAAATCACAAATCATACAATAACCGAACAAAAAGTAACACAAAAGTGACCCTTTATCGACGACATCTGCTAGCCATAAACGCACATTACCGTCAATAAAACCCGTCATGTTTCATGACCAAGTCATTATACCCATCGCGATCCAAACGAAATGAAAATTGACGAAAAAAGAGTTGCTAATAAACGCAGCAAATGGAAAGCAAAAGCGGGTAAATTAAAGCCAGCGGCTGCTCACCGATTTCACATGCGTTTTCCCGCCTCAATCTCGCACTACCGCCAGTGGGCTTAATTCGACGGTGGATCCCATTTGGAGTCGTAGTCGGAGTCGGAGTCACCACCACTCGGTGGCGAACTCGAACTCGAACTCGTTTCCACCGACTCCGCAGTCGAGCGTTTTATAAATAGAAGCCGGCGGCCCGAGCAGTCGCCACTCGATCACGAAATTTAAGCGCAGCCATGTCGCATGGCTCTGATTTGGTGGCAGGATGATGGTCCTGCCGCTCCTGACACCACCACCATCCATCCACCTCGATCTCTTTACTCGCCAGCTTCCAGCACATCGATGAGCTGGCCCGCCAGTCGCACTCGCAGCGGATCTCGCTCCGGCGAACCGCCCTGGAGGGCCTCTGCCCGCCGCGGGATCCGCCGCCCTGCATGCCCGCCTCGGAGCGGTACCGCACCCACGACGGCACCTGCAACAACAAGCGACGGCCCAGGTGGGGCGCCGCCCAGATGCCCTTCAACCGCTTCCTGCCGCCGGAGTACGGCGATGGAGTGGACACGGTGCGCAGCTCGGCGGACGGCAGCACCCTCTCCTCGTCCCGCTTCGTCAGCCTGCTGGTCCATGGAGCGCGGGAGGGGGAGGCACCGCTCACCCTGATGATCGCCCAGTGGGGCCAGTTGCTCGACCACGACTTGACCTCCACAGCTCAGCCGCGGTAAGTTTTAACGATCAACCTATTTAAAGGTGGTTTGGTATTCTATTAAGACATCATTGCAATAGCAAACAGTGGCCGAAAGTGTGAGGAAAACAGAACCTCAGGCAAAAATTTAAAATAAAAAAAAAAGATAATACCAGCTTTGTTAATTAAAAATTTAAAATAATCCAAAGCCCCTATCACCTTTAAACCTCTAATGAAAAATTTACTTTACTCCCTTAGTTCCATCAATGGTTCGATACCAAGTTGCTGTGGCGGCAAGGACTTCCATCCCGCCTGCTTTCCCATCAAGGTGCCGCTGGACGATCCTTGGCTGGCGCCGCTCAAGGTGCGCTGCCTGGAGTTCCTCCGTTCGGCTCCGGCCCAGAGACGCGACTGTGTGCTCTCTTGGCGGGAGCAGACCAACCAGGTGACCTCGTACATCGACGCCTCGCCCATTTACTCGAACAGCGCCAAGTCCTCGGACAATGGCCGCGTGTTCCGGCACGGCCTGCTCGTCTACGGACGCGGAGATCCCGCCGAGGATGTGTGCCAGCGGGGAGCCATGGCCACCAAGTGCATCCGCTCCGGAGACGGACGAAGTGGCGAGCAGCCCGGCCTGCTGGCCATGCACCATGTGTGGGTGGGCGAACACAACCGGATTGCAATGGAGCTGAGCGAACTGAATCCGCATTGGAGCGACGAGAAGGTGTACCAGGAGACGCGGCGGATTGTGGGCGCCTTGTTCCAGCACATCACTTTCAGGGAGTTCCTGCCCGTCATCCTGGGCAGGGAGGTGGCCAAGCTCTTCGACCTGGAGCTGATGCCCACCGGCTTCTACGAGCGGTACAGTTCCAAGGTGAATCCCACGGTGGCCAACGCCTTCGCAGCCGCCGCCTTCCGTTTTGGCCACTCGCTGGTCCAGAATTCCTATACGAGATGCGACCGTCACCACAACGTGATCAATAATAGTGAGTTCGTGGGGGTTCTGAACATTCAGGGATCTTCTAATCATTATGTTCCCCTTCCCCAAGATGTCAGCCTGCACGAGGAGTTCCAGCGCGGTGACATTGGCTCGGCGGGCTCACTGCATCGCCTTCTGCGTGGCCTGGCCTCCCAGAGGGCCCTGAAGAGGGACGAGTTCATCACCCCAGAGCTGACTAACCACCTGTTCCAGACCCCCGGCTTTCCCTTTGGCCTGGACCTGGCCGCCATCAACATCCAGCGGGGCAGGGACCACGGCATCGCTCCCTACAGTTCTTGGCGAGTGCCCTGTGGCCTGAGCCCCATTCTCAGCTGGGATGACTTCGGTGAGCTAATTACTTTCTCTAATCTTTTCTAACTCGATTATTGAGTCAAAATTTGTCGGTTAAAAGTCCCTTTAAATTTCCAAAATATATACAATAATTATTTGCTGCATAATTTTAAAAACACGATTGCTTGACATGTTCGTCAGTTATGACAGCTTTAAAAACTCGTTTTCTTGAAGAAAAAAAGCTGTTTATATGTTGTGGTACTTTTGTTTTAACAGGTTTAATTTAACCATCACAAATCATAGTCCTTCTCCACACTATTAAATATATAACTAATTTCTTAATCAGCATTAGCAGTCAAGTCTTGAAAGCGATTGATTTCGTTCTCAATTTCAACAAAATTGAAAAAAATACGTGATTCGCCAAACAATTTGAGACCTTCTAAAATATAATTACACCAAAATTCCAGGAATTTTAGAAGAATTTTTAAAATTGCATCAAAGAAAAAGAAACGCTTATCTTTTCAAAATTCTAACTATAGTAAAGTATTTGTAGTTCCAAACTGAAAGAGTTTAAGAATTAACAAGAATTCGAGTTCATTGAATAGTAATCGTTGAAGAACTTTAAATGTTATAATATAAAGTTCTAGAAAAAAATTTGTTACGGACAAAAAAAACTATTTGGAAACTGTTTGTTTTTGATAGCGGTTGATACCAATTTATTACCAATATCTCCGGAATTTTTGGCTATAACCCGGTTTCTCTTTTTTACATTTTAGCCAACGTGGTGGGTCCGGAGTCGGCGAAGCGCATTGGCCACGCCTACCGCAGCGTGCACGACATCGACCTCTTTGTGGGCGGCATTGCGGAGCGCCCAGTAGTGGGTGGATTGGTGGGACCGACCTTTGCCTGCATCATCGCCCAGCAGTTCAGCAACGCGAGGCGGGGCGATCGCTTCTGGTACGAGAACGGCGGCTTCGAGAGCTCCTTCACCCCCGCTCAGCTGCACTCCCTGCGCCGCGTGTCCTTGGCTCAGGTCCTTTGCCGCACGGTGGGTGGCGGCACCCTCCAGCCGCACATCTTCATTCCGGCCGAATTCGAGGACAACGAGCGACAGACCTGCGGAGTGGGCAGCCTGGCCCCAATCGATCTGAGCCCCTGGCTGGAGCAAGATCCCTTCCACAACCCACAGATGCCCGACCAGGTGTTCAACATTGCCCAGCCGCAATTGGGGTCGGTGCAGATCATCAAGGAGGACAAGGCGGGCTTCTCGAACCGGGTGAAACCCATTAAGCCGCAGGTGGAGCTCAGTGCCAATTCGGGCAGCGGGTTTCATCGACCCACCAGCGGGAACTCGACCAAAGTCAGTGACAAACTCGACCTCAGACGAAAGACAGTGACGAACAGTAACATTAACCGACAGACCACGCCCACTCGCAAGCCCGTAAGTGGCGTCAACAACAAACTGGACAAGTCACCGAAGATCACCATCAACATAAAGAGCGTGAATGTGAGAAGGCCAGAGGGATCGGGTCCCAAGCGAAGGGTGATCATCAACAATGTGCCCGTGGAACTACGCAGCTCGGGGGGCAATGCCACTGACACGCAGACAGGAACAGGAACTTTCACAGAGGACGAGAACGACTTTGACCAGGACGAAGAAGGGGACACTGAGGACGTAGCTGAAGTGAGGGCTAACAAAGATGACCCTACCAAACCAAGCAAATCAGACATAAACCAAACTGAAACTGAAACTGACTTAAAGACGACACTTCAGGGGAACAATACAAATACAGGACAGACTACAGAAGCCTCAAAAACTGAAAGACGCGACGATAGAAAGCTGGAAAACCAGCTGGACAAGACTTTGGACTCGCGACTACTGCACCTGCAGCGAAACCGTACTAGTACCCCAAGGGACATCCAAACCAGCTCCACAGTCAGTTTGGAACGCTCCACTCGACAGACGAAAGCCCCCAAGATCAGTAAACCCACGAAAAGGGGCGTGGAACTTAGACAGTACCAGAACAGACCGCTTTACGAGAGACCCCAAAAGGTGGTTGTGAACGGACCGAACGCCGACCAGTATGAGATTGAGATAAACATCAGACAGACGAACAAGAACCCCGGATCACGACCCACGACGGAGTACACGACTGGCCACAAGCCGTACTACGACTCGAACTACGCACCGCAGCACGTGGACTACGCCAGCACTACTCCAGTTTCCATACCAAGCTATGGGTATCAGCATTCCCTCTCCGAGATTAGCACCCAGGGACAGAGGACCAAGCCACCGACCATCATTTATCTGAACGACAACGACGACAGACGGACGACGACGACCCGGGCACCGAACATATTCCAGAACTTCCTGACCTTTGCCACGAACAGCTTCAATCCCCTGGGAAACCGACGACCCATGCCCACGACTCCATCCCCGATCTCGCAGAGCCACAATGAGCGGCCCCAGTTTGAGAGCAATGTGGTGCACAGTCCCATTAGCAACTCGCATATACTGACAGGAGGATCCTCGTCCTTCTCCCCGCGACCGCCAAACTCGGTGCACTCGTATCCGGTGGCCACCAGTTCCCAGATTGGCGCCAATCCCGGCTCCGGTTTTCTGCACGCTTCCAGCAGTGCGGTGAGCTCGGGCCACTTTGGCAGCATCTCCGGAGTGGCCACTGCCAATGGAGCGGACAGCACTTTTAGCTTCAACATACGCCCTCGTCCCAGTCAGGACCTGAGTCCGGTGGTGAGCTCCTACCCAAGACCCAATCAAAATCAGGTGCTAGGAGGAGGGGGAGGGGGATCGTACGGGCTGGTGGGTCAATCCTCGTACAGACCGGACTACCAACCTGCCCAGAGCGAACTGTACTACGACAGGGAACTGATCACTGACCGCAATCCCAGCCCATTCTCTGGATCCAGTTCAGGGTTCAGACCACAGGCACAGACTTTTTACGGACGGACACCAGAACTCAAGGAGGCGGGCAACAACAGCAACGAACTGACTCAGACGGAGCACAAACTGTACCTACTGGACTATGACTATGTGAGCAGGACACTGTCCAACTTGACCACGGACGAAAGCCATTCAACTGAAGAGGATGCAGACTACGTGTACGACGAGGACTTACCCAGCAACGACCTGGACACGACGGAGACCCGGAAGGTGTCGGACCCGGCGGAATTGTCCACCAAGAAGTTCGACAAGGACGGCTACATGCGACCCCAACTGATGCGAGACGCGACGCAAAACTCGACCGGAACGAACGTGACCTCCCTGGACGACAACTACGTAATGCCCATGCTGGAGAACAAGACGCGTACGAACTACGTGACGGAGGTGCCCAAGCCCATGCTGTCCACCTCCAGCAGGAGTGTGACGAACAGCAAGGTGACTGTGTTTCCGGACAGCCTGGGCAAGCAGTTGGGCAACGACATACTTGCGGACGAGACGGACGACTATGTGGACGGGAACTCGGAGGCGCGGCTGAAGGCCCAGAGGCTGAAGCAACTGGCCAGTGTGGCTTTTGCCCCAATCACCGTACTGACCAAGCCGGACAGACCCGACAACTGGGTGATCTACAACAAGGCCAGCGAGGAGCCGCCATTGCCGCAGCCACCGGCCATCAACATGGATGTGGCACCCACCGGCGAAGTGCCCACTCCCATTAAGAACTTCAACAATGCCTGGCTAAAGCAGAATCTAAAGGTTCAGCCGGAAACATCAAATGTTTCCAGGACCACTCATAAAGAGGATGTGCCGAACGGATCTGAAACCACTAAGGAGGCGAGGGAGGTGACCACTGTGGCAACAGTGGACAGTAACTAGAAATGCCAAATTAGCCCTAGATTACTTATTTATTTATTTATAATTTAAAAGCACGAATTAAAATCAAACTATCATTCAACTTAAATGTTCATCCATTACTCGGGTTTAATTTTAAAAGCAGTTAATTAATTGAAATTGCTTGTTCTATAAAATCTATTCGACAACTTTAGGAAGACATGACGATTACAAATCTGATTATTCACTAGAGACAATAGAAAACTAACTAACGAACGGAATAAGTATAAAGGTAGTTCTTCTCTAAATCAGCATTGTAAATCTCAAGATCGTTTGCAGATTCTTTCGGACACAGATTTCATATTTCACAGGGCCAAAAATGTAACAATTCTTGGTTTGTACTTTATTACAATGCAGACTAAAACTAGGTTATTCACTCAGAGAACACACACACGAATGCTTAACTAGGTAAGTGCATCCCGACCTTTGGGAAGGGGCGACCCTGTTTCGGTATTAATTTCTAATTCGGCATGTCCAGTTTGTGGTATTTTGTTTGGCGCAAACATTGCTGTGCTAAGTAGTGTAAAGTAATTGGGCTACCAATATAATCAACAGTATTATCAACATCATCATCATCAATTACGTACAAGTACAAGTATAGTAATGTGTATAATAAATTATGCTTGTCACCGATCGGCCTCTATGCGTGTTAGGTATAAAACGACTAAGTATAACAAAAATAATGTACACTTTAAGCTACAACACTTTGGGGTATTTGCATATTGAATTGCGTTACTTGAACATCTTAGCCGCAAGCAAATTGAAACGCTCTACTAAAAGTACATCCTCCTCGATGCTTCCGCTATCTATGATTCCATAATTCGCTATCGTTGGTAATTCAACTAATTAACCTGTGCTCCTCTGCTCCTTCCTCTCGCATTTGTTATTTACAATCGTGGCGAATCTCCTCCGGTTCTGGTGGTTTTCAGTACGTCGCGTAAATGCAGTTTTGAGTTGGTTTCAGTTTGGCTGGGGTTTGTGCGCTCTTCACCAGCGGATCTGGTGCTTGTACTGCTCGTCCACCGCAATGCGCTTGATGGTCTCGTAACCTAGGATAATGCTGAATGAGAAGGCTGCCGACTGCACCAGGCGGGCGGACAGGCCCTTGAAGAAGCAGTTTAGCTTCTCCTCCTGCCAGAGCTCCCGGAAAGCGACGCTCATCGAGTCCAGGCGGTGGACCTGGGGGAAGATAGCGTTTTTTAGATTACGCACAAGTGACGACCAATTCTAATTGGTAAGATAACAGCTCGTGTTTGAGATTCAAGCACAGTCATCGTATCAATTACGACACACTTAATAAAACTTGCAATAAAGAAATGTTTAAATTGATTTGAATTTAGATTTTTGTATGATTCGTATGTTTGCAAGATAGATTTAGTTAAAAATCAATTCAAAATGTTAATTAGATTGACATTTCCTACTACAAGTTAAATCCCCAAAAACTCACCTGCAAACGGGCTCGCACTATATCTAATGGATTGGTTAGTATTGTCGTTGTGAAGCCACCCAGGCTGCCGGCCACGCACTGGATAAACAGATGGGACACCCAGACGGGGCAGATGCGGAACAGTTCGTCTGCGAATAGGGTGAAAATTTAAATACATAATCTAATCTCACTCGTAAGCGGAAGACTCACCCTGATAGAGGTGATAGAAGGCCCACCACATGGCCGAATTAGGTACGTAGGCCATCAGGCTGGCGGTGTAGCCCCGATAGAACCCCCGGAAGCCATCGCGCCGCATTATCTCCCTGCCGATGTCCATGGAGATGTGAAGCCGACTGCGTCCGGGCCACGACTTGATGCCCAGCGGATTGATGTCGCCCTTGGCGCCGGCATGCGCCGACATCCCGAGCACCATGGCGTGCTGCGAAATGACGTCGAAAGGAACTATGATGGTCTGGCCCACCAGCGAGGCACAGCCGCCGCCGGCGAGGGCCTTCATCCGATGTCCGGCGCCCAGATCGTTGAGCACGTGGCGCACTCCTTCGTAGGTGCTTATGTAAAAAACACCAGACACTATCTGCACGGAGGATATCCAGAATCCTCGATACAGACCGGGCACGCCCTCGGATTTGTAGATCTTCATGGCGCAGTCCACCATGCCCTTGTAGACATCGCTCTTGTGCTGCACCTGCAACTGCGTCTTGATCACGGTGAGCGGGAAGAGGCAACAGCGCACCGAGAAGGAGCTGAGCATGGAGAGCGGAAAGAACTTGGTCTTGTTCATCATGTTCCATTCGATGGTACGTATGTAGGGGGCATCGGTGCCTCCTGCTCCTCCCACTCCGCCTGTGGCCACCGCGAGGCGCGTGGTGGTGCTGCCACTGCTTTCCGCCATTACTGCTACCTGCTGATGGTGATCCTGCTTGTCCTCCTGCTCCTAGCGGAGTGATTCGTTCGCATGCGTGGAAGCTTCGGAGTGTTGTTGGCTTCCTTCACAGCCTGGTGTGCTGCTGTCTCTGGAGGCATTCGACCTGCATGACTCTAGATCGGGGTTCCTTTGTGTTCCGCTTATTGTTGCCGTGTTTGCATGCACATATACATATATCTGGGGAATACAAAACATCATGAGTACATTGACGCAACTCAGACGCGTACGCACGAAAATCATTCCCAAGGTCGTGAGACAGATTCGGATTTGGATGGGCCGCCGGTGACCTTTGCCCACCCGCCAATGCCAAGGGAATCCGGCGGAGTGCTCTAAGGCTATCTAATCTATATATATAAATCTTGGCGCTCTGTCGATTTGGAGTTGTTATTATATAATGCGCAGACACCTGACTGAGTGGCCACCACCCCCTCCCCATTCCCCTCCCATTTGAAAAAGCACACGGACGTAAACAAACTCTTCACCCGGAGTCTGGACGGGATTCCAACTGTTTTCAGCGACAATGGAGCGGGTGATCGGATAACAGGAGGTTGATTGGTCACTTACCTACGCCAGTATTGTTGTTTGGATACTTGCTTTGTACATATCACATAATAAATCTGATGAGAATGAAAAAATTACTATAAGAGAGATTTTTGGGTGTGGGAAGTGTGGCCAGAGGTGGCAACCAGGGGTTCCCCAAAAAGAGGTTTAGAACTTTGATAAGCACTTATCATGGGCTCAATCCGGTTAGCAAACTTAATAGTTTCCAATCAGAATATTTAGCTTATTTGAACATTATTTGTGATTGTTTTTAAATAAGGAATTTTAATTGAATCTACAATGTTTTAATTTGCCATATATTTTTATTATTTTTTTAAACTCTACCAGATAGTTTTGCGTAAGCTTGCTAATTGGATTTGTTCCCATCTCTTATTTGATTTTTAAAGTATTATTTAAGCAAATTTGAATTCTATTTTTAGTTTCTTAACTTTATGAAACCGTACATATTCAAATTTATTAGGTAATATATTTAAATCTGTTATTTTATATATACACCGTTTTATTTTAGTCCGCCAAATTTTATTTACTTTCTGTTATTATTATATCCTTGCAAAATGTTTGTTTTCGCTTTAAAATACAAATTTTGAATTTCTTTTATTAAGACAGTTCTTAATGTTGTGTTTAAGTTTATATAAATAGCCAAACAATTTTTAAATACTGATAAATTTAAAATTTTGCTGAGTTTTATTATTGTTAAAGTTTAAGTTGTTTGGGCTGTGAGTTATGATAGAGTTTATATTAAAAGTCTTTTTAAATTAGCCATTGGAAAAATGTTGTAGAATGTCATAAAATTTATATTTCTAGGCTGCCTAACTTCTTCTTTAAATATAAAACGAATTTGCATCGTCTTAATCTATTGATATCTTTTTAAATAGATTTAACCAGCTTCAAGCCCAATTTCAAATTTAAATGTTTGGCAAGCGATTGTCAAATTGATTGACTTTCGACTTTTGACATTTGCACCCAATTACCGCCCATGCCGACCTCCCATTGGTCCCTCCCCCTTTACGTAATCCAGCCAATCAGCGGCGAGAGGGGGCGTGACGCCCCTGCGCAGTGAGTCCTCCGCAGCATCCTGCCACTGCAACCCTTGTAGAGCGACTCCAGCGGCATCCCGGAGTCCTGGCCAGGATTGCCCCAGCCAGTCACCACGGACACTCGAAACCAACTGCACACGGGCACCGGAATGCGCGCTGATCTGCGACAAGTGAAAGCCATCGAGCTCTGAATAATTGAGGACTATTGATGTCCAGCAGCCAGGTGCAATCCAATTAGTGAATACCCCACAAGTTCAACTCGCCATCGATCCATGGATACGGCCAAGCTGGTAAGATTCGCTTAGATTCGCTTTTATTTCTGCTGCATCGGACATAAATAGAGGGCTTAAACTAGGAGGGGCAGTGGCCCTCAGCCGTAGCTCAGGGTGTAGCCCATGTTCTCCATCAGGGTCTCCTTGATGGCCGGCTGGAGGGCCCGCTGCATGTAGGTGGTCAGCAGACCCCGCACTCCCATGGAGAACAGCTTCTCCAGCTCGTGGGACATGGCCTCGCCCACCAGCTCCTCGCGATCCCCACTCGATCCACTCCCGCTGAAGATGTCCGCAAAGGCCCGGGCATCCGGCTCCACCAGCTGCTGCAGCTGCTCGTCCTCGAAGTGCAGCACATCCCCGCTGAAGTGCACCTGGTCATCGAGGTTCTCCCGGGCGTAGCGCCGCCGGCGCCTCCTCTTCTTGCTAAACTGCCGCCGGTAGAAGTTGTCGCCGTTCACATCGACGAACTCACCCGAATCCTGCGCCTGGCTATCGCTGCCCAGCTCCAGGCTGTGCTCCCGCTGTGGACTCTGCCCCAGTCGGATGTCGTAGCCGGGCTGCTGGTGGTGCAGCTTGCCCCATCTCTGCGGTCGCTTGCCGCCCAGTATCACATGCGGCTCACCCAGCTCCACCTCCGGAGTGGTCCCGAATCTCCGCTTGGAGTTCTGACGCAGCCGTATCCCAGTGGGTCCCTGGCATCCGTGGGCAAACACGGATATGAAGCCGGGCTCGGCGAAGTGGGAGTCCGTTCGCACCGAGGCGGCTCCCAATCTCCTGGACTGCTCATAGGCGGAGGAGCCCGCTCCGGATTCGTAGCCCAACGGAACGGTGCGGAACTCGATGCCAGCGTGCCTCAGTCTCAGAATCATGTGGCACCTGCCGCCCATCGGCTGCATCACCACCTTCCCGCTGAGCGTGAGATCCGGAAAGATCAGCCGCGTGTCCAGCGTGGAGTTCTCCGTGCTGAACTTGCACTTGTCGATCTCCACCCAGCGATTCGCTGACTTGGCCGGCGGCACTCGCACCTTGAGGTCCTCCACATCCACGCGGGAAATGGCCAGCTTGTGGGGCTGCCTGTTCTGCTGCGCCTGATGGGATTCCTGGTTGACTGCCAGCAAATCCTCCAGCTCCAGGGCTCCACTGCTACTGGAGTCGGCGAAGGGAAAGGCCTGCCCGCTTTTGTGGAGCAGCTTGGCCCGGTAGCCACGCCCCGTACTGTAGCCGCCCACATTGTAGAAGTCGTCCTCCGGCTCGCTGTGCTGGCCGTAGAAACTGTGGTACAGCTGGTATGGACTCTGGGGCGGTGGCTCCCACATGGCTCGCGAGGCGGAGGAGCTCTTGGTCTGGACACTGCGACGTCGCATGTGCTCCAGGGCGTTCTCCAAGCGATTTGAGCAGCGGTGTGGCAGCTGATACGGCTGGCAGAGGGTCACTAGGGGGCAGGGATTAGTCAGATTGGAGGGGATGAAGTGGAGGTCACTTACCCTGCAACACTGCCCACATGGACAGCAGGAAGTGCAGCCAATTGAAGTCCCGGCTCACGTGTTCCGACATTGTAGTTTAGCAACCATGGAGCGGGGTTTGCTCGAGAAATTCTTATGGAGTTTTAAGACACAAAAATTTACTCAGGATATTTTTTTTTTCCGCGTATATATTTATGTTTGTCTAACCACCTTTAAATTCTTTCAAATTTCTGTATGAAATTCCTCACATACAATCCTCAAGGAAACCTCATCACGTAGAGTTTAGTATTTAAAGCAATATTCTTTAACTTGGGAAATACTTTCTGGAAAATCTTAAGCCACTTGTTTTTTTTAGGATATATATATCATTGAATTCAATGGTAATAAGGTCCTTCAGATAGTTTTGTAGTTCTTTAAGTAATCTTTATGCTTAATGGATTTCAAATACTTTGGCTAAACACTTTTTAGTTTTTCAAGAAATCTTAAGTACTCATTTTCTTTACACGATTATTGACCGAAAACTTGAGACTGAACTTTTATTCTTCAAAGACCTCTTAAGGCTGATAGTAAATTCCTTAGGGCAGACACAATTATTTCAAGCAATCCGGGGATCTTTATAAAGAAGAATCCACCTCCGAACTCGCCCAAAGCTGAACCGAAAATGCGAGGCCCAAGCGGAGCTGGAAACTGGCTTGGTCGCGCTTCCATTGCCACCAGAAACAGCAAAAACACCCACAAGCCGAGGAAAGGGAGAAGAGAAGCCATCGCGTTGGTGACTGGTGACGACCGTGCCACTGCCTCATCATGTGCAGTGAAAGTGTTTTCCACGACGGAGCCAGAAAAGAGACAGATTCGGAGTCGGACTCCGAGTCAGCCAAGCCAAGCCGCACCACGCACCTCGCAGTGGAGGCGAAAAACAAAAGAAAAAGGCCCGAGCCAAAACAATTTGAAAAAAGAAAAGCATTGTCTTCTGCGGGCCCATGGGCCTCACTTCCCAACCTCCCCCTTTTGGGGCTGCTGCAAAGTAGATCACTACATATGTATATATTATATACAGATCTCTATGGAGACCAAAAAAGCAAACACGAGACGAGTTACGAGTTTCGTAATGTCAGTTGCGGGCGCGCATGCGTCGTAATCTCTCTCATTGTTTGCCAGAGTTCAAAGTTGATCAATCCGTCGGATGAGTCAGTCATTCACCGCCACAGTTTGTTTTCCCAATTGCACTTGTAATTGGCACCAATTGGGCATACAAATTAGGGTCTAATGGGTGGGCCCATAGGGCCTACAATGTACTAAAGGGTACTATGAAGATCACTAGTAACGGTATTAAAATGTTCAAATTATTTAAAATTTGTGATAATATTTTTAGGATTAACATTTAATATCTCTTCCTTTATAAACAAAAATAAATGTTATCTTTATGTAATTGTAAAAAATTGCATGAAGCATATGAGCATCGCGCGAAAAAAAAAAATAACATTTCCTTTTGATCTAAAGGTGTTTTGATTCTAAAGTTTACTAAAAATATATTTGTTAAAGCTATTTTTCGATTCTTGAAAAACAAAATAGTTCTAAAAATATAATTTTTAATTTTAAAAAATATATGGTACATACCTGTAGGATATTTCCAATAGCATATGAAAGTCCATTTAAGTTTCTCATGCTAGTCAAAGACGATGATGTTCCAGTAATAAAGGGTGTTGCCCAGTCGTTGTAACCCATCCACAAGGTAGTTCCCCGGTGCACCTGTGCTCGTGTATCAGGTGAATCCGCTTGGCTGGCTGCCTCTGTCTTTTTAGCCGCTTGCACATGACAGTTACACTAAATAATTGCCGTAATGTGATTTGACAAATTGTTTGCTTGCACTTAGCAAACGCAATTCGGCGACATTTTTGCCATTTATCTAAAATTTGTGCGAGCCATTGCGGAAGAGGAATCCGTTATGGATTGCCAAATACCATATTTTTTGCCGAGTTGAATCTTTTACAACGAAGATTTACATAACCCCTTGATTTCGGAGGGGAGAAAGTCGAGCATTCTGCATTTCTTCTGGCCAAAAAAGTCGGAGGTAAGGGACGGTGCCGCTTTCTGCGTTTCCATCCAAAGCTCTTTTCTTACTTCCAACACACTGCCGATAGAGCCGAACCAAGCCATCAGCGATTACAGGCACATAATTAAGGGTAACTATCGCACAAATGGTTCTCGGATGCGACGGACCACATCCACATCCACATCCACCTCCACATGGCACTGCATCGCATCGTTTGCCGCTCCAGTTTCCAAATGTCAAGCAAGGGATTCGAATTGGGGGCAGTACTGGATGCACTTTGGGATGGGGAGCCGATCACAACAACAAACAATGGCAGCCAGTCAACGATCCAGATGCATTTAAACGGGAACTTTGGAGAAAACTAATGTCATCGTATGCAGAATTGCTGTTAAATTGGTTTTAGATACTTAAAGCAAACACTTTATCATGACCTACATCTTAAAGTGGGTTGAACAGGAACTACAAAGAAATTGGTTTACTATTCTGTACTGGATCGGGTTTACTTTTCTTTGACTCTAAGGCATCTTAAATTACTTTATTATTATTATAGTTTAATTGATTCTACTTCTTTTTGTTTCTATTTATTTCACTTCAAGCAACTCCACTTTTTTTAAATGGTCTAATCAATCATAAAGTTTATCATCGTAAAATGAATACTATAATTTACAAAGAGTTATAATTCCCAACTCAAGTTTCTGAGGGTTGTTTTCAGGCAGAATTAATATACTTAAAATAATAATTTAATACTTAAAATGTTTAGCTACTTATTAGACTAGTAATACTTAAGATTTTAAGCTACTAGTTTCTTATTAGAGGTTAGATAGCCAACGAGTTTTCCCCGATGAAGAAAGTGAAATCCCTGCCTGCTTTAATGGGTGATATGTTTTCCGGAGAGAGCGAGAGTGCGGCCGTAGACAAAGGTTAGCCTCATTAAGTGTAAAAGTGTCAATAAACCGCAGTTGGAGTTGGCAGATACCTATACTCTGTGTCCATACACATATCATATCGTGGGGGTCCAGTGGCAGTGGTATTCGTCGACGACAATGGCTCATTACTTAATGGCCAAGAACCAGAGAACCCGGCCAATTGACACCCGGCCAAAGCAAAAGCAAAAGCAGAAGAAGCTGTTAAACTAATTGCCGCAACTTCCACTTGACTATGTCAACGTGACGAGTTGGACGATCCATTGTCTCTGTGTTTGCAACCTGTTAGCAGCGGGTGGCACCGAGTCACCCAGCAGGTGGCTTTAAAGTGCGGCTGGCTTAAAGCACTGGTCTTAACCCCCAAAAATATGGCAAATTGACAACTAATTTCGGCCGAGACGAAATCCGAAATACGAAATCCCCCGAAAAGCCAGACTCATGACAATTTCCTGCCGCGCCTTGTCTCATTTCCTTATTCCGCAGAGCGACTACGGCGAGGCCAAGACGCACTTGGAGCAGCTGCAGCACCTGGACCACCACCTCCACCACCACGCCCACTTGGGGCTCTACCATGGGGCTTTGCCCGGCACATCCACCTTAACCACCGACTCGGTGGTTTCCTGTGTCAGCTCCACTTTACCGGCGGTGGCCAAGGCCATTTCCGCATCCTCCAGCTGCGACGGCCTGGAGGCGGAGAGCAAGAAGTGCCACGCCAGCGAGCTGGACTCGGGTGGGCAGGGCCTCCTGGAGGCCATCTGCCTGGGCCAGAAGACGTCGCCCCCGGTGCCGCCGCCGCCACCTCATCCTCCTTGCTGCCTGGCCTTGGGCGGAGGAGCCGCCTCGCCCACGCCCATCGCCACGGCCGCCCTGATGAACGCCTCCGCCGGATCCTCCAGCTCGGGCGGAGCAAGTGCCTCTCTCTGCAACGGTCTGTATAGGTCTTGTGTAGAAGGAATAATATTATACTTCCAATAGTACTTATACTTTGATTCCAAGTTACCTTTGGATAATATTTGTTATATTCAGTGATCAGTTTATATTTTGAATTGAATAGGAAAATTCACCATTTTCAGATAGTTGAAATTCCACATTTGGGAATACAATAATTATTTTACTCGGTGAAAGTTAATATATGTTACAATATATGGTATTAAGAAACAAAACTCGTAGATAAAAAACTAAAGTCTAAATAATCTTTGCATTCATAATATTCATTTTATGTCTTAATATATATCCAAAATATTGTATTAATAAAGTTATAATTTCACTTTCAAGGGCGATTAAATGTGATTTTTAATATTTTGGAAATAAAATCTGTTATCGAGCTGAGTTAAATGTAAAGTAAATGACATGTATTCGAAAGTTGGATGAAAATGTAGGCCTATTTATTTCATTTTAATAAAAATCCTTTTATGCCATTAAGGTAGTCACTATTTATAGTCTTTTCCTAAAATAAAGAATAAATTCTGAACAAATTACAAAAAGATAGATTTTCCGATCTAGAAAGAGCTCAGTATTGAAAACGATTATTAAAGCCAACTTACCATGACACGCCAGTATCTAATGCCTCATTCGATCCTCCCACTCTCACTCTGCAGATCTCACGCGGGAGTCCTCCTGGTACGCCCACCACCACCACCACCACCATCATCACCACCAGCAGTTGGCCGACGAGCTGGTCATGTATGCCACGCCCACGCCCACGCCGGCGATTGGGAAGTTCGGCCTGGACACTTCCACCGAGGGTTACTTGAACGCAAGGTACAATGGTAAGCGTCCTCGTCCACGTCCACCGTCAAGTCCGGATGCAGCCAGTTCCCGCTCCTCGTCCTGATCCACCACCCACCTCCCACTCCCACCCACTGTATCCACTTTCTGTTTGCCTTTGCTATTTACACGTTCGCTTGTTTATTAATTTTCCATTATGAGTTGGGACAAGTGAGTGGGGGTTGGTTGCGAAATGGTCCTGGGCTCTGGTTCCAAGGGAGTGGGCTTGGGATTCCGGATTTCGGCTTGCCCTTTGCCGCCCGCAGGCTCTGTTTCAGCTTAGATTGTTTTTTTAAGTTTTTTATTAAGAAAACATTACTGAATTCGGCGCGTGCCGAGACCTAGGAAGATAAATACATTTGAAGCTCTAGTTTAACTTAGCTGGAGTCGAAAGTTAATCGTTTAAACATGATATTGTTTTTCCTTTTTTTTATGTTTAGACTTTTGGCTTAGATTTAAGGAGATGCCATAATAATCGTAGAAATAAAGTAACCAAATTTGAATCGAATTCGATTAGAAGAAATCAATCTGAAGACTGATTTAACAAATTCAAGTTAAAGTAAACGAGATAGTATTTAAACAATATTAAGGGGTTATATACAGTTAGGAGGTCGAAAAATGAATTTTTCAAGAATTTTTTTAAGCAAACAATTTATTATTGATTTATTGATTTGTGACTTAGGAGGTATATTATGACAACCTTAAACTATACTCACATAATGAAGTGTAAAGCTAAGTATAAAGTCTGCACAGATTTATTATTTATTAATTAAGTCAAAATAATTTTTAATTTGACTGGGGGCTTTAATATATTTCCCTTGTATTCAAACCTTTAATAAACTTATTTTAAATTGGCAGCCCCCGATTCCTTGGTTAAGCACTCTTTAATCTCCCGTCCACAGTCCTTATTCCATTTTTAGTTATCTAGTCGGGAATTTTGGCTGGCATTCGATTATGGCCAAGTCAAGTGCATGTGACAAGCTCGATTTGTGGCCTCAAAGGCATCCCGGTGCGAGCGTTAATATGAAATATTATCTAACAAAAGTCGAGGCCACCTCGGTGGACTGCGAGATGTTCTCCGAGGGAGCTTCCCATCCAGAGCTTCCTTCTATTTGCGAGTGGAAAAAGTAACCGTGACTTCTTCTTTTTTACCTCCCATTTCTGCAGTGAATGTCAAAGGCGTGCGCCATGAAAGAACATCCACTTTCTTTGACATTCCCGCTGTGACGCACCCACACTCGCATCCGCATTCGCATCCGCACCCGCATCCGCATCCGCACCCGTACTGCTACAGGTAAGAAATCCGGGGATTGAACGCCACGCTGACAAGACAAGTCAACTTTAAGTCAATCAGCGGAGTCGCCTGCTCCTCGAATTGCTTCTATATATTCCTGTGATTTATGCTCCATCCAGGTTTCCATCATCGCCACCCGCGGGCATTCTGAAAAAGAGCGACGAAGGTGAGTCCCTAAGATTGAAAAATGAAAAGAAAATTATTAAAGCCGGGCGCGCTCATCATTTATTCAAATTATTGAGCGCGATACGCATACCTATCGGTGGGTAACTCAATTTGCTGCCTCGCTTCTTAGTGGCTCCAATATTTTTTCAAATAAAATGCAAGAAATCGCGCGCATAATTTACAATAACAATATCGCCGGTGTTAGTAACCGCTAATCCAATTGGCGGCGGCACAAGCGTGCGATTCAATTTGATGCCCAGATACACATAGTTCGCCTCCGGTGGGCGTGGTCGTGGCGGCGGTCGTGGGCGTGGGCGGAATCCGCCGCCCAGCAAACAAGCAACTCAATCACGGGGCCGTCGTTGAGTGGTTTGTGTCAGCTACACCACCCACCCACCCCAAACACCCCATTGAACCATCACCTACACTCAGAAAAACTCTTATTTTTGTCTTTTGTACTTTAAGGTTTCCTTAAACATGAATAGCACTTTTTAAGAAACTTTCCTTCTTGCTAAAACGAATCCTTCAAAAACAAAGTAGAGGAAATATGTAGACGTAGAATAACTAGACGTACTAATAACTAGTATTCAGGAGAAGTTTTCTTCAAGAAATATCTAAACGAACTCAGTAAACAAAAAATAAAATAAATATAAATTGGTCTAATCCTAAATGATTGATGTTCCAATATTTACTTACTTAGAATATTCTTAAATTAAAAGAATGATTTGAAAGGTGATTTCTTTTAAAAGGCTTTTGATATCTAAGAGCACATATTCCTAAAGGTATGACATTTTGTCTTGATTTTAAAATGCAGAAATATAATTTCAGGAGTGCAGTGCACAGACACACCCCCTCACACCCCCTTAAACCTACTCACACCCACCCACACCCACTCACACCCAATGAAACCAACAGGTCTTCGTTTCCCATCAGTTGCTGCTCGTTTGTTGTTATCGACAATGATGTTTTTACTTGTCGACACTTGCTCATGGATTATGCAAAGGTATCTCCTGAATTTTTAATGCCCCCAGCGTCGAGTCGCGATGAGGGGTGGATGAGGGGAGAACGAGGGGAGGATGAGGAACGGGAGATCTAGAGTAACTGCCTAATGAAAAGGGCAAACTCGAGTGGTGCTGCGGGTGGGGAGAACTCGCCCCCGTTAAATTGCAGCATATTGAGCATTTTGCAGCGACTGGCGGGAGTGGGTTGCTTAAATAATTAATTGCTGCTAAATACCCTGGCCATTTAGAAAAGGCAAGAGCCACACAAACAAAGCAAAACAATGTAAAAGAGTTTTTTATGGCCATAGAGAAGGTTGCATTCCCTTTAATGAGGTGAAAATCTTGTATTTTGGTGTAATAAGCTCGGAAAACTGTTTTGCTATTAAAAGGTGTAAATAGAGTTATTCTAAAAATTTTTGTTAAACTAAGATTTATTATCCTTAGATGAACTATCTACTTAAATTAATAAACAAACATAGTTTGATTAGAATATTATTTTTTTGTTAATGCAACATTCAATTTAAAATGTCCGTTGATGATTAATTTCACGATTGAATTACAAAATGTACTTTAAATAAGAAGGATACGAACCCTTCTTATCCCAAATGCCGAACCCATAGAACCCACCCTAAGTAAGGGTATCCAAAATAGTAATTAGCATCGTTCCCTCGATGCCGGGACATTGGGCAAACGTGCATGAAAGCGGCTTTCTCTCCTGCTGAACTCCTTTCCCGAATCCTTTTTTCAGATGCGGCCACCGCTGCCGCCGCTGCTGCCGCCGCCGCCGCTGCAGCCGCAGCAGTCTACTGCAGCGACGTGTCCTCCGGCCAGCACTTCCAGCACCACACGAAGATCGAGCACGCGGACTCCACCACCACGGCGGCCCAGCAGCAACAGCAGCAGCATCAGCAGCAGCAACAGCAGCAGCAGCATCAGCAGCAACAGCAGCAGCAGCAACACCACCAGCAGCAACTGCAACATGCTGCTGCACTGCATCCGCAGCATCACCATCACCATGGTCACCACAGCCAGCAGTCGGAGCAGCAGGCTCTCACCCACCTGACACCGCTCCATGCCGCCTCCGCCTTTAAGTTCAGTCACACGGCGGTGATATCCAGCTCGGCGGTATATGCCACGCCCTCCCACTACGCCCACCAGCAGCACACGCAGTCGCAGTCCGTCTACCGGGATTTATCGCCCGCATCCTTGGCGGCGGTCAGCGATGCGGACCTGAAGTACGACAGTGGTCCCTACAACGCCACCATCTCCTCCACCTATCCCTCCGCGCTGCGGCCCAATGTGGTGGACTCCACCACCTCCAGCGATGCGGAACTGCGCCTGGATCAGTTCTACGCCAGCAATGGCATCTCCACCAGCAGCAATGGCCAGACGATCAGCCAGCGGAGGGGTTCCCTGCAGCTCTGGCAGTTCCTGGTGGCCCTCTTGGACGAACCCACCACCAGGTGAGTGGATAGTATTTTATTGAAGTGGGATATGAGTTCTTAACTTAAGGGTCCATTCTGGTTAGTTGTGTCAAAAAAAGGCAATATTCAGGTTTTTTTTTTTGAACAAAGAAAAAACATAGGTACTTCAAACTTTTCAGGTATATTTCTGATACATTAAAGATAATTTTGTAAAAATTTCAAAATTTTTGAAGCATTTCCGGAAGCAGGACACAGGAACCCCGCTGGCGACCCTTCTACAGTACAGTACCGTATGGAATGTACTACATTTATCGAAATTGAATAAAAAATTTCAAAATAACGGTGTTTTTAAAATTAAGTGTCGTTTTTACCGAAATTTTCTTCACTTTTTTGTCGATAAAAAATCCAATCTATAAGCTATCTATGTAATTCTAATTCATTCCATGGACAATTAAATTACGGGTAATTAAAAAAAAAAACATTAAGATTCGTTAAAAATTGAGATGGTCGCCAGCTCGAAATATTTAGTTTTCCAGAAAACGCGTTTAAAGTTTTATGTACTCGGAGGCTCATAACTTTTAAACTATTACGTATTTCGATTTGCCCTTTTAGTATGATATTCAAGACACTTGAAGCTATAGAAAAATGCAAAAAATTGTTTTTCGATTTTTTTGAACAAACTAATCAGAATGGACCCTAAAGCTTGAATGAGAGGTTCATTCAATATCAGGGGTATTCGAATTTAAAATGTCATATTTTCTTGCAGTGCCAGCTGCATCGCCTGGACAGGTCGTGGCATGGAGTTCAAGCTGATCGAGCCGGAGGAGGTGGCCCGCCGTTGGGGTCTCCAGAAGAACCGGCCGGCGATGAACTACGACAAATTGTCGCGCAGTCTGCGCTACTACTACGAAAAGGGCATCATGCAGAAGGTGAACGGAGAGCGGTACGTCTATCGGTTCGTCTGCGATCCGGATGCACTGTTCAACATGGCCTACGGTCACCTAACCACCGGATCCGGCAAGGGTGACCAGCACCAGTTGACCCTGTCGCTGGCCAAGACGCCTCCAACTTCCGGCGACTCCCAGACGCAATCGCCTCGCGGGGCCAAGTCGGATTATTACGATACCGCCGGATTGCATAAATATTAGCTACATGGTCTTTCTGTCTGTGTGTGTGTGTGTGTGTATCCATATGTGGGCGGAGCGTGGGAATGCGGCCGAGTGGGCGTGGCCAGGTCCCGTGTACATTGTGTAATCTAGTTGCGTGTGTATGTGCGTGGGGTCACGAATTTGAAATAAAGGTTTCGTTATGATGAGCTGGGTGAGGAATAGTCGGCATGAGGGGCATAAAAGCAACTTGACAGTATAGAAAATCGAGGTCACCAATTACTTTCTTTTGGCCAAAGCTAGATGTGCAGCTTACTTCAGTAAATATAAGACCAATACTGGTGATTTATAATGTTGTTTATAAAATATCGTATCAGAATAAAGCTCACGCTACCGCAAAGCTATGCATAGAATCGGGGTCACCAGTCAATATTATTCATGCTGATCCAGAATCATTACCGGAAATGAATTTCTTGTGTTATGTCGCCCAATTTTAAAATAACTGATTGTACTAAAATAGAGATATACCTGATATCTTCATTTTTATTTTTGCTCAGTATAAAGTTGTGCCCCTCCCCTGACAAAACCGTACATTATTGATTCCAACGACCAGGCTCATCAAAACGACAAGCGATTGGTACTAAACGATATTTACATATAGTATATACTTACACGTATACATACAATAATCTGTGAATATAGAGGGGGATACAAAAAGAAACACCTTTGTGTCCACCACTAATCGTAGTCTGCGTTGAGGTTGAGTTACTTAAATAAACTATTAAACCTGTTTTCGTTTTCGAAACCCACATAATTTGGCAGTTTAGGAATCAATCAAAATTCGTACATGTTGAATCTGAATTAATTCCTTTGCCGTCAAATTTGATAGTTTGGAAAGCGGAAACAGGATGTATTAACCGTTTCTGTTCGTTAATCAAATGGCATCAGTACTTTCAATTGAATACACCTCACTCCTCCTTCTTCTTCTTCTTTTTGGGCTTGTCCTCGTCCTCGGAATCCTGGCTAGTGCTACTGGAATCGTTGGCACTGCTGCTGCTCTCCTGCTTGCGTTTTTCCGGGGTCTTCTTGGCCAGCTTTTCGATGTACTGCTTCAGTTTGTCCGGCTGTGGGCTATATGCCCAGTGGATCAACTGCAGGTGGAGATCGGAGGGTGCTCCTGATTCAGAATCGAAGAGCTTGGCCTCCTCGCTTTTGATCTGCTCCAGCAACTTGGCCAACTGCCGATTGCGGACAATGTCCCAGCTGGTCTTCTCATCCTCCTTAGGGAACATGGTGCGCAGGTGCTTGTAATTTCCCTTAGCCTTGGAACCGCCATAAGCTTCCAGGAACTCGCTGGCCAACTCCTCCTGGGACTCCGGCAACTTGGTGACCACGGCGAGTGGTAAATAGGCACGGTTCTCCTTCACCCGGTTCTCGGCCTCGAACTTCTCTAGGAAATCCTCCAGCACCTGGACGCCCTCCTTGATGGCCTTGATCTTGTCCTCGTTCTTGGTGCCGGACAACACACGCTTCGAGCTGCCAATCAATCCCTTGATGGCCAACTTCTGGTAATCCGGATCGCGCTCCGCCAAAATGCTGCAATGCGAGATGCATATATAAACATTTTGGATACAGGCAAACTGTGGAATGTGCCTATATATATGTACATGTAAATATTAGGGTGGATCGGGTATGTGGCAATTATAACTGGCAAACCAAAACATACTCTTTAGTACCAGATTACACAGTCAGCAAGCAACAAAAGGTTGAGGAATGTATATAAACATTTTTTAAAAATATTCATCAGACTATTTTCAGATTTCTACTTATAGACAGATAGACAAATAGATAATGTTTTATTTTGCATTCCGATTTAGACTCTATGAAAGGCTAATTTAAACACAGGTTTTATTTTGCATTCCTATTTAGATTTTATGGAAGGCTAATTTAAACATATATTTGAAGAAGAATGATTAAAAGTATTAACATTTAAATCGTATGCAATTATTGAAAGATAAAAGATAAAACCGCATGAAAACTGAAACACATTTATGTTTAAGCAGAACTGCTGTGAAATTGAGGTATTAATATGGTATTATTGGGAAATGTCAAAAAATATTTAAGCATTAATTTAATCGATCCACCCCAATACTTAGATGTGTACGCAGAGCGGCGGATGGGAAGAGCGCAGTGGCCGCTCTATCAACTTAATGAGACTTCCGAGTTCGACACTCTAAAACTGTGCCATGACATCATTTGACGTCGTCGCTGGTTGAATAGGCTGAAGGTCTCCGGCTCATTTGCATGCCAGGGAAGAGGATGACCTGGCCACTTACCTGAGAGTCGCCTCCGCAGCCGCCTTGTCCTTGAATCCCAGTCCAGGGACCGTCTCCACCTTGTCCTCACTGTCGGTCTTGGCATTCTTACTCGATGCTCCACCGCCATTCTCCTCCAGCCATTTCTCGAAGACTCCAATGGCCGCATTGATGTTTTTCAGCTTCTCCTCCGCTTTGGTCACTGGGATAAAGGGATTGGGTTAGGGGGTATAAGATATATGGCTGGGATCACTTACTTGTTAGGACCCTCTTTGCCCTGCCGAGCAGTCCCCTCACCGTCAACTTGCGATACTGCATGTCGTGGTCCTCCAGCAACTTCAGTGTCTCCAGCGCCTTCTCCATATCCTTGAAGCCAAACTTCGATTCGCCGTCCGACATGGTTCCTCCTTTGGTTGCTAATACTTGTGTATCTGATATGTCTTATAAATAGCGTCTGCAATGTGCAAGCGCCAGACTACGACTGAATTTGGATGGCCAGAGTGCCATACTAGATGACATATGGAATTTAATTATAGGAAGGCCAAAAAAGAGCGCCACTGAGAGACGCTGAGCACCGCTGAGCAGGCCCAATTAGATAAGCACCACAAAATAACTGGGTGACTCTATGATTGGGAACCGGTTTGTTGTCGGATCGGAGGAGCAAAACAAAACCCACGAAAAATAATCGAGACCTAGAGTTGCCATGACGTCAGCGCCACAACAAACTGATAACAAACCACGTATGCGAACTCAGGGGCGTATACGCGACATTCAAAGGGAATTAATGTAAAATACTTGGAAATATTAAGAAATAATAAAAAGAAATTAATAAGTATTCAAAACTTTTAAGAAGGGGAAATGGTTATAATTTCAAATGAATTCGAAATAAATACTCGCATAGTTTTTATAAGGCATTCAATGACAATAAATATTATCGAAGTGTAAAAATCTTAATTACATGTTCTATTAAAAACAATAAATTATCTTGCATACTTATTACTTCCATTTTTAATAAATTTGAGCTTTAAATTGTCATATGATAACACATTTTTATGGTGATCTTTAAAATTCCATAGGTATTATAGAGAAAATAAAATATTCGCGATTTGCTGTCAGTTTCATCTGATGAACTTAACTATATAAATAAAGATATGATAGCACAGATAGTCTGGTAAGCACATACACGCATATGTACATTAGGTCATAGATCTTAGCATAATTTATTAGGAAAACCAAAAGCGAAACCCGTGCCCATCAATACAGACTTGATTTGATTTAATTTGTTTCTGATGTATTTTAACATGGAACTCGAAACGCTTTGGGCTTATAGGATTACTATTGGCTAGTTGCAGCTGCGCCGTATTTGGAGTACGTCGTCGACCATAAAGTTGCGCAGGTGGCACAGTGCCTGCACCACGTTGCCCTGGTCGCGAAGATTGGGTCCGATCCATTGCTCGGGTAGCGGCGCCTTGGCCACCACTTGTGCCGGGGTGACGTGCGTCAGCGCCCGCCGCCAGCTGTTGTTGCAGGTGGCGACGTTCAGGTGGCTGCCGGTCTGCAGGCTCTCGATGTACTTGATGTACGCCTCCGAGTGGATGACGCGAGTGGTGCGCGGTGGCACGGTCACGAACAGTGGTTCCGGCGGCGGTCCCAGCACTATCGTTTGCTGCTGCATCTGCTGCTGTTGATGGACGTTATGCTGCTGTTGCTGCTGGATCTGTACGGCATCTAGATTGGTCGGACCGCGTGGCGATTGCGCGAGGCTGGGCGGGATGGGCACTGTTGTGGCCAGCGAAGCATGCTTCGGACGACGCGGCACAAAGTTCTTGCTGCGGTCTGCCACCGCCACCGGCTTGCCGCACTTGCTCAGGTGAACTTCGCGCACATGCTTGGTGAGGCGCAGGACATTGGGGAAGGCCTGCGTGGATTTCTTAATGCGTGGGCAGTTGCGCCACAGACAGATATACTCGATCTCCACACCCGCCTGTGGATTGCGCTGAATGTGACCCGTGGCATCGGACATACAATGCTCCGTGCAGTCGCCCAGCTCCTCGAACTGAAAGTCACACTTGTCCCACTGGCACTCGAAGGTAAGCACCTGGCTGGAGCCATCCTGCGACACTTGGGGCGAGGGACTGGCGCTGTTCTGGGCGTCGTCCAACTCGCGGCGCATAGCCGCCGTCTCCTCGTTCTGCCTGCTCGCCCGATCCTCCCAGCTCTGTTTGACGCTGGAGGGGAGATTCTTCCACTCGGTGCCCACCATGCGGGATATGTCGCCAAAGGAGGCTTCGGGATTGCTCTGGCAAATGCCTAAAAATATAAAAATGGTGACTTAGACTTGGAAAGCTCTACGAATCAGCAATTAAGTTTATCTAACCTTTTCTGACTTCACTGGAATAGAGAATGTAGCCAGTAAGACACTTTTTAGCCGATTTGGCGGCCTTTACTTTGGAGGTCAGTGGCGTGGAGTTCACTGAAGGAGCCGGCGAGGACATGGCAGCAATGTCAGAGCTCAGTGAGGGCGTATCCCCATCCATCGAATCCTCCAGCATGCCCAGCTCGTTTATCTCGTTTTTCACGTCCTTAGAGGGCTTGATTGGAGTCTTAAAATAGAAGATCTCGTCCTCGGTGACGGCAGGACTATGCTGAAATTTGCGCAAACTGCCGGCGGCCAACTTGCGAAGAGCCTTTTTCAGTTCGTCGTAGACGGACTCGCAGATGTATACATCGCTCTCGGAAATCTCCGTGGGCCGGGAGCTAATAAATTCGGCGTACTCAAGGACGGCGCAGCGACCCACAACACCCACCACCGGACTGACCTCCTCGACGGTGCTCAGCAGCAGCTCCTGGCGGAAGAATTGCTTGCCCAAACCAGGAGTAGTTTCGCTGGGGGGCAGCAGCCATGGGCCCTTAAAGTAGGACTTTCCATTTTGCTCCCATATCTGCTGCACTTGGGCCACCGACTGCTTCCCGGTTTGGGTGGCGACGTACACAAAGTCCCCGGTTTTAATGGCCCCACTGCAGACTGTGTTGTACTGCTGGTAGTAGGTGCTGTTATTCTCAGCATTTAGCGGCGGATCACAAGACACATTCGGTTTCTCCTTCTCGACCAGCGTCTCTTGGAGTTTAAGCTCCTCCAATTCGCCCTTGTGCTTTTCCAAACGCTCCTTAAACACGGACATCACGCGCTTCAGCTCCAACGGCTGCTCGCGCGGTACGAATTTCACCGAACTGCCCTCGCGGTTTGGCGGCCAGTTTTTGAGTTTCTTGAAACAGCGACCCTGGATGTTGTACCGAGACTCGCACACGAAAACATCTTTCTCGGGCAGCTTTTCCGGGCGCATCTTGATGTAATCCCTGATGTTCATCACATAGCACATGCCCAGCACCTTATCCATTGAGATGGTCTGCGAGAGACCGCTCTTGAACACCTCCTTCTCGAGGAACTTGCGAGTGGTTACATGGTACGTTTCGTGTGGCCGAACGAAGATTGAGGCCTGCATCAGTTTTTCATTGGTGGGCGATGTCCACAGGCGCTCGATGCTGGCTATCGATGGTATCTTGTTTTCCGGCATCTGGACGTAAACATAATCGCCAGGGGAGAATACCTGCTGATTTATTGTCATGCTTTCACCCTTGGCGGCGTTGAACTCGTCCTTTTCCTTTTCCTGCTCCTGGTCCTGCTCCTCTTGTTGCGCCTTTTGCTGTCGACTTACCTCCACATCGGATAAAAGGCGCTCAAGGGTAAAAGTGAGAGCGGGTGAACTGAGAGTATCCTTGCAAAGTTCGTCCCGCTTGCGGATGAAATAAGTCTGCAGCTCAATGGAGTCCTGGAAGGATGAACAGTAATTATGTGTTTATTAAGGAATTTTCATTTTCAATTAGTTACTAACCTGAAATATATCCGAATCTGTACGCGACAATTTCCTTGCCCGCTCCAAACAAGCGAATATATCTTCCTGGTAGATATCCAATCGCTTGTAAGCTCCTTTGTCCAGCCTTCGCTTCACGAGATCCAGCGAGATGCCGCGCACCTTGGGTCCTTCGCCCTGCTCATCGTACTCGGGCAATTCAGCCAGGGAGTCCGAGTAGCAGCGACCCTCCTCGTCCTGGTGATTGTAAAGAGTGGTGAACAGTGTGAGGAAGAGCTCCTGCACGGCCAGGGGAACATCCGGAAGAGAATCGCGCTCCGTGCGAAGTTGTTGCTTCAGCTGCAGCGTCAGTTGCTGGAGCACCAGGGCATCTTTGTAGATCTGCGAGTCTGGTTCATTGTACTTGCAGGCATTCTCCAGCATTAGGAGGAAATCGGCAGCCAAGTCGTCTAAGCTCTCGTAAGCGCCCTGTTTCAGTTTCTGAGCAATGCGCTCCATATCGATCGGTTCCTTAATAATGTCATAGTAGTCCGGATACTCGTTCTTCGACGGCAGCTTGGTGAATATGAGCGATAGCTGCCTCTTGCCTTTGGGCTCCTGGTACTCCCGCACTGTTTCGTAAAACTGCCAAAGACGATCCGTAATCAGAGCGGTCTTTAGCTTCCTGCCCACCTTGCTGTACTTTTGCTGGGTCTTCTTGACCTCCACCAGACCCGGAAACTCCTTCAGCTTTTCGTTTAGGGCTCGTTCAAGAGTGTTGGCATCCTCGTATATGTTAGAACCTTCCTCATTGTACTGCCGGCAGTTGGAGAACATGAGTCGGTAGTCCGACACCACGTCCTCTACGGCAGCATAGCGATCGGTGCGGATATTGTGTTCAATGGTATTCATGTCAATGGGATTCTGGATGATATCATAGTAGTCCGGATAAATCTTTCGCGGCGGTTTCTCCATAAACATTTCGATGGGCCGACGATTGCCCAAAGAGTAGTCCACCAGATATTTCTGTATGCTCAGAATCTTCTTTTTAATTGCAGCATTGATGGCAATGCGGTTTGTTTTGGGTGAATTCGAGTTGTTTGGCGTGTGAGAAGCATTCGAGTTGGAGTTGGAGTTCACGCGCGGTCTGCCCGGCTTGCGCCTCTCCGGTTGCGAGTTCGCCGTAAAGACCTCGGTTTCTATATCGTCTGCGTCTTCCTCATCCAGATCGCTCGTCTCCTCCAGCGATTCCTCCACTAGCTTGGCGTTCATAAGCTTCAACATTTTCAGAGCATCTTTGTGCGTGCGATGGGAAGGAGGAAACGCCTTTTTGGCATTGTCCAGCATTAGGTACAGATCGGCGGTGAGATCACTGATGTTCGCATAGTCGCCCTTTTTCAGCTTCGTGTGGATCTGGCTCATGGAGATGGGACGTTTGATTAGCTCAAAGTACTCGGGGTGGAAGCGACGCACTGGCAGTTTCCACAGGAAGTTGCCCAGCGGTGGGCCAGTTACGCCAGGGTGCTCGGAAGTTCCTGGTGCATTGTACAGGTGATCAAAAAGCGCCCACATGGGACCCTCTCCCTTTTTGCTCGTCTCCTCGTCGTCCGAGCTGTCCACCTCTTCTTTTAGTGCTGGAAAAACCAAACAGAGATATAATGTTTATTGGAGAATAATAGTTATTCCTAGTTATGATTCTCACCAGCAATTGCCGCACTGGACAAGCTCTTTATCCTCTTGGCCAGCTTGCCCTTGCCCGTCTCCAGCTCGATACGCCGCTGCGTAAAGATGCGTTTCAGGGCCTTGGCGTCCTTGTAGATCTGCGAGCCTGGCTCGTTGAACAAACACGCGTTCTTAGTCATCTGCAGCAGATCCCTCTCCATTTCCACTAGCGAGGAGTAGGCGTTCATTTGTATTTTGGTCGCAATCAGCCGCAAGTCAATGGGGTGCTCGATCACATCGTAGTAGTCGGGGTAGATTTTCTTCGAAGGCAGCAGCTGGAACATACGGTGCATGGCCCGATCGCCCACGGGATCGGAGGCAGTCATAATGGAGGCAAAGAGCTCCTCGTACTGGTTGTACTCGTCATCCATTCCATCGAGGCCTGGTTCCGTGCTGCTCGTCATCCGGCGCACTTGCCGTGAAATGCGTCTGGCACGCGGCTCTTCCTCCGCCAGGCCATTGGCCTCCATGATGCGCTGCCTCTGCGCCTGGATGTGCTGCCACAAGGAGACCGCGTCCTGGTGCTCGCAACTGTCCGGCTTGTAGAACGCCTTGGCATTGCCAATAAGGAGCTCTAGGTCGGCCATCAGGTCGTCTAGGTCGTCGTAGGAGTCCGTTTTCAGCTTCTGCTGCACCTTGAGCAGATCGATGGGATTCACCACCACGTCATAGTAGGAGGGCTCCTGGCGGCGCTTGGGCGCCCGGATGAAGGTGTCGCACAGCATGGAGCCATCCTCCTTCTTGATGTTCCTTATGGAGTCATACAACTGCTGGCAGAGTTCCGTGGGGTCGAGGCGGCGCTTTTTTCGCGCCGATTGTGTCGTGGTCTGCTGCACCGGCGACTGCTCCGGCGTCGAGTCGTCCAGCTGCAGCGGATCTTCGTCCTGCCGGCTGGAGATGCTGCTCGCCCGGCGCTTACGGCTCAGCATCGTGTTACCCCTGTGATCGGTTCAATTAAAATCTAAAAATCGGAAAATAAGACGCCACCACACAAAAAATGCCACAAAAAATTTCAGAGATGTGCGAAAAACTAGTGGCGATAGTCGAAAAGCGATACATCGCCCGGGGGCCTATCGCTGTGGTGGTGAGTAATCGAAATCGAAAATGTGGTGCCCATAGTGGTGAAAATAGAATTTAAATTACTGAACATATTTCCTCCTTAAAATTTTAGTTATATTTTCATCTATTACAATTATTTTAATTTTTGATAACTACCTAAACTGAGAATAACTTCCATAAAATATCATCAACAAAATATATTTTCTTAAATTCTTTATTTATCCTAGCAGCTTCATTAATCTTTTATTTAAAGTCAGTAAATCACAGCAATATCGTAGGTAGTTTCCCCTTAAACTGCAGCTCCTCCACGGCAACAAGGTATTCAAGCCAATAGGAACAACGATGTCAGGCTGAAATAAGAGTTCAAGAAAACCAAAATCAGATAAAACGGCAGCTATGTGGAAGCGCGTTATTAAAAAGCCATGACATGTCGATTAATTTAGTAAAATGCGTTGTTTATTATATTTTATCACATAAGTTTAAGACGCTTGTAAGTGTGTGATTGTGTGAATATTGGGTTGCAGAGTTGAGTATGCATAAAATGAAATGAAGGCGCCTCAGTCGATGCGCTGCTTAAGGAACATTGTTAAAACCTTATATATATAACTCAAAAATACGTAGATATACAGCGAAAAAACATGTATGAAATGGAATTTAACACTTGACTCTGAACGAGAACAGATAGAGTGAAATACAAGAATTATAAGCCTACATCTACTACAAACGGTTGACTGTGGCTTATGTTGCACAATAACATTATCTATTTACACGACAATTATTGGCGAGGTTTTTGCGAATAAATATATATTGGCACACGGGTGCTACAGTTCTCCATCAACTGGCGGCATGGTGATATGCGGGTCCCCTCGAGGACTCTGTATAAAGTACAACAATTAAGCACAACAGTAAACAGCGTAACATTTAAATATTAGTATCAGTTCTGCACAACTACGCGTGATCATATAACATATGTAAAGGTATATTATATAGTTTCAGCTGCCTGTCTCCCATGTTTTGCTTATTCCTCAACAGTTCATTTCGTTTGCCTTGCGACTAGCGGTGGTATTGCGACTGCGCTTACGACTAAGATTACGATACTTGGTATAGAAACTAGTTAGGCTCTTCAGCGGCGACTCGACAAGGCGTCTCACCAGGTAGCGGTGGACATAAAACGCGTTGTCGTGTCGGTTGCACCAATATCAGTTGATGAAGCTAATGTAGTTAGTAAAGAGCACATAGTTCTCCACTAACCGGGCTCGCAGCTCACGGCGCACAGTGGCCGTGAACTTCTTAGCCAGACACAGGGCAGTGGTGGTCCCGAAGACCAGGTTATAGAGCAGCACAATCTGGAAGTTGCCCAGCCACTCGATGGCCCCAAAGTCGCCCAGCAGGTCAAAGTTTGTAATGCCTGAAAGGGAAATAATATTATAACATATGCCTCATTGGTCATCTGGTCTGCTTACCTATGATCCTGCTGAGCAGCGGCAGCGCCGAGGACAAAACCAGCATGAAGCCACAGTTCAGCATTAGCTGAGGGAGCGACGTCTGCCGTCGCTTGGGGCACACATTCTGCATGAAGGGCATGCTGTAGAAGCCCACCACCGAGGTGGCGCCCAAGTAGAAGATGAGGCACACCTCCAGGCCGGCGCCAAAAGGTCCCAGCTTCGAGAGTGATGAGATGCCTAGTGTAAATTGCTAAATAAGAAAACAATATTAGTTAAAATTTATTACCATATATTAATTTAAGCCTACCCTTGTGCTGAGTGGAAGCGCCTTCATGCCTATAAGGAGCTCCAGCGTGTTCTGTACCACCAACAAAATGGTGACGCCCGTGCAGAAGAGGAGCAGCAGCATGGCCAGCGGGTAGACGAAGGTGCGCTGGAAGGTGCTTGACTTGCGCATCTTGTCTAGTTCCTTGCGCTCGGAGTCCAGTTCTCTCAGTCTATCGTTGAGCTCGCCCACGTCGCTGGCCATCGGCTTGCGCTGGTAGAGATGTGCCTGCAGCAGCGGCTTGGGAAAGAAGGTGCGCCCACGTCCCAATCCAATCCTATTGGCCAGGCGACCGCCGTTTGCGGCATCCGAGATGCTCACGTTGTGCAGCTCGATGTGGGCCAGCTTTCGCTTCACACTAGCCTCCTCCATGTAGAAGGCGCTCAACTCCTCGTTTACGTCGCGCAGCAGCATGGGTCGCACCAGCACCTGGTTAACAACGCCAAACAGACGCACAAAGCCGCAGGGGGTGCAAACTGCAAGCAAACAAGAGGGTTGTCCCGGTTACTACACTGACAAAATATTCTTTAAAATACTTCAAACTTGTCTTCCATAATGTTTATTAAAATTAGTATAAAAGAGTCAAAAACTGTTTGAAAACATCTTAAAAAGTTTGCAAAATATACATTTACTGAAGCCTCTAATAAATTAATACATCTATTATATTCGAAACACCCAAATATTTAATTTAAAAGGTTTTTCGCTTTGTGTGCTAAACGTAATTTGGTTTCTATGACATCTTAGTAAACATATAAGTTGTAGTCTGATCTGAGCACTGGAAACATATTTATATTTGAACAAACCAAGAACTAAGAACTATTTCCCAAAACTTGAAAATGGCTGAAGGAAAAGATCAAGGCATAGACCAGCTCAAGGCGACTTTAAAGGCGTGCAACTTGAACAGCAATGACGGAGACGATTTCGCCGAATTTGAGGCTACTCTTGCAAAGATCGATACTATATTGAAAAGCGAAGGCCCCCTTGAAGATGATTCGGAGGCAGACAAAGGAGCAGATGGCGAGGCCAAGGAAAAGATCAACTTTGACACCATGGACGTAGACAAAGTGCGTGTAAAAGTGCGCCAAAATCGCACAGTGATCAACAAGAAATCCGTCGAAGAGGACAATAAAAAGCAGGCCAAGGTCATGAGCCAGCAGAGCTTCCAGGAGCAGGTGGAGCGGGATGCCAACGATCGTGCCGAGAAACGTGCCAAGTCCGAATACGAGGCAGAGATGCAGAGAGCGTAAGGAATAGGGTCGGCCTTGAATCATTAAATATTAAATCCTTTCTCCAGCCAGGGAAACGAAGCCTTCCGCAGCGAAAAATACGAGAAGGCGATTCTCCACTACGAAAAGGCCATACTTAAGGTCAAGGACAGTGCTATAACCTACAACAATCGCGCTTTGTGCTATATCAAGTGAGTTATTATATTATAAATTGCTATCTCAACACTAATTCTATCTTTTAGGCTTCGCAACTACAAGCGCGCCCTAAAGGACTGCCAATACGTGCTGGGGAAACTGCAGGAGACTAATCTGCGTGCCTGGCTGTACCAGGCCAATGCGTATAAGCGCTTAAACCAGAACGACAAGTTTGAGGAGAGCGTGGCCAAGGCACGTGAGCATAATCCCAACCAGGTGGCCTACATAGACAAGTACATCAAGCAGTTGGAGGACGAAGTTTAAAGCGTTTGAATTAGTTTATTTCTACACATCATACTCACTCAGCATAAGCATCACGCCCAAAAAAGAGACACATGAATAAAGAAACGGCAGGTGAACACTGCCTAAATCTGTGAAGCGTAAACAGCGGAAATTAGCAATGCATTGTTATTATAGTGCACTAGAATCGATCCCAATTTGGGGATGGGCTTGTCGTGGGCGCGGATGGCAATTTCAATGTCAATTAATCTCTTCCGCACCCGTGCATTCCCATATACTCACTTAGAAACCAAAAGAATTGAAACTTTTCAATGCCAAAGACTGCACTTAAGACGGCAGTTAGTACCAGGACAATTACGGCCATCAGCATGAATACTGTAAAGGTTTCGTAGACGCGCGGCAGAATGCCCTTTTTGTGACCCACAAATCCTGTGGATTCCGAGAACAAATAAACGAATGGCAGGAAGATGAACAGTGATAGATTGGAGAACAGAAATACATGGTTCCACAAGCCTGTAAAATAAATAAGTTTTAGTTAGGGTTTATTGGTGGAAAGTGTAGTTTCTTTCTTTCAATACTTACCCTGTATAAGTGAACTGTTGAGCCACTTCACATAGTAGCTGTTGGGGTACAAGAGCAGCACCTCGTTGCTGGCGATGGAGACGGGCAGCAGCATGGCGGCCCCTTCGGCCACGGCCAGTGTGAATGTGCAAAGCCAAAAGCTGGGAGATGGGGTTTAAAACAAAATCCATTCATTATGGCGAATGCACTCAAGTGACTCGGCAATTAGCGACACAGGCTGTTGACCGTTGGATGCCTTACCTTATGCGATAGACCAGCACCTCGTCCTCGTCATTCGAATAGAGATCGTCACGATCGCGTCGCCGAAAACGTGAGACAACCACATACGAGCTGAAGTACAGCAAGATGATCAGTAGCAGGAATATCTAAAAAGAACAAAAAAAACAATTGAAGATGGTAAAAAAATAATCTTTTCATTTTAATAAGTGGATAGATGCCAGAAGCAAACTTTAAGTTCAAGATGAACACCTGCATTTTTTCTCAGATTTTTCTATATATAAAAGTGCCTAAAAACCACACAACTTTATTCATTTTAACATCTGCAACTTTTCATTATCATTAGCCAAACATACTCCCCAATTTGCTTAGAAAAACAAGTTAAAACCGAAGTAAATATAGACGCATTTCTGGGTTTTTTATTCGATAGATACGTATTTTTGTACACCTGCAACTAATGCCTTGTTTTATTTTATTGTGGGTTTCATAACACATTTCCCCACATTTACTTGTGTTTATACAAATGTCAAAAAGTAAACATAGACACCCACGCATTTCTTTTGTTTTGTTTTATAAATATGTTTCATTCTGGTTGCCACCAACTGTGTGCACATTACCCACAATATTTTTAGAAGAGTAAATTTGGGAAAATCTGTATTAGATTAAAGTGAATAGTTTAATTGTTGATACTTATACACAAGCATGATTCAGTTGGGTGGCAAAGTCTGCTGTTTTAAGTGTCTCAGGGTCTTATCACCGAAAATATTGGCACAATGATTTGAAATTTTGAGTTTGGAAGGCAAGGGTACATATGTTTTTCATTTCCGGCTGTATTTTAAAAATAAGTTCTAACAAGTTTTTAGCTAACTAATGCGTCCAAGCAATCATGCAAGTTGGTTGCAATCCTATATCATCATAAAAAAATAAGCAATCCATGGTTAAATATGACCGCCAATTAAGCCTATATAGCTACTTTTCTTCTGCGAACAAAGGTCAAATAGAAAGCTTATCAGTGGCCGACGACAAAACCCGAAACATTTGATAACAACTAGACCGATAGCGGTCATATAAAGCCCAATGAATGTCAGCACTTCAAACACTATGTGATTATCCACAGTCTTGTTAAATGAAATTCAAGTAGTCCGAAATCTGAATCTGTATCAGCGATTTCCCAAATGTTGGACCCACAAACTGGTGGTCATCTATTATTTATGGCCACGAAATAGATGCCAATCATATGGCACACATCATATTTGTGGAGTATGTGAGTATGCGAAAAACGAAAACAAAACAAAGCGTAAATAAATAGACACAAGACTAGGCACACAAATAAATCATTAACGAAAGATACTTTTCATGTTCTAGCTGGCAAAAAACGTACAAAATTCGCAGAGAGAGCAAAAAACAATTAATTTATACTCACGTCCCTGCATTGTTTTGTTATTCATTGTTTGTTATCCGAGACATGTTTACTGGTATCTGTGAGATACTCTTATGCGTTATACAACGCGAGTTCCAATTAACTTTTAAACCCATTTTGCATGGTTTTGATCAGATCACTTAAATTAAATTATATTCTATTCATTTAAGGACTGCTATTTTAAATAGCCTTATTTAAGATCTTTATATTCTACAGTTAATATTTAAACAGTTTTCTTTAACAGCTAACTAAAAATTTGGTCAAATACTTAAATTAAATATAGAGACGCAAATCGCTTGCTATCAACGTCGTTTATTTATAGAACCCAATTGTAGATCATGGAAAAATATAGATACACTTCGAATCAAAAGTATAAGGTCTTAGACTTTGTTGAATAACAAATATTTTACTTTAGAATAAAGAAAGAAATGTTGTATATTAAATAATTATCAATTTGTCGCCGAATTTTGATTTTATATCAAACTTGTATCTGTGTTCTCAGCTATCTTTTAATTATGAAATGTTTTTGTGGCTATGACGTGTTGAACTTGGAACACGTAGACAACAAACACCTAGCGATATGAGCGTCGTTCCCACAACACACTTGCATTGCAAATGTAAATAGCGAGCATTCCTGAATGCAAACGAATTGAGCCCGCTTTGTTCAACTCTTATCAGCCGGGAAAACGTGCAAGTGCACTGAGCAACAAGCAGCATTTGTCACGCTCCAAGCGATTTGGCCAAACTAAATGACTTCTTGCCTCGAAATTAGGTGCACTGCGATCGTAGGCAAACATCGAGTCAATGACTTGACATGAACTCATGAGGAAACCACACCCATTAAATGTGGACGACGACTTGGCTATTAATAGCAGCAACGCCCAAAATGCAGCCAGAAGCAGGGGACAGAAGGAGGGATTGCCAGTCGGACGGGTTTTGGCTCGCTTTGCAGACGACTTTGCCGGTGAATGGGCTACGAAATATTTATGCTCTTTCTCTACCCAATAGTTGTAGCATACTCGGGTATATATATGCATATGTCAAAGAACCAAATTTAACATAGACATTTAAGTTAGATTTTACAATGCTCATAATAAACCAAAACAATTTTAAAATAAACTTGTGCAATATATCGTAATCTTTGGAGCGTGACAGTTTTTAAAATGTTTTTATCCCTTCTTAGAGGCTTAGTCATTGGGTCTGTATTAAAACACATCAGACACCAGATGCGAGTCGCCTCAATTGTTTTTAATTACTCCAAGTGAAATGAATTTTTTAATGGGGACGTTGGAAAATAGAGGAGCTGCATTTAGAAGGCTAAATAAAGCCGCTTTTTTGAAAACGTTTTCATTGACCTTTCTTCTTATCAACGAACAGAACCAAAGAACATAGTTACACAACCAGTTCTCATTCCCCAACTATTTCGTCTTACTTTACAGTCGGAACCCCCATTTCTGGAACAAGTGCTTTGAGCTCCAGTCTGGCATTAGATTCCTGCATTATTTATGAGGGCTTTGACTTGTTTACATTTATTTATAATTAAATTCGCATTGGGAGAGTCCCACGCGTCACGTACTCGGAGTTTGACCCACATTCGGCGACGAATTATTCAATTTTCGGCAGTCCGATGCAACAAGAACCACTGACAAAAACCGGTTTCCATTTCCTGGACCAGGCAGAACCAGCTCAACAGTTCTACAGGCCCATCACATATTCTCTAAATAAAAGAAATGTGTGTATTTATAGAAGTAAATGTCATCAGAGGCATAAAAAACGACATGCATATGTATGCTTCTAGGCAAGTTTATTCATACTGTTTTAAATGTGTTAAACGCCTCGTCTGCTATTGTTTAAACAAAATAAAACAGCTGCTCGCGACGGCAGACTCATTCAAAGTCCCAGACGGAATAAAATCGTGACCACTAGCCGTGCACTTGAAATCTGGCCAGCAAAGTGTTGAGTATTTAATGAAATTTTTACAAAAGGAAATTAATGCCTTGCGCAATCAAATAAACATGTGTATTTATATGGTGCAGTCTGTGGTATACATAAATCTCTGCTTTCTGTTATTACACGCCCAAAATGTCTATAAATAGTAGCTCGAGTGAAACACTTTCACTTGTTGCTTTTGCTATTTTTGCCTTTGTTTGTTTCAACCGCGTAATTTTGATTTACATTGCAAGTTCTGCCAGTTGAACTTTTCTGACTACCCGAAACCCTAACGGAATAGATATTATTTATTAAGTAGAGTTTATTTTTATTTTACCAATCTATTTTAGGAGCATTTCTTTCTCCTAATAGCAAATCAATAAATTTAATAACTTAACATTTCGGAACAAATTAACTTAATTATTTAAGGCAAGTATTGCATTCATGAGTCAATGATTTTGTATGAGTTTGCCCGATTTAATTTGTTGCAATGTTTATAACCTACTAAATCAATTTGCATTAATAACTTTAAAACTAACTATACATGATTATATTCAATAATAGAATGATTACAATTCATAATATAATAGATTAATAATACATTAATGACAATTAGTAAATTAAATGTATTAAAAGATTGATTTTGTATTTGTATTGTAAATACGAATTTAAAAGCTAAGATCCTAATGGCACAACTTAATATTACCCATCCGTTATTTTTACCAAGTATCGAACCGTCGAATCTTCGATTATGTTTAAACTTTCTGATTAACAACAGGTGTCCGTGTGGGTATCTTTTTGGTTGTCTGCGTGATAATTTTCGCAGCCCAAATAGAAAGTGCAAGAAGAGAGTGGCTGGTCTCTATCGCCGCCGCCACTTCCTCCCCCGATAATCACCCATAATAAATATACACAAAGCCCAAACGCAGGCGCTGAAACTGCTGAGTAGCATTGTCCGAATCCGATAACAGACCATAAACAAATAAATTTCTGTGGAGGTTCCAACTGATTTCTGTTTATCAAAAGGCAAAGTGTGTAATTTAAGGAGTCGTACGTGCGTTTACTTCACAGGGCGAGCCACATGTACAGTTAGAACAACAACAAAAGGGACAGCTGCGCCCTGATTTGTTGTTGTTTTTATTTTCAGTAGTGGGGTGGGAAGTTTTGGGTGGTGGAAAGGGGATGAAGATGACGGTAGAGTGATAAAAGCCACTTACAATGTGCTCGCGTACTGTATTGTGGAACAATTGCAGCTTCAGATCCGTGACCTCCTCCTCATCCTCCTCGTCCATGGCCACGAAAAAAGTGGACAGTTTGTCGCTGGTAGCCAGTTTTCCTTTTTTTAGTCTAACGCACGCTTCACTTTAAAATTTAACATATATTTTTGACAGTCGCCAGTTGGCTGGTGAATTCCAATGGGCAGCCCGAAGTTCCTCGAAATTCTATTGTATCGTCGCTCCGGGAGGTTTTTCTTGAATTAAGATCGTCGCGGCACCACACTGCCTGATTTCACACGGTTATTGTGAACTCAGTTAACCATTTACTGCCGCATTTCTTTCCGTCCCGATTTGCACTAGCCACTAAGCCACTACTTTTCTTTAATAATTCGCGCCGATTTGCGACCGAAACGTTCAACTATTTCTATGAAAAAACTTCGTTGGGATAGAGGTGAAACACCACCGATGCCAACAACGATGACATCGATGTTTTCAGAACATAGGTAATATCGATGTTTGTCAGGGCGTATAAGATGTTTGCAACCTCTAACGATTATTTAAAATCCTACTACAGCACTGTTAACGATTTTACTCCAGTTATAACTCACTATTAACCCCATTTAAACTGCACTTTGATCATTATATAAAATGTTTGCTAGTCTACCGAAATACATGAAGAAAAACATAAAAGTAAAAGGAGTGAGAAATATTTATAAAACTGTTTAATATAGCTTACAGAGCTGCTGTATAAAAAATATACAATTCTGATTGTAAAATTGCTAAAATTTCTGAAAATAAGCTGTAATAAATGAATAATAATAATAAATAAATCACCGCCAAAAAACTGCAATCGTAAAATATATACTGAAAAAACTACCGAAAGCTTGTGAAACCTGTCAACCCTGTCATTGTTTTACCATACAAAAATGTCCAACTTGCGGCGACAGGTAAGCTTACACAAAAACAATTAATAAATAGTCAATAGCCATGCCTTCCAGGTGCTCAGTGCCTTCAAGAAACTCCATCGCACACGGCAGTACGTGTTCCAAGGCGATGTCAACGCTCTCGCAGCAGGTCGACTGAAAATCAACGAATCTTTCCTGCACAATCGCAGCGAAACTAGCGAGGATGAGATTCAAAAGGTTTACTGGAATTTTACCTCTTTTTTATTTATTTTGTCCATTTATTACTATTTGGTATCCCACAGATGATCAAACTCGCGCAGGATGTGGACCTGGAGCTGCGCACGAACGTCATCCAAGCCCAAAAGAAGGAGAACGATGTTTATGGTCAGTGGGGCATTACATAAACGAGCGCGCCAAACTTAAATCTTGGAATCTTTTGATTTTAGAACTGAGGATTACGCCGGAGACGACACGACTGGACAATGTGGTGTTCAATCCCGACGCAGTCATCGAGAAACCACGCAGGCGACGCGGGGAAAAGAACACGGAAGGATGCTGCGGTGGAGCTGCGATGGCGGCTCTGGAATCCGAGGTTCAGGCCCGCAACAAATAGAACTATTATATAAATTATTCAGCCGTAGTTCAGATGCTTCTGTTTTGTTCAATAATTTCATTTATGTTTATTTTCTATGTTGTTTCTTTTTCGACTTGTGACTGCCCTTCGACTTCTGCTTGGATTTTTTGTTCTTCTTGCGCTTGCTGCGCTCGTCCGATGAGGAGGAACTGCTGGAGCTGTCGGAACTATCTGAAGATGTGGTGTCAGATTCGCTTTCGGATTCCGAGGAGCTTTCGCTGGAGTCTGAACTGCTGCTAGCTGGCCGCTTCGATTTCTTAGATGGCTTTTTGTTCTTTTCCACGGACACTGAAAGTTTGCGCTTCCCGTTGGGGCTCTGCTTCCGGCTTGAATTTCTATTGAGCCTATGTTCATCACGATCTCTGGATTGCGGTCTGTAAAAAAATGCATTTGTGGGATTAAAATTGACAAACTACAAATTGGTTATAGACCTTTTACCTTCGCTCTGGTGATCTTCCTTGGTTTTTTCCTGTTTTTCTGTACGGACCACCTCCATTTTCGTTGCGCCTTCTGTCTTGAGGCGAGGTATGCCGTCTGCGATTATGGCTATCTTGTGATTGAGGTTGCCTTTTGTCTATTTGGTCTCTAGACCTAGAGCGTCTTCGTTCGTTTTCACCTTTTGGCCTAGAGCGTCTTCTTTCATTTCGTTCCCTTGACCCAGAACGTCTTCTTTCTACTCGGTCATTTGATCTAGATCGCCTTCTTTGTGTCAGATCCCTTGACCTTGAAGGTCTTCTATTATTACGATTTCCTTGCTCTCGATCATTGAAACGCCTTTGATCTAAGTTATCCCTGGCTTGTCTATTGTCTGGATTTCTTGACCTAGAGCGCCGTCGATCTTTTGGTTCCCTGGATGCTGATCGTCTTCGAAAACTGTTTCGATCGTCTCGTTTATTCTGCTCCTGGTGGCGCTGCTCCCTCGCCGTTCGCCGCTCCGCAGAGCTCATTCTGCTTCTTGGATTCTCAGACCGCTTACGATCTCTGTGGTCGTCCGTTCGGCCCCGGCTAGTGTTGTTGGGTTTCCTGCGATCGTTGTTATCCCGTAAATTGTCAAAGTCCAGTTTTTCCTCGTCGCCGACAATGCCTCGTCCTTTGCCCCGCCATGTGACCTTCGAAACGGACTGCGAGAAGTCCACGTGGATACGACGATCGTCGATAAGAACATTGTCCATTTTGAAATAGGCCGCCTCGCAAGATTTCTGGTCCTCGAACTCCACGAAGGCGTACTGCAGGGAGTCACCTGTCTTGCGGTCGCGAATCACTTCGCATCCTTTAACCACGCCAAAACGACTGAAAATTATCTCCAGATCATCGTCAGTGGTTACAGGATTAAGTTTACACACGAAGAGAACGTTTTCTGGAGGGGCCATGTCCGCATCAGGCAGATCACCGACAATCTCGAGAATTGTGGCTCGCGCCTTAGCCTCCCGTTCGGCCAGCATCTCCTGCAGCTCCTCCATGGTCATGCCATCCGTATCGTCGATATCCTCGTCGGCAGCTATGCGTCCGTTCTGCAGGCGCTCCGCACTGGGCGAAGGCGATCGACTGGGAGCCTGAAGGCCGCGGGGATTGGGAAACGGATCCTCCAGCACCACTGTATGTGTGATGCGGATGTCCTGGTAGGGCCGGAAGCCATCGTCTACAATGGCGTCGTTCAGCTTGCGCAGCACCTCGTGACCTTCCACCACCTCACCAATAACACAGTGGCTGCCATCCAGCGACGACAGATTCTCGCCCAGTGTGAAGAAGAACTGGGAGCCCACAAGATTCTTGCCAGCACTGACTAGAGACAGCATTCCTGCGCTGGAGTGCGGGATTTTGGGCAGATACTCCGCCTCGAAGAAGCGCTTCTGCAGACCCTCCACCACGCCCCAAATGGAGGAGCCTCCGTCTCCGGCACCACTGGGATCGCCGGTTTGTGCGATGAAGCCCTGCTGCACCGTGTGGAAAAGATTGTAGTTGTAGTACTTCAGCCGGCACAACTTCAAGAAGTTCAAGCAGGCGATGGGCCGTTCTTTGGTGAACAAGTCGACGGTCAGGTCGCCCAAAGTGGTTTCTATCACCACAGACATGGCGAGGATTAACAAATACCGGCAATAATCGAATGAAAACACAATTTCTGTACAAACCAAAGATGATCTTTCCTTTAGGGATGGGCTACTGCTAGTGATGGGGCAATTTTAAAAATATATCGGCAGCTAAGCTCATAATGTGAACTGAAATAAAAAATAAAAAACATGGATTTCAAAACATTATTAAAATAATAACCAAAGATTTGCTGAAGATGTGGCTATGTAAATACTTTGCCTTACCTATAGTCTAGCATTATTTAAACAAATAAATATTTGTGTCGAGAAATTTAAATACCTGTTTAACTGGCATAGTAATCTTGAAAATTAGTAATGTAAAATGTTAGGTTTCCGTTTTAGTTTAAACTAAAAATAGTTCCTTACAAAAAAAGGAAGAGAGAGTGTTACTATTGCACAGACGTTTTTTAATATTAGTTTTTTTAAGGAATTTTTCTTTATAAGCAAAATTTTATTTCTCAATTTTCGTTAAAAAAATTATTATTGGTACAGTCCTTTTTTTGCATTAAATGAAATTTATTTTTAGTGTGCCGAAAAGTCTAAATACGCAGCCGGCATAGTAATCTTGGAAAATAATAAAGTAAAATGTTAGGTTTTCATTGTAGCTTAAACTAAAAATAATTCAAAACGAAAAAAAAATAAAGGAAAAATATTGTACAGACATTTTTAATGTTCGTTTTATTATTGAATTTTTCTTTTTAAAATTAAGCATTATTTTGTTTTATTGTATTATTTCTCAATTTTCGTTACTCAAATTATCAATGGTGCAGTCTTTGTTGTATATTAAATAACTATATATCAAATTATCATTATTTTTACCTAAAATGTCTGTGTTCCTTGAAGTTCTGTATGTTCTTAGTTTAAGGCGGTTCCCGATTAATCCGATATATTTTAAAATAATAAATATTTTAAGCGGATTTGGTATTTTAAATACCAGATAAGTCTACGTTCGCCATTTTCGATAACATGACAACCCTGTTTTGTGTGTGTATCAGTGAATCTTGACAGCAAATTTTCACACGTTTTCTAGACGGAAGAAAAGATTATTGAATATATTTTCGGTTTTAAAAGCAAATAAGTTGTAAATAAGCAATCGGAAAGTGACCCAGTGATTGTTAATAATTAATAATGCCCGAGGCAGGAAAGAAAATCGCAGAGTTGCGCGTGTGCGACCTAAAATGTGAATTGGAAAAACGCAAATTGGAGACGGTGGGACCAAAAGCGGTGCTCATCGACCGTCTGGAAAAGGTACATACACATACACACACATAACTTTATTAACGCTCCAGTTCCGCTGGAGATAGAGATCATTGTGCAATTACCGTGTCTAAAAACTGGGTGTAACCACTTTCCAGTCCTTCAAGGAGGAGGGCTTAGACCCGGCAACCCACTTGATTGTACCGGGTTTAAAGGGCAAGAAACCGATCGCCATGCCCATGAAGGAGCCCCAGTCCGAGGTGCTCATTAAAGAGGAGCCTCTCGACGTTGACGAGGAGGAGCAGCAGAATGACTTTGAGAACGGCAACGACTTCTCACACCATGCCGACGATGATGGGCATGAGATTGACCAAGTGGGCGACGTGGACGATGAGTGTGTGATTCTTGATGACGACGATGAAGATGACGAGGAGGATGAGTACGATGATGAGCATCAGAATGGCGATGGCGAGGCCGAAGGAGACGCCCAGGATGAGACGGAGAACAATGGCGACGACGAAGCCATTAATGACATCCAAGGGGAGGAGGAAAACACAGGGGACACCGGCAACATGGACAACGACGAGTCCATCAATCTGACCATCGGTGAGGACGAGCAGAAACTGCTGCACGATGAGGTAATTGTAATTTTCTGTTCTTTAAATTAATGAATGTCTAATAAAATTTTTATTATTTTCAGGCCCCTGACGACAAGTCTATTAAATCTGGTGAGTATTGAATATAATTAAGTCTTACCGGTTTCACAACCAAAATGCCCTTGACTTGAAGTCTGCAAATTTATTTAAATTGATTGCCACAGGAATTCATATTAAATCAGTTTTTGTTTTTTAAATCACATTCTTCTTTTTATTTTAATAAAAAATAATTTAATTGAGGGCTTCAGAGCTAGAACGCTTTAAGTCGATAGACTAATATAAAGCATAATGATTCACAGTGAAACCGGCCACCAAATCCGATAAGTCCAACTCAAAGGATGCCGACAAGAAAAATGACGAGGGCGCTCGCTCTAAGAAAAGGGATGACAAATCATCTGACAAAAAGGACTCTAGGTAGAGTATATTAACGCTGCTGTGGTTAAACTCATTTTTATACTCCTTTTTTATTATTTCTCTTTGTATTCTGTCACGCGATCTATTATGGAAAATAGCGATCAAAAGTCGTCTGGAAAATCATCAAATCAAAAGGATGATAAAGGTAATTTAAGTTAAGGTTTTAGCATGGATAAATTCGGTGTGTTCGAAAGGTCTTGCGTTGGGAATGTACGGGCCAAGCATGAACCCAGATAAGGTCGATGAACTTGAAAGTTGAGCAAAACCATTGAGGAACATGTTTCAAATATTGTGCAAGAGAGTGTGAATTTGGTTGGGACTTGGACATGGGACGTGGAACCACCAAGGATGCTACTTTTTTTGCGAAGGAGCGGCGATGGACATATCAAATTCAGCGAAGGCAGTTAATATATCAGTGTTTGTTCCAGTTTACTTCAATGGAAACTTCTTTTATACTAATCCAGCATGTATCCTGATGTTCTCCATGGAGTTTTTTGCCTTTCTCTGCAATAGGCATATAAGCAGATACTACACTGAGTGGACTCTAAAAGAAACTCAATGGGCGTAGATGGACATCTCCGTTTGCCGAGTAAATGGAAGGACCCCTTTCTTTGCTGTCGCTGGGAGTTTGCAGAAACGTATTATTCTTCGCAGGTCACTCCTGAATCGGATTCGTTCACTCTCAACGATCCTGGATATATAGAATGTACAGCTCCTTATCTGGAGGCAGTGAGGGCTCCATCTTGGATGGTGATTAAAGCTGTGGACTTTAAATCTTTACCAGGAAACTCCCTCTTATAATTCCTCTCTTTATCCTGGACCCCCTCCACCAAGAAGCAGGCCTAAAGCAGCGACAGATCTTCACCAGCAACCCAATCAAATTCATACTCTCTTAGCTCCGGTGACGTTTGTCGGTATTCTTGCGATAGCGCTCTAAACTCCAACATCTGCAGCAGCTACAAAATGTGTGCGTTCACAATATGCTTCCCTTAAAAAAAAGTATCATAAACCAAAACAGTTAACCAGTTAAAGCCACTCAAAGCTCTGACCATATCTCTCTTCCAATATTATTATTTACATGGAACTTGCAGAGAAATCGACAGCAGCAGCTGGTGCCGCATCCTCCACTGCATCGAGTGCCGGTGGCAGCAAGTCGGGATCCGGTTCTACTACGGGCAATGGTAGCGGTTCCAACTCGAACAACAAGCAGGCGACGCTGTCGCGTAATCTCTGGGTCTCCGGGCTGTCCACGTTGACCCGTGCCAGCGACCTCAAGGCGAACTTCTCCAAGTTTGGCAAGGTGATCGGCGCCAAGGTGGTCACCAACACACGTACCCCAGGCACCCGCTGCTACGGCTACGTGACCATGTCCTCCTCGGCGGACGCTTCGCGGTGTATCGAGCATCTGCACCGCACCGAGTTGCATGGACGCATCATTTCAGTGGAGCGCACCAAGAACGAGATTGGCGGCAGCGTGAACAAGGAGGCCAAGGGCAAGACCCCAGGTGACGTTGGAAACAAGAAGAAAGAAGACGACGGCGGCAAGAAATCCGGAAGCAGCAAGGGCTCCAACGCCAACGGAGGCGACGACAAGAAGGGCAGCGATGGCAGCGGCGGGGACAACAAGTCGATTGGCGGCGATTCCAAGCGTGATGGCAAGGAGGGCAACAGGGAGCGCAACCAGCGACGCATCGACGACAGGGGCAAGTCGTCAGCCAGCCAGGATAGGCCGCGACACGATCGCGAGCGATCGGGCACTGCTGGCAACAAGGGCAGTCAGGATCATCGTCAGGGGCGCAATCCGCGCGACGTCGACCGCGAAATCCAGCAGCGCCAGAGGGAGCGTGAGCGGCGCCAGCGGGAGATGCTGTCCTACCAGAAGATACGCGAGGAGCGCGAGCGCCAGCGCCTCAGGGAGCGGGAGCGCGAGCTGCGCGAGGAGGAGCGCCGCCGGCGGGAGTTCCGTGAGCGCCAGCGCATTGAGGAGGAGCGCCTGCAAGAGGAACGGCGCAAGCTTGCCGTCGAGCGGGAACGGCTTGAACGCGAGAAGGCCGAGCTATTGCGGATGGAGCGCGAGCGCCAGAAGCTGGAGCGAGAGAAAATCGAGCTGGAGCGCCTCGAGCTGAAGCGACAACAGATGAAGTATGCTAAAAAAAAAAAAACAATCAAAACAGAGCGTAATGCGTTGCACTCGTGCCAACGCTGAGGCGACTACACAGATATACAGACGAATATATTTATTTTGTACTCTCTCGGAGAGCATTTGTCCTTGTGATTAGTGTGTTAAGTTGCAGTCTCCACGTTGTTTCTTCAACTAAAATTGCTTTTAAGCGGAACGTTGATAGGCAAATGCATCCTAGTCTAAACTCTGAATCTGAGACCCTTACCCCTCGCCCCAATCTGCCCATATTTGCTTTACTAACTGATTTCCCTTTGTCTCTTCCATCTTTCTTCCTCTCACTCTTGTCGATTTACTCGAACAGGATCATGGAGTCTCGCGACGATCCTGGCAAGCGCGGGGTGAGCAAGCGCGCCGACGACCGCTACGGAGACGTCTCCGATCGTAAGCGCACTGCTATTTTTGATGCCCCTCCTCCACCCAGATTCGACACAAATTTAGTCAGCTCCCGCAGGTAAGCCAAGGATTCATTCTACCCAGGTTTTTTTTTAATAATTAGTTATTCTCCTCCCGCTTTCTATTTCCTACTATCTAGTTTATTAGTACTTAAATTTAAACATGCATTTTTTTACTATGTTTTTAACACACAGCACTTATGACAAGAAGCACGATGACTACGGATCCTCTTCGACCACCAAGCGTGTGCTGGATGACTACTCCAGCTCCAACAAGCGCCTGGACTACGCCAACAAGCGCAATGATTATACCGCCTCGTCCGGATCCAAGCGTGGTGCCGTTGACGAATATGCCGCCGTACCCAGCAAGCGCTCGAATGACTACAGCGGCTCCTCGTCCAGCAAACGCGACGACTACAAGCGCGAAGTGGAAGTGCGTCACTTGCCACTTTCGGGTACTGCCGGCGGCGGTTCGAGCAGCTCGTATCTGCACAAGAACAACACAAGCGGTGGAGCCGGTTCCTATGTGCACAAGAACAACACCAGCGGCAGCGGTGGACGTTACAACGATTCGGATCGCAGCAACACCTCGAACTATAGACGCGATGACTCCCACAGCCTGTAAATGATTAAAAGCCGACATTAAACGAGCTTTAAACTGTTCTAACGGTAATTCATTCTGATAATTATAGGGGCAACAAGCGCTATGACAATTCCAGCGGCGGCGGCGGAGGCTACGGCAGCAGCTCGAACAGCGTTAACATCTGGGCCCCGTCATCCGGCGGCGGAAGCTCCCACCTGGGCAGCAGTGGCGGCGGTGGCAACCAGATAAAGTCCTACAGCAACAACGGCATATCCTCGAATATGCATAGCACCAACTCGTGGCAGAAGTCTACCACTGTCGACGACAACAGCTGGCGCCCGGTGCCTGGGCGCTTTGATCGCAGCTACAACGATCGTTCCACTGGCTATCAAGGCCAAAGTGGAGCCGGCGGAGCTGGCGGCATGTACGGAGCCAGCCGCCCCGCCCAGGATCGCTATAGCGGACCGGTGTCGCGCTATTAGGAGCGTGCATTTCACAAGAGGCAATTGGAACTAGGTATCAGAGCACGCAACATACCTATTTAAGACCCCACCCGAATGACTTCTCCCACAGCGCCTAGATGCGCTGCTTTTACTTTAGTTCGCCTTAGTTGTATGTTTAGCTTCTAAAACTACATTTGGAAACCAATAAATGTATTACCAAAATATGTGGCATATATGCGCATTATCATATTGAATTTGCTAGATTAATTAAACCTAAAGCTGCGGGTAGTCGCCCTCGTAGGAGGATATGAGTGGCGTGGTCGTATCCACCAGCACCAAAACGCTGTGAGCCAAAGGATAGACATCGTGAACCTGGACGTAATACCCTCGGTCGCACTGCTCCTTGGATGAATAGAGACTGCAGGATATGTAAGTAGTTACATTTATTAAAAACTATTAATAAAGTTTTTATTTAAGAAAAGGTAACTTACGCCAGTATATCCACCGGTTCCAGAATCAACTCGGACTTGTACACCGAAGCCAGAAAGTTTGTGAAGGCCGCTGTGTTGTTCCCCAGCGCCATTTCCGTGTTGGGTGTGCAAACCTCCAGCCCCAAGCCACTGCTGCTCGATCCAATCCCGGGCAGACCATTGCGAGTGCCCCAAACCGTGATGATATTGTCTTCCGAGGCCACAATGGTGCACTGATCACTGCAGTTTGCCTTCTGCAGAAGATCATTTTAATGGAAAATCTATACTTATGATGAGTTTCACCAACCACAATGTATCGGGCCTTGACGGAATCCACCAGGGTGGGATGATCCACCGAGTTGCAGTGCCTGATTCCGCGCTGACCCTCCGCATTTCGACCCATGGTGTAGACATAGCCGCCCTCCACCAAAAACACCGAATGGGTGGACGAAAAGCAGGCCTGAACCACCTTGTGTGGGAGCTGGACTTTTTTCTACAGAGAATAAATGTAAGGTAAGGATACAAATTTAGGATTTTACTACCTACAAAAGCTGTGATCTTCCCTGAACGCTGGAAGCCCAGTTTATTATAGTCATTGCTTCCACATACATGCAGTTCTCCATTGGTAAAAAGCACTGCGGATGTATCAGGGCCACAATAAATCTTGGACGGTTTGGTTTTCACATGTGAGAGCAGAATTTTTTGGGGAAATTTCCTGAGTGAATAAAGAGGAGAAATGTTTAAAAAATCGATTATTGTTGAGTTATAAATATTAATAAAAATAAAATAACTGTTATCGAGCAGCCACAGTTAAAAATTAAAAAAAATAAGTTACCTATAGAAATTTCTGTCTCAACTAGTTATTACCTTTTGAGAGGTTTTAAAATATTGCTTCATATAAAAATAAATCATTCCGGTATTTTAATCTTAAAAATGTAATTTTATGTTGATCATACACTCACTGCTGTTGCTGGCAGTTGCCCAGGCCAAGAGCTCCGCAGGCACTGGTGCCCCACACGTAGACCGCTCCCTCCCGGCTCAAGGCGAGCACATGGTGGAGTCCGGCGGCCACCTGCTCCACCCGGACATCCGCCAGTCGGGCGACCAGCTTGGGGCTGTGGTAGTTGCGCTGCTCGTCCTGCCCCAAAGCCAGGTGGGCGTTGCTTCCGCAGCTGAGCAGGCTGCCCGACTGGGTCACGAGAATGGTGAAGCCCTCGCCGGCACAGGCGCCCACCACATGGTAGTTGCGCATGCTCTCCATGCGACTGGGGTAGTGCTTCCAGGCCTCCAGGGCGGTCAGGCCCAACTGGCCGTGGGTGCCCTCGCCCCAGGCGTACGCCGATCCGTCCTCGTTGACCACCACGAAGTGGGAGTCCGACATGGCCACGCCCACGATGACGGCCTTGGGCGGAAGCTGGATGGGCGCCATGTTGAAGCAGGTGCCGAAGGCCTTCAGCTGGTATAGCACGGATCTACAGGTGGGCATCTGGATTAGATCGTCGGACTGGACTAACCCATTACCGTTTCTCGAGGATCTCGTGCGGAGCCGCCGTCTCCGCGCTCATCAGCTGCTTGGTCTCCGTCTGGGCGGTGGGCAGTTCCAGCTCCATGGACACATTGCTGTGGGCGGCGGCGGGGACAGCAGCCGTGAGCTGGTTGCCACTGATGTCACCCACGTCATCCTCATAGGAGTAACTGCGAGAGGTAATGATTTTAAGTTATATTATTTAAGTTGTACATTAAAAACATTTGATTTAAGTTGGATAAACTCCAGAACTCAAATTTAGATTAAACAAATTCTTAAGCTTAAAATATGTAGAGCTATGATGTTCACATTACAAAATGGAAAGTAGTAATCTCCAAATGTTCCTAAAAATCTCAGCCATACCCTTTATTTTTTCCAAAACTGCGAAATATCAGCGGTATCCAATAGACCAAAACCTCGGAGGCAGTGGGTCGCCGCGCGGCCTCCACTTGGAGCAGGTTAGACATCAGGCTGCGTAATCCGGAGGTGTAGCCCGATGGCACGGGCGTGTAGTTCCCTGCCATGATCTTGGTGACCAGCTCGGAAAGGTTGGAGGCGGCGAAGGTCTTTTTCAGGCAGCACATCTCGCCCAGAATGCAACCAAGAGCCCAAATGTCACTCTTGTTATCGTACTCCTTGCCCTCGCACTGGAAATCAATGCGAAAAGTCAGATAAAGTGGGTTTTAATCGAGAGAATCCTTTACCATCTCGGGACTGAAATAGTAGGGTGTGCCCAAAACAGTCTGGGCATGAATCTTGGTGTTCATTATTTTGGATATGCCAAAGTCCCCGATCTTCACGATACCTCTTCTGTTAAGAAAAACATTCGCTGTCTTCAGATCCCTGAAAGAAAATCAAAGATGTATTATAGTATCCCTCTACAATATAGTTTTTAGTACTCCCCACCGATGTAGGATGTTTTCCGCGTGCATATAGTTTATGGCGCTGGAGATCTGCTCAAACACAGCTATTATATAGCGTTCCGGAAAATGCGACTTTCCCTGTCGCTCGGCGATGATGTGGGCCAACGTTCCTCCGTCCGCGTACTCCATCTCGATGAGCAGAGTGTTGTCCTTGATAAAGCTTCCCAGGTAGCTGACAATGTTCGGATGATGTAGTTTAGAGAAGACATCCACCTCGTTCATGGCCAAGTCCCGACCAGGAGGCGTCAGTTCACTTAGGTTAATCTGCTTGAAGACGATCTGATGGCCGTCGGACTTCCGTCGATACAGAATGGCGATGCCAAAGGATCCTTGGCCCACCACTCGTACCTTCTCGTAGTTGGCCAATTCCGGCCCCGCCACCCCTGCCATCGCCGCCTCCCGGGGAACACTGAGCTGGAGGAGATTATCCTGCCGCGAGGAGGGCACCTGGGCCTTGCTGCTGGACATGGCCTCCGCCAAGGAAGTGCTGGCGGCTCCGGTCGTGCCGTCCGTAATGGTAAAAACCGTGGGCAGGACCCTGGTCCTGGAGGAATGTTTCCGCGATGGGACCTGACCCAAAGGCAACTGCAGCGAACTGGTGGTCAGAGTGGTGGCGTCGGTTATCCTACCGTTGAAAATGGGCAGTGAGCTGGCCTTGGCGCGGAACTTCTTCATCTCCTTCGAGCGGACACAACCTTCGTCTCGGACGTTCAGAATCGAACCGTGTCCTGTCTATTGTATAATTGTCCTTTGGCATGCTCGAATCGAAGTTGTGGTCAAAGCGGTTGCTAGGTAAAGTGGTGGGTGATATGGCGAGTGGGCTACGTTATCAGTGGGTTCGCTAATTGGACAACCCCGGACAGGGGATGTCATCATAAGCAATTGGAATGGAAATAAGAACAATATTTGCAGGGCCACGGTTCCGAATAATCGATGTTAATTTCAGGGATTAAAGTAGAGGGAGAAATCATTTCTAACTATTCAATAAAACTATTAGATGGGCATTGACAGAATGCCCAAAAACAGTTTTAGGTTTTAATTATTTATTTTTGAAAAGTTTTTACATTTATTTTTATTCAGCGATGTTATACAATGAGTTTATAAGTGAATTTGATGCTCTAAGCTTTGTTCTTCTGGAAAAAGTATTTTGGCAATCCAGACTGATTCGACGAATTATTTATTTAAATGTTTGAAATTCATAACAAAAACACCAGTGGATAGGTTAAGTTCTTCATTTTGGCTGTCCAGCGCGTATGACCCATGACTTGGGTGTCGAAGGATCGGTAGAATAGGTAGGATGCCAGGAATCCTGAGCGAAACCCAAGATCTGTCCGTGGAACAGCAGGAATACGATCCCAAAGAAGAAAAATTTCCAAGCGTTCATTGTGAGCGACAGCAACTTACTAAATAATTTTTAGCTTAGTATATTTAAAGGCAACCTTTAGACTGAGCTACAAAAAGAAAAAACTGATCTTATCAAAATTAAAAAGCCAAACAAGTATATGTACAATATGTACATTCGTTCGTCTACCTTTTCTTTCGAAAATAATCAATGGTTTTTTCTTATATGGTTTTTATATTTTATATAATTTAATCTTAAGAGACATGAGGATTTAAAAAACGTCAGCTCCTATATAAATATAGAAAGAATATATTAAATATATTTGGCTATTCATTCGGGGCTCCCAAAAAATTTCACATTATATATATTAAAATGTGGAGCACAAATAAATTATTTTTATCAATGCATAAGGAATTGGAAAGGAAATAAGAACAATATTTGCAGTGCCACGATTCCGAATAATCAATGTTAATTACAGGGATTAAAGTAAGAAATTATTTTAAATAGCGATCTGGGCAATAATAAATGGTTCAATAAAACTTTCAGTTGAATTGAATTGACAGAATGTCAAAAAACAGTTTTTGGTTTTAATTATTTATTTTTGAAAAGTTTTTAAATTCATTTTTATTCAGCGATGTCATTCAATGAGAATATAAAAGATTTTGCTGCTTTGAGCGTTGTTCTTCTGGAAATGAAAAAGTGTATTTTGGCAATCAAAAATGGTTCGATGAATTTTTTATTTAGTTAAAGGTTTAATAACACCAGTATAGATAGGTTAAGTTTTCAATAATATCTCTCTTATGCGTGTGGCCCATGACTTGGGTGTCGGAGTATAGGTAGAAAAATATAGAAAAATTTCCAAGCGTTCATTGCGAGCGACAGTAACTTACTAAATGATTTTTAGCTTAGTATATTTACAAGCAACCTTTAGACTGAGCTACAAAAAGAAAAACTGATCTTATCATTCGAAAATAATCTTATATGGTTTTTACATTTTATATAATGTAGAAAACTATTTTTTTCATTTGTATTTAATCTTAGGGACATGAGGATTTAAAAAACGTCAGCTCCTATATAAATATAGGAAGAATATATTAAATATATTTGGGTATTCATTCGGGGATCGTGCTGCCCAACAATCAAAAGGTTTTCGATCCCGCAGGTTAGGAATCTCAAAAAAAATGACACAAAAAGCAATATAAACTGGTTCGATGAGTTTTTATTTATTCAAGTGTTTGAAATACATAGCTATAACACCAGTGGATAGATTAAGTTCTTGGTTTTGGCTGTCCAGCGGGTGTGGCCCATGACTTGGGTAGACGGGGAATATAGTTAATATGCACGGATACCGATGCGACACCCAAAATCAGGCCCTGGGCCAGCAGGAATACGATCCCGAAATTTCCAAGCGTTCATTGTGAGCGACAGCAACTTACTAAATGATTTTTAGCTTAGTATATTTAAAATCAAAATTTAGACTGAGCTACAAAAAGAAAAAGTGATCTTATCAAAACTGAAATAAGCCAAACAAGTATATGTACAATATGTATATTCGTTCGTATACCTTTTCCTTCGAAAACAATCAATGGTTTCAATGGCAGGTTGGGTCTCTCCAAAAAGATGCCACATTATATACATATTTTCAAATGTGGAGCACAAATAAATTATTGTTATCAATGTATTTATAAGTCCATGGTACATTGTGTAGAAACGAAAAAAATAGAATAATCATACGTCCCCCAATAAATAAGACCATGATTTGTTTTCTTACGAGTATAAATGTATTTAGCATTAGATTATAATTATTGGAATCGAGACAATATGCATGTATAATCGACCGTTATGTATTTGCAGGAATATGCTAAAATATTTATGCTATCTTCTCTTGGACTAAGTGTACTTAAAATGCACAATCTGAACGCTTTACATATAATGCAATGCAGGCAGCCCCTCAAGTGGTTGCATTTAAAACGAGGCCTATTCACGAACTTGGCTACACTGCTACAATGCTACAACGCTCAATAGCTTTGGACAGCTTGTTCAGGTTTTTGCGGTTTGCGGTTGCGATCGCATCGTAATCCATCGACGATTATTTAGCAGGTGCAGCGGTTCTCGCCGGAAAGACTGCCCAAACTGAAGGTTCCGAGGCCATTGGAGCCAGGTGATTTCTTGTCTTTGCTCTCGTCGTTGTCAAAGTTGTCCCCCTGGCGGATTATCAATAAATAGTAGTTGTAAACAAATATTATTTATGAAACTTTCATAAACAAATCCCAAACTACTTACCCGCCGCTCTCTTTGCTCTCGAATTTTGCGGGCCAGTGATAGAAATGCATCCTCGATATTTATGTTCGACTTGCACGACACCTCGAAAAAGGGCATATCGAAGTTTTCGGCGATCTGACAAAAGTTTAGGGTTATTATACATAAGTGGTGCTAACTTATTGACCGGTGACTTACCTTTTCGCCCCTTTCCTTGTCCACCATGCGCTGGGTGGCGGAGCACTCGCATTTGTTGCCCGCCAGCACCTTGACCACGTCCGGAGAAGCGTTTTCCTGGATGTTGCGCAACCAGTAGGACAGGTTGTTGTAGCTCTCCAGGTTGGTCACGTCGTACATGAGCAGGATGCCCATGGCTCCTCGGTAGTACGCCGTAGTCAGTGTCCGGAATCGCTCCTGTCCTGCCGTGTCCCAGATTTGCAGCTTTATGGGCACGCCATCGAGGTTAATCAGCTTCTGCTTGAAGTCTATGCCTGGGGGAAGATAAAATGGGATGATAGTAGGATGTTCTACATATACTTAGGCATACATTACATCAGCAGATACATCTTTGGCATGGACATAACTTAAAACACTCCTTTTTTTTGCATTTACTATCAGTAACTATGGTATTAACTTATAATACTGAATATTTTATTTATCATTTTATAAGCGAAAGCAACCTTTATTTTAATCATTTCGGAATCAGAGCAATCTCTGTAAAATATTCTAGTAATTTTAGGTATCCATGGAATATGTTTGAACTAGTTGACTAATTAACTAACTAAGGGATGCTTTCAGAATCGGAAAAAATTTGTAATCGAACTTCTGGATGAGTTAAATGTATTGCAAGAAAATGAGTTATATTTAACTCTTATCAGATAGTGTCGACTTTAATTCAAACCAAATCTTAAAATGTTATTAATTCGGCTGCTGCTGTGCGCTGATTGAGACCACTTACCTATGGTGGAGATGTATGTGTCGTAGTACTTCTCGTCGCAATATCTGTGAACGATGCAGGTCTTGCCCACGTTGGAGTCGCCCAGTACCAGTACCTTATAGGTGGCCACAAAGTCCAGTGCCATGTTGACGTAGCTGGCGGATGACTTCGATGGGAGTGGGAATAGTAATATTAACTGCGGAGGTTTTCAGTTACAGATGGGCTGCCGTTGTTGTTATTGGTGGTTGGGTGGTGCAAGTAGTGGTGGTGGTGGTTCGGTTTGGCTCCGAGGGGTTGCAGCGGACTACAGCTTGTTTATGTATCCGCTGGCCTGGCTTGTTTGTTGCTGCTCGCAGCTGTTCCAACTCGAGTTGCAGCGGCGTCACACGGATTTGTTGTAAATTTTCACAGTTCACACAGCAAAACAGTTTGGAATTCACGCTAATTGACAAGTGACTTCTGGCATAAGTCGTTCGATTTAACCTTTATTTGATTCGTATTTTAAAGTAATATATGAGTGGTGTTAGGTGTGCATAGTGCGTCACTTCGGAGGTGGATTCGAATTACGCCGTTCGCGTGAATCAGCCTCGAAGCACTGACTGCGAAACAAGCCAGCCCGTGGATGCGGAGTGGAGTCAACTAATCAATAGACCTGCGCACGCGCAGCAGCAGCAGCATTCTACCGTCGAACAATCGAAATCGGAATTCAAATCGGGGGCGTTCGCGGGCGCTGTCTGGCTTATTAATAATATTAGACATAGGTGTACACAATAGATATGGAGTTACATGTTCAAAAATAGAGTCGTTCCTTGCTTAACTTAGTGCGGTTGGGTAGGAAGAGGAAGTCGAGTCCCGCGCCGCTTACATCACAAAGACCTTTTCGACCTTGGGGTTGGAGAACTTGGTGTTGGTCACCGGACAGGTCACGGTGCCGTCTTCTTTGGTGATGTCCGGCAGAGCCATCTGGCCAAAGATCTGTCCGTTGGGCAGCATCATCGGCTGATTGTGCTCGTTCAGCGGCAGGCCCGTCACCCGGCAAATGAGACGGCTCTGCACGCAGTGCGAGTATGGCAACTTGAGAGCGATGCGGTTGAGATCCTCCTGGCAGACGGGGCAGTTGAGGTTGCGGCAGGTCTGGGCATAGCAGTGGGGCGTCTTCAGGGCCGATAGACCAGCCTGCACGGCCGCCGAAAACACGGACGTGCTGGATAGCTGGAATAGGCGGTAGTTCTCGTGGCGGAAGTCCAGCACCAGCTTCTGCCAGCGCTGGGGATCCATGTACTTGCGGTAGTGGTCTGCCTGGGAATCGGCGGGATAGGCCAGCAGAGCCATGACATGGCAAATCTCGTTCAGCTGAGTCTTCTCGTAGGCGGGGAAGTACCGACGTGAGTGCTTCACTGCTTCGAAGCGCTGATTCTGGCGCACCAGCTCTATGAACTCTTGCACCCGCAAGCTGAACTCTATGGTCGAGTTAATTTTGCGCAGCTTGGATTTGTTGTCGATGCACCACAGCACGCATTTGGTGGTGCTGTGGCTGGCCAGGTCGTCTTCGACTTCGCGCGACGTTTGAAAAATGTCTAGATTGGTCAGGTGGCGCACATCGGACTTGGCGGCCAACTCTTCGGCCGTTTCATAATAGCCCATGCGAAGTAGATGCTCGATGACCAAGCGGTCCAGTCGGATGCGCTTCCACTGGTCCACGGATCCTTGCCACAGGTCGCCAGTCACGCTGTTCGGCGGAGTGATGCCCTTCAGGTGCTCCAGCTTGCGCTTGCAGATCTGTGTGACGCTCAGCTCGTCGTTGATGCTCTCCTCGGCCTTACGCTTCAGCACCTGCAGCTTCTGGGCCACGTTGTCCACCAGCTTGGTCACCTCCGCCAGGATTGGGCCCTCCTCCGCCTCCAGGGCCTTCTCCACCTGCCGCGATACGTTGGTCACCTGGTCCACCTCGCGGTCGATGATCTTCTGCGCCGAGCGGAAGCGCTTGTTCAGCATCTCGTATGGCACTTTCAAAGTGGCGTGCTCCAACGCCTTGATCTCCGACATTTTCGATTTTGTTTGGATGCGATGCAAATTGGTTTTATCCTCTCGTTTGAGACGCAATTGCGTTTTCTTTTCTTTTTGCCTTGCTTTGTTTTGCTTTTGTGGGCCAGGGCTGCCAGACCGCCTGCAGTCAGCTTATCGAGCGGACAGAGCTGTACTGTTAGCCTTGTTTTCCGCTAACTAATCTTTAGCTCTGTGTTAAAAACAAAATTATAATATTAAACACAAAGTGGTTTTACCTAATGTATATAATTAGCATCAAAAATCAATTTGAAATGTGTTTCTTATAATCTAATTATAAGATTTAAGCCATATTTTGGTATAATTTGTCCCGCTAAAATGTCTCCGGTCGACTGGCAACGCCCACAAAAATGGACAGTATGCCATTACTGTTCTGTTAACGTATAACAGCTGATTGAGAATGTAAACAAAAACAATGTTATTACACTCTGAAAGTAAAACATCAACAACAATATAGAACTTAATTCCTTAACTAGTATATAAATTCAAGGAGACGCAAAATAAAAACAGATTTACCCGACCGCTTATAGATCCAAAGAAAACTGTACTAATTTTTTTTGGTAAAATTCATACATAATAACTCTAATCATTTAAAACAATCTAGATGGGCACAGCAACTAGAAGGACGAAGGATAACGCCAAACAAAAACCTAGGCTATGTAAAGAAGTCTTCAAAACAAAAACCGCTAAAGGCTCCAAGGACAATTCCAAACGCTACCGGGAGAAAATCAAAAAGGATCCGATCAAGTTCGAGGAGTATCGTGCCAGGGAAGCCGAAAGGAGTAGGATATACCGAAGGAAACTAAAAGAAGTCGTAAAAAAAAACAAGAAGGTCCTTAAAACTAAGAGGGAAATCGATCGGATCAGACAACAAAGATATCGAGATAAAAAGAAGGAAGAACTCGAAGAGCGAAAATCAAAAGAAGAAGTATTGAGGAAACTCGAGCGTGCAATGCCTTCAAAAATGACCCAAAAGATTGAAGTTATCAAATTATTATATAATAAATACGTTGATCCCAAAGTCACCGAGTCCTAAAGCACCTATACGTTTAATCAAAAAATCTTTTGAAAAATACAAAAAAAGGTTTTTTATAAGAAACTAAAATATTTTTAAGTTTCCTAAACGTCATACTTCCACATCCGACAGATATTTGTAGGTTTTGTATCACAGCTTGATAGATCCAACATAAGATATAAATAAAAGTACATTCAAAAGTAAGAAATTATTCATATACTTTATGAAAATGCAGATAAACTAAAATAAAACTTTTAATTTTAAAAACAACTGCTGTTTGTCAAGAAAGCTTTAAAGAATGTACTTATGGTTTTCTAATTCCTTTTTCGACAAACAAATCGGCTCACTCTAATTTCTTGTAATTAGCACTACTCTTGGTTGGAGTTAGAGAGTTGAACTAATGTATTCCGCTTTGTAATTAATACGTCTGCTCGAAGGAAAAGTAATCACGGACGCCATGCAAAATTGCATGGAATTAACCTCCTTTTATGGTACATTGACTTTCGCCCACGCTCAAATAGCTCTTATAATTAGTTATAGATTAGGTAGTCCCAGGTTCGGCGAACAAGTGTAGGTGCGAAAATTGAAAATCCATGAAAACCCAAGTTCTGGGCTCAATGTTGCGACTCTGGTAAGTAATTTTTCATTCACGAGAACGGAAGTTACTCGTTTGAGTAAATTCGAGACACGTGCCGCCATTAAGCGCGAAAACAAACAAATAAACATTTTGTTTGAACAGAAGTTCCATAAGGCCAGGATGAAAGATGGTAATTTTCGGTCATTTTTAATCACAAATACAAAGAGTTAAAATCGAAAATGACAAAACAATAGAAGGATCCGTATTAACAACATTTTGAATTAAAGATTTATCAAAAAAATATATTTTTAGGGACTTTTGACCAAATAATCATTTTTAATCAATTTTCGTTTATTAAAGAATGGTAGCTTAAGATATCCCATTCGCGAACTGAGTCATAAAATCATAAAAAAGCCATGGCAATCGTCATCTTCCTAATGAAAGAGTGATTTTTCGCAAAAGGTCAGGCATTTACATTGCGATTGCCCTAATGACAAACAATTGAAAATTGCATGTCCGGCAAGGAAGTCCAAGCGGGACTCAACGTCCAAGAAAGTCGGCATCCGAAAAAATTGCATTTTAATAATACAACCAGTGAGAACGCGATTAAATTCAGGCACTTTTTAATTTGAATTCCAATTACGGAATGTCACTCAGGTCGACTGGCTTACACACTACCTCTGCCACCTTTTATTCCATGCCCCACGAAAAGTTCACTGCTCTTGGAGGACGCAAAAACTTGGTAGAATAACTTACTAAGGTGCTTTGAAATTTCCATGGTTTTTCTGGTTTTCCAGTTGCAAGAAACTCCTTTTGAGAACCAACCTTTAAGAAAATTAGAGGGAGCTCAGCACTCAATCTAATTGTGGGTCACTCTGGGAGGTGCAATATTTGGAGAAGCAAAACCAACTGGAACTCGTAGGAAAACCCGAGCGATTGCCGACCATTTTGGTGATGTCATGGATTGCGTGCAGCGGAGCCGTCATCAATGGTCCCTCGGACTTGGGCAATTTTGTTGAAGAAGTTTTTGGCGCTTTTGGGCTACCATACGAAATGGTCGTAACCCATAATCAGTGCGGCTTAATCGTGTTCCACCCGCGGAGAGCCCCTAGACCTCCATCCCGAAACTATTTAGGAGGCATCTCCCCACCGACCACATTGCTTCGCTGGGCTGCATTGATTTTTTGTAGGAGCCCTTCAGCCCTGCGTTTTCGGGTTTATGGTCACCTCTGGAACTTTCACTTTTTGATGTGCGTAAATTTGCATATTTGTCGGACGTTATGGGGAGTGTACAGTGCCCAAACCTTTGGCCTGAACTCTGGGTGAATAATGAATAACGTCCGATGATGATGACGCCTTTGTTAATTAGTTTTTTCCTTCGCCTTTAGATAGGTCACTGAAATCGTCATGTTAATCCAAATTAAATGGATAGTTGTGGTTATTTTGCCATGAATACTGAGTTTACTTTTTAAAAACTACTTGTTTGAGAGCTGAGTTAATAGCCTCATCAAAGACATTTTATGGTCCTCCCATTGCGCACATGCATTTAGAAAGCTTTGTTAGAATCGTCAAACTATTTTTGCAGTTATTGCTTGAAATAAAAATATAGAAATTTGAAGTTAAAGGATTTATTTTTGACTATGGAAATATGAAAAATTCTGAGCTCAGATTTCTTTATTTTCTTCAATTAAAAATAGTCAAGTTATAGGTCATGTATAATTTCTTTGATAATGATCTTTAACTGTCCCATTAATTTGATTACAATTTTACTTTTGAGCCTCAGACTTGAAAACCTTATCAAGGCATTTAAAAGAATGTTTATTTTTGGACATTTATTTTTAATATTTCTCCGTAATATAAATCATGTAGGAGTAAAGGCTCCTCGACATCTCCCAAGCGTTGGAAATTGGCTTAAGTTGTATTATTTAATCCCCCCAAAGGATTCACAGCCTTAGGCAATGACGTCTAAACCTCACCACGCATGAGGTATTATAATAAGTTCGTGAGCTCTAGCATTTCGCAGTTATTTTTATGTTTTCAGTAGCTTGGAGCGGTTTCACTTCTGGCCAACATGACATGCGAATCGGGCTGTTCTTGGGGGCAGACCGAAAGTCCCCCAAAAGTGTCGCCCCATTGCTAAAATCAAGGTGTGCATTAACAAATGAACTTGAAGTAATCGTTATACGGCCTGGCACACATATATTTAGCATGCATTTAGCTGCACTTGGCTGGCAGTGTGGAGAGTGATAAATTGGGAAAGTCATGGAAAGGTTATTTGGTCAAGACTTGGCCAAGAGACAAGGCTACAACAAGTAGCCTGGCTATCGACGCTCTCGCCTTGCGAGGCATGCAACATTCGGGGGCAGGAGGTCCTTTGGTTCGGATGGTTTGGATGGTTCGGTGGTGTGTGCATGTCCAGGAACGCACGAAAACAAACTTGCATGCAGTGGCAGTCCACGGGTGTGTGTGTGTGTTCGCAATTAGACGTGGTTATAATATGGAATTAAGTCCCTTAAATTGGCACTTTTTCAAGAGCCCAATGCGGAATGGGTCTGGGCAGGACTTGGACTTGGACTCGGAGTTATAATCGGCAGAAATATGATGACCTCTAGGCATGAGTACACCCCAATGAGATTTCGTGAGAAAATTATATATCGCTGGGTCGGCCCTAGACGGCCCTAGAAATTCTACAGTCGCACTAATTAATCATCAGTTAAGACCAAAACATGACGACCAAATTGTTGAAAGGGAATTAGTTCTTTAATTACAGTGGTCTTTCGGTTGGGCAGAGGGGTTTTTCGGGGGAAAGCCCTCCAATTCGTTGCAGTCTCTGATTTGGTCTAAAGATTTCGTGAGTTTTCCATATAATTTTCCTGCTTGTTTTCCGTTTCTTTCCCGTGGCCAACAACATTTATCAATAATGTCAAGAAATAAATATCCGAAATAAATTTCGGACTTTGCCGCATGGAAAGTTGAATGGAGTGGACTGCCAGCTCACCTGAATAATAATTAAAGGAATTTATTTTTACATATAAATATAAATATTTCCCATTTCGTCTGACGCGGAGCCGTTGGACTTGCGTAAATGGTAAAAGTACTGTGGAATAAATCTTCGTCATTTTTTAATTTGAATGTAGAACATGGTAAAAGGCAACTAAAAACTTTTAATGAGAACGGAAGAAAATAAATAGTCCTTAAAGGTATTTTTTTTAACATCCTTAAAAAACATAGAACAGGAAATCATAGAAATTCTTTTAATTGTTAAGATCAGATAATAAGTCTCTAGAGATTTTATGGTATTACAGTAAAATATGCAGCTTTTTTAAAATTCCCATTATTCAGTTTGGATTGAACTTTTAAAACTATTAAACTATGCTGCTGGTATTAACAAAGTTTTACCCGCTTTTAATAATTAAGTTGATCCATTCCATTGTTCTTGGACCCAAAGTGAATCGTGTCCTAATTAGTTATATCCACCGATTTTCTTGAATATTTTCTGGAAAGCCTTTCCGTTTGTTGTGCGTGTGCGAAATGAATTCGGTGCGATGGCGCGCGTTTAGTTGAGGGAAAATTGTTTATGCTGTCGCAGCGATTAAAACAATCGTTTATAAGGCGATCGAGGCTGGAGATAAGGAGCAGTAGGGCTTGACATTTTCCGCAATCGGAAAAGCGCCGAAAATAAACGAAAGCAAGGAATTTGTGTAAGCAAATTGGCGAGTGTTCCATGTCCAAATTGACCTCAAAGTGTTCTCCTCGGGTGTAAATTATTGGCTTCGCTGGCAAAAGGGTTGTGTAGGCGTTTCGTGAGAGACAATGGCAGACATGGCCGAAAGTTTCGCATCCGTTTTCGGCTGTTCGATATGCATCAAAAAAGTAGATTTTCCAAATTGTTGGCGGGAGGGGGCGTGGCCTGCAACCTTTTTTTTTTGGGGCTGCACTCGAGAGTGGATAGTTGGAAAGTTAAAAGCAACAAGCCAGCCACTCATCTGGGCAATTCAGCAAACGTAATTAGGGCCATGCACCGCCCAACGAAAAATAATCATAAACAACGGCCAGAAGAAAAGAGAGAGAGTGGCGGAGAATAATGGCCAAAATAACTATTTGGCTTTGACTAACCGAGTTTTTGTTGTTTGTGGTGCGTGCTAATGTTACACTTTATTGTTGTGGCTGTTGCTCGACTCTGCGGGCCCCAAAAAGTAGGCTATGCAATGGCCGTATGCCTCTAATGCCTTCGTCATTATAATAGTGCCCACCCCCACACATACAACCGCCTACATGGGCCTCTGGAACAGGACGAGGGCGAGGACGAGAGCAGGACGAGGTCGCCCCGCCAGGAGCAACAATAAAAACAACTGCACGAAGGTGAGGCACCTGCGAAAATCCATCTTCGTTAACAAAACCCGCTCACGAAACAACGAAGCAGTCACAAGTGCGTTGGAGCGTTGGAGCTGACTTTCCATACGACCATACAAGTGCGGCCCAAAACTAAGCCCAAACTACTGCGGGTATTTCAAAATCTGCCCGGAGATTCATCCACCTCCTTCGCAGCGGAACACTAATGTAGTGGAATACCCTTCGCCGACTCGGGGGAGTCCTCCATTATGCATGCCGGTTTCTGTCCTGCCGGAATCGCATTTTATGGATGCCACGGAATCCGCGAAATTATTCAACCTCATCTGGAGTTGGATAGTGATAGTGCGTTAAATTAATGACAATTAATGCTTGTCGTCAGTTTGTTTATCTTTTTTGAGAACTTACGTTCTGCGTCACAAGAATCGATAATAAATTGAATATTCATTAAACCGGCATTTCTATTTCATTAAGTCGAAAACACAGTTATATTTTTTGCAAGATTTATTATCAAAACCAGGTCGCCCAGCAAAATTTAAGCAAATGCGAGTAACAATCTAATATAAGCAATAAATTAATTGTTGTTAGTGTTCAACAAACCAGAATTTTTATTTTATAAAGTCGACTAGAAAGTTAAAGAACTTTAGGTAGGCTATTTAGTTATAATACGTTTTTTAAAACATGAAATTCTGTGTTATTAAGTCAAAAATAAAATGTATGAACTTCTTAATTTAAAGAAAATAAATAAATTAATATAGTTGTTTTCATAAAACAAAACTGTGTTTTTAAATTATTAAAAATGCTTCCCTGTTTAGTCTATACAATATTTATTTAAAAATATATTTACATGGCATGTCCTTATATAACGTATACTTCAATTTAACCTTTATACTAAAGAAACATAAAATAACTTTAATATAATTGTCGTGGGTATAAAAAAGATTTTAAATGTAAAATATATATACAAATGTATGACTTATTTTTACATTTTATTTATAGGAATTGACTTTCAAAGAAATAATTTGGCTTTAAAGGGTATCTTAGAGCCGTCTCTGATTTGTCTTCAAGCTGGGAAAGGGGTTCGCTTCTTGGTGGAGCAGGTGAGATGGACGGGGGGGCAGGTGGAGATGGGTGGGTGGGGAGGCGGGTTTGGGGCTGGTGCGGTGCGCGAGCGCCAAGTCAGCAGCGACGTCGAACCAACTTAAGGTCCGTGTGCGCCGCGAATTCTTCACTTGCATTTCGAACGCGCAGGCGACTGGTTGGAGCTACCGTCTCAAGACCCATCGAGGAGTACCATACCGAATTCCCAGAGTATTGGAGATTTTTTGGAGTGACGCCTCCCGTGCGGTTTGTTTTGCTACGGACTTTCCACCAGAGCGGAAACAATTTCGGTGTGAAAATTTGCATAAAATTACCCCCGCGACGTCGACAAAGAAACGAAAAAGTTGAGGAAACCGATTTAAAGCCTTTCGGGCAGTTTTCAAGCTTGCAAAGTGCGTGCGAAACTCGTCGGGTCTTGTGAATTTATATAACACCCGAAAAAAAAACCACTTCCTCGGGGGTTTGGCTCAGTCTCGGCAAATCCCAAAACTCGATAAATCCCGACTCCAAAATGCAGCCCCTGAAGCGCTTCACACAATGCGGCAGCCTGACCATGCTCTTCGGCATCTTCATCATCCTCTTCGGGGTCAGTTCCACGGCACTAACCACTTTTGGCAAGACCAACAACCAGCCGCCGCCAACGCACGTTCCCATTGGTAAGAGCTCCGCGGGGTTGGTAATAAAAACCCTAATTAAAGTCAGGCTCAGCTGGGATTTCTAGTCGCAATTTGGGGTTTTTATTTAGTGCCTAACATAACTCTGCTGTAACTAATATTATTGCCTATAAAAACTATTTTTTTCAAGGCTATTCATAAAAGATCCAACAAGAAAAAGCAGCAATAGTTTAAAAGGATATACCAATAAAAAAGCGAATGTTGAAAAGTTTTCTGCATTAATCTTAAATATATAAAGTTTAACTTTATTGTGCAAATAAATCTCTAATTATAAGTATTCTACCCTAACTACAGAAGTCTCCAGATTTGCAGCTCTTGATAGGTTTATAAATCGTTTAAAAAGTCCGTCGGTACTGGGATTAGGATTAACTATTCGAAAGCCAACTTTTTCCTCAAAGTTTGAGAGATTTCCGTGTCGCTTAAATTTGATTTTTAGAGTAGATAAATATTTTCTGGGCTTTCCCAATAAACGTTAAGCCCACAGAGTATCTTACCTCTTAAATATGAATGACAACCAGTTAATCGCTAATTAAGACAGTCCAATTGTAACCTTACAAATAGACAACAAACAAGTTTGTCTGATCCAATCATTTGTCATTCGATTGACTTTGTGCCACCCATAAATAAATCGAATAATAATTACCCCAAAGAGTCAGCGATTGAATGACACGACACAGAACATGGAGCCCACTACTAGCACGAATCGGGAATTGATCAAACAAGTCACTCAAGTGCAATGACAACCCACGCTTTAGGAGTGGGCTCCTCGGGGTGGCAATGGTAATAGTAATGGTAGAGGTCTGTGATTGGAGTTGGCAAACAAGAGCGAATAGATAGGCCGACAAGCGATGATTTGTGCCAGCAAGGGACCAGGCGATAATCACACACAATTAGTTGGCAATTAGCTGAGCAAACCGACAACTAATTCGTCCTTATCCTGACTCGATCTCTTCCCTTTTCAGTCAAAGGACGCGAGTGCAGTGCCCACGATGACTGCACGGCAATAGATCGGACCAGCTGCGTCAAGGATCCCAGTGACTACAAGTTGCGTTGTCTCTGCGGCGATGACTCCGCTCCTTCGGCTGGCAACTGCCCGGATGTCCTTAAAGGTAATAGATTAGCACATATCATTTTAATATTTCCTACATATCAACATATACTTCAATTTTATTAGGACTTTTACCAACTAATATTTAGCCTAGCTATTGTAAATTATAATATAGATCTGGACAATTCTTTTTCAATTGTTGCTTAAGTAAGTTACTTAATTTAAAACTAAAAAATGTTTTGGTTTAAATAAGAATTTGATATTTAATTATTCTACAAGGTTGCTTTACATATTATTATATATATGTTTTTAAGGAAAATAAGACAACCTTAAGTCCAATCACATTTCAAAATTTGATTTTACATTTGTATTTTATAATAAAAGTAATTTGTAATTAAACTATGCATACTATTTTAGCAATTTTAAGATGGTTTTTTTTTGCAAAAATTCAAAATATTCTATAGTTTTTTAAGCCTTTTTCCATGCTCCTTTGGTTGGCTGCCTTTGTAAAGTCCTTTAGCTATTCCTGAAATAGAGCAGCCAACGAAACGTCAACTAATTGCTAAGACATGCACATTACATTTATTATTTAAGGGGCAGCTGCTTTCTTGGAGGCCTGCTCTGTGATGTGCCTGTGCCTCAAGTGGCATTCAGGTGATGTGTCCAAGGCGCCGCCTAAATGAGAATTAAACAAAGCATCCTGCCAGATGGATACTGGGTGTTGGTGCGGGTGTTCCGCTCCTCTTCACCATTTGCCTGCTTATTTATTTAGTTTTCGTGCGCAATTCACACTTGCTTCTAGGATCCTTGGGTCCTGTGCCCGCCATTGCTGGCCCTCCAGTCCAATCCTTACGGCATGCAGGACATTCTTTAGCTGGGCCAAAGGGCCAAAGGACCAAAGGACCGAAAGGCTATTGCGATGGCGGGGCTCTGGCTTTATGGCAGCGCAATGTCGATGCCGGATTTATGTTAGGATGTCGTGACTCCGACTGGGGAGCCAAACGAGGGCCCAAATGAGAAGCAAATGGTAATGGGAATCGCCGCAGTGCCAATTTGTGACATGCACAGCCCAGAAGAAATGCTATACGCGATATTTGCATGCACATGTCCGGAGTTTGGCATTGGCAACCATTCTCCGGCGGCAGAAACACTTTCCGGAGCCAATTATTAAACTTAGTTTGTGGTTGTCTTTTTTTAAGATTTTATAAGTATATATAAATCTATTTATGAAGAGACACTTAACATTTAATTTAGATGTTTGCTTAATTCTTACTTACAAAAACAATATGAACTTCCTCTGACAAATGTAAACCACGTGGCATTCTAATGTAAAATCAAACTTAATATTAATTATTTTATTCTACAAGGATAAATAATCTATTTTACTTACGTTCCGTCGATTAAAAAATATTTTTAGATCACACTTCTTAGCTTACTCGCTATCAATAACACAATAATCTCAATTTGCACATACATATACTTATTTCCTATTAAAAACACAAGTTTTTAGCACAAGGAAATTAAAAAGTGCACATATACTTCTTTCCCTGAGGTATAATCAATATAATCATAATAATTTTACTCAACTGCTGATTATCTAAATTATTTTGGGCATTCTTTGTTGTTGCAGGCCTGCGTCACAAGTGCAACAGCAACAACGACTGCGAGGACGGGATGGTGTGCCAGTTCGAGAATAGCAACCGCACCATCGGAGTGGCCAAGTTCATGTCCAGCAAGACCAAACTGTGCCTCTGCGACAATGACAACGGATATGTGGAGGACATCCTGCACGACATCTGCAGTGGCGGTAAATGAGCGTTCCTGCTTTGAGTATCCTTATTTAATGATTTCACATTTTATTTCCTAATAAATGGCTAATAATATGTATATAATATATTTTACCAGTGCACATGCTTTGTTTACATTTAAATTTATTTATTTTCTCCACCTCTGGCACACTTTTAGAACAGCCTTAACCAGTTTTCTTTGACTTACAGCCAATTTGCAAGGATTAGTGAGCTTCTTGGTCTCGATCTGTTCGCTTCTGGCGCCCTTTTTGGTATCCGCCCACATGCGAAAGCATTTCTAGAAGGCGACCGAAGGAGCTGGAAGTCGTAGTTTGGCGTTTATCTCCCCTAGTGATCCATCAAATGTGCCTCAGTGAAACCAACAGAAACAAAAACTCATCGCCCCCTCCCCCTTCCCCATCACATATGAACACAAAATGTACACTTCGAAAAACAAAAGAAAGTTAGATAAATACCGTTCAGTCGCCATTAGCCTAAAGGTCGTTCTATTGTATAAGTTTCATATGTACCACCGTCAAATTTATTCGCTTCTCACTAAAAGTTGCGTTATATACAATATACATAATAAATATATTATCTGATAAATGTTTTCTATATAGATCCCCTATCGACCTTAGTCAGTACTCTCTACACTAGTCAACCAGAAGAAACTTTAAAGTAAATGTTTGGCACCATTTTAATGTAATTTTATATGTGTGTACGTGTGTCCAAGAATAGCCAGGAAAACCTACAAATTATCTAAGGATAGGCAACTTTATTGCAGCACTGTGAATTCAGATCGCTTACATCGCAATTACAAATGTGAAACATTTTAGTTTTTGTATGTATTCCAGATAAATAGCTTTACAAGCTCACAGCCCACAATCAACGAAATTATATAAATAATCGTACAAAAAATCTATTCATACGTGAACAAATTTTTGAGGCTGCTGCAACATCGATTTCATCTCAAAGTTGCAAGGCCAGTTAAGAACTTTCCCATTAAAACCGTTTTCTTCGTAGCTGTTATCTATCGTACTATTTAATAAAAACCTTTTAAAAACCAAACGCTATTGTCTTTCATTTTCCGGGAAGCATTGACTGCTATCGTTAGTCAATAGTTTATTTAATTTAATGGGTAATTAATGGGATATTAAAAACAAGAAAGAAAGCAAACTTTTTCAAGCCGAAGTGTATATACTATAAATTTTCAAATCGTGCTGTTAGCTAAGTAAGTCACATCTAAATGATGCAGGAAATAAGTGGGATTATTTGTATTTCTATTTTGTATCATAATATCTGATTGGGTGTCAATTTAATGTGGATAAGAGTTTTTTATTTATACTTTTGTAGATAACTTAATATTTTTAGGAAAGCGTCAAATACAGCTTCACTATTGCGCGTGTTATGTCGTAGGCTATCCAGTGCCACTCAAACATGTAATCTCCCTCAGGAAAAGATAGAATTTTCGTTATTCGGTGATTAAAAAACTCCGTGGATAGTTTATCCACAATAATGTCGTGCTGAAAAAGAAAAAAACATTCAGTCAAAGTCAAAAATAATGTATTAGAGAAAGCCTTGCGCACATCGAAAGGGCAGGTGTGATTCATGTTGGAAGCACTCCTGAAGAACTCGTAAAAGTAGCTCATGGCTGGATTGGTCTTCTGGTTCTTCAAAAATTGACAGGCATCTACGCTTATATTGTACAGAAAGGGCCGGTAACCACTAAACTTCTTGTATAGTCCAAACTTAACCTGAAATATTAAAATTTAATTTGACTATGGTGCCAAATATACACATATCTCGAACTGCTAACCTTTACTTTAGTAATGGGAACTTTGTGGAGTATGATTTTTGTCGAAATATACTTGTACGATCGATTTACAGCCTTCAGGGTGCAATATTCGAATTCGGAAAAGTCTGTGTCCAAAGAGTGACACTTAAAGTTTGTAAACTCGGTTCGCGAAGAAATCTAAAAGAACGTTGCATTTAAAATTTAAACCAAATTTTTGAATTCACTGACCAGTTTGAGAACGGACAACATCATCAGTAAACGAATCGAAAACGCGTACATTGTATAATATCGATTGACCCATGTGAACTAAATGCTTTTAGTGAGTAATTTTGAAATGAAGATCAAAGGGCTATTAATTCTCTTCAAAAGAATTTAATGAGTAAATAATGGCTTAGTCAATATTAGTTGCTTTAAACCCATCAGTGGAATTTGATTGTTATCTGGAATCTTGATTTACCGCGAGTTTTACAACTCCTCTTAGCGGCCTACAAATGCGTGATACATGAAGCATTAACTGCTGTCGTTTGTCAATAGTTTATTTTATTTAATGGGTAAGATATATTAAAAACAAGAAAGAAAGCCAAATTTTTCAAGCCGAATTTTATATACTATAAATTTTTAAATATTGCTGATAGTTAAGTAAGTCACATCTAAATGATGCAGATAATAAGTGGGATTATTTTTATTTCCTATTTTGTATTAAGTAAATAAGTTAATATATTTAGGAAAGCGTCCAATACATCTTCACTATTGCGCGTGTTATGTCGTAGGCTATCCAGTGCATCTCAAACATGTAATCTCCATCCGGAAAGGATAGAATATTCGTAAATCGGTGATTTAAAACATCAGTGGATAGTTTATCCAGAATTAGATCGTGCTGGAAAAGAAAAGACATTCTATGAAAGTCAAGAATAGAGTATCAAAAAAAGGCTTGCACACATCGTAAGGGCAGGTGTGATTCATGTTGGAAGCACTCCTGAAGAGCTCGTAAAAGTAGCTTGCGACTGGATTGCTCTTCTGGTTCTTCAAAAATTGACAGGCATCTACGCTTATATTGTACAGAAAGGGCCGGTAACCACTAAACTTCTTGTAGAGTCCAAACTTAACCTGAAATATTAACATTTAAGTTCACTATGGTGACACTTATTCATATCTTAAAATGCTTACCTTTACTTTAGTAATGGGAACTTTGTGGAGTATGATTTTTGTCGAAAGATACTTGTACGATCGATTTACAGCCTTCAGGGTGCAATATTCGAATTCGGAAAAGTCTGTGTCCAAGGAGTGACACTTAAAGTTTGTAAACTCGGCTCGCGAAGAAATCTGAAAGAACGTTGCATTTAAAATTTTAACCATATATTTGAATTCACTGACCAGCTTGAGAACGGACAACATCAGTAGTAAACGAATCAAAAACGCGTACATTGTATTGTATCGATTGACCCATGTGAACTAAATGCTTTTAGTTGGTAATTATTGAAATAAAGCTATTTGTTTTCATTTTTTCTCGAAAAGCTATTAATTCTCTTCAAAAGAATTTAATGAGTAAATAATGGCTTAGTCAATATTATCATCAGTGGAATATTTTTGTTTTCTGTAATCTTGATTTACTCCTCTTAAAATAAATACATCGTGATTTTAGCGGCCTACAAATGCATGATACGGATATGATATCTATGTCAGACACCAAGGATAAATGGCATGTAATGTGGTGTAACTACCGACTATAAAATCCGTTTAACTGCATTTTCAGCAATCTCAGGCGATCAGTTATCCAACCTTAATCGATTAAATGCTCGGCATTGATTATAAATTGATTGGCGTATACTTAATGCAGCGCAAAGTTATCAATATGTTAACAAGTTGGGTATTTTGTAATGCCAACACCTTTCGCTGTCCCCCATTCGCCGATTACTTTCGGATTCCTCACACCCAGAGAAATGGGGAAAGAGAAGGAGGCCGAGAAAGAGAAAGGGAAAGAGAGGAGAGAGCAGAGAAATGTGGAAACTGTGCGAAAGCTCGCTGTCCAAAGCTCGACTCTCGTATCACAAAAACAAACACAGTTACACGATCGGCTTGGCTTGCGAGAGGTGACAACTTTCGAGGGCTTTCAAAACCGACGGCAGTTCCGTTTAAAGATCTGAAACAGCAGTAACGCCTATTTACACAACCGATTCGGCTGTGCGATCCGCAAGATCGTCGAGAAAAATCCAATCCAAGATACATTTCGCGTGTGTGCAAATATAACTTTAACTTACCATTTTTATGGGTGCATTTCGGCTGTGATTTGCATCCAAATTTGGCATCCGCCAAAAACTCTGAAAGTAGTGCCATATAAATATTCACGAATTGCAAATCAAACTATTATTATTAGAACGCACAGACAATGAAGAACTGAAGGGGACAAAATTGAATTTTTGAGGTGTGCGACGCGCGCCAAAGTCAAAGCCAACAAAATCACATTTCCGGTGGCCACAAATCGTTTGAGCCAAATTCAATAGAGAATAGAAAAAACGCAGGCCAGAGGCATTCCAATTGTAATTGGGCTATTTGCGCCCCCTCAACCGCCGCCAGAGGTAAGCCCATCCACATATTTCTCGTCTGACATCAGATACTGACACTCGCAGAGTTATGGAGACACCGACTTTCAGGGCAAACAAAAAGATTTGACAGTGAAAATTCCCATTCCGAAAGTTGTAAATCCTATTGCGGTTGTCTTTTGCTTTTAGAGTCTGCTTATTGGCCAACCCATTGACGCATTTAATCGGTCGATTAACATTTAACACTAAACGATTACTAATTTGTTTATGACTCCCTCAAAGCCATAGCCATATGCTAATTGGCATTATTGGTTGCCAAAAAGAGTTGCTAATTTTATGATATCCTCAATGAAGTGTCAATTAAATGATTCATTGTGACTTATTTTCGTTAGTTCGTTGTGAGTTTATTTTGATATTTTGCAAACCGAATTAGCTTGGTATTTACCTAGTATTGAGTCGCAGTTTAGCTGCCCCAATATTGCATTTCAGAGATTGGAACGTGGTAATTGTTTAAGGGCCAAGACATGCGAACGCGGCAGTGGAAATTCGTCAATAGGTTACGTGACTTCAACGCGAGAACCTGTTCAGAGCGGAGGTTTTCTAAATTGGGTGGCTAACTATCCCCAACATGCAATGGTAGTTCGTCTCTAGCCTTTTGTAAGTGTTTAGGAACCTCAATACCTTCTATAAGACTAAAGAACCTTTTTGAAGGACTTAAAGATTTCACGAATAATTTCTTTACTCATTAAATAATGTATAAAAACCATCTTAAACCTCTAGAAAGTATTGTTTTTATTCCCTCATAACACCTTATTTTAAAAGAGATATACATCAGGTTTTCCTCATTTATTAATTCTGATTCTTTTCGAAATATTCTGAAGAGCTCTCTATGCTTAAATTCTTATGGATTGCGGCTTGAACTGGTTTAGATTGGTTTTAATCACCTCAGACGTAAGCGTCGCTTAAACATCTTAAACGCTTAAAAATATTTGGATGAATAGATAAGATTCCGCACAGATTCCGCATCTCTTTTTCTTTGATGCGTAATCGTAGGGGAAACGCGTTTTGCATAAAAATCGCCAACTTATCAAACCGCGCGCCATCAAATATAAACCAAGTCATAAATATTCAAAACAAACAAAAGCCGGTAGCAGTTCTCCCCCTGAAACCATTAAACTTGAAAACGAATGGGTGGACCAAGTCTGATCGACGTCTAATGTAGATGATGAAACCCGTTTCATGCGATTACAAATTTTAAGTTTATTTACCATGCAATTAATCACACTTTTAATCAAATAAAATTGAACTAAGGTGGAAATCATAATTGTTATATGTAGCTGGTTCTTCAATTGAATTAGTTTGTTTAACTTTAAAAGTACAAGGCACCTTTCCTATGGGTTTCTAGAGTTCATAGTAAATATACTGCAAACAGAATTGGTCAGATCCAATTCGCATGACTTAAACAATTAAGCTATTTATGGCTAAAAAGAAATTCAATAGGCTTAGTGAATGACAAGAATCTGCTAAGTATTTAGGAAATATAAAATTAGCATATTATTTGAAATCGCACATTAAAATAATTGCCGATCTTTAGAATTATTTGACAAGCTCAACGTAAACTGTTTCTAATTTGCATGATCACGTTTCGCTGTTAAGTAGAGAGTCGTTGCCACTTAAGCCCTTTTAATAGTTACAAATATTTATGGGCAGTCAATAAATCAAGAAGCTGTCTGGGCTTCGAAAGTTGTCTGTTTAAAGTTGTCCGAATAATTTGCCCGTGATGATTGTAAGTTATCTAAACTAAAACAAATGTCTCTGCAAATGGAGCAACATGTTGTATACGTGATTTTCTTGCGATAAGCTGCAAGTGTGCAAATTCGAACCATATCTCCCTTGTACCGGGCTAAATACAGCTTTCGGAAATAATAGAGCCACGAATAGAGCCAGAAACAGTCCAATCCAAAAAACCAAAACAAACCAAACGCATTTCATTGAAATGGACGACAGTTCGTTGTTCGAATTCGTTGTGATTGTACGGCGATCGACCACGCCCACTGTTGTGCGCTACGCCCTTTCTGGGGATTCGGCAGTCATGCGAAATATATTTTGCAATTGGCCCTGTAATTTGAGGCGAGTAAAAACAAACCGCTTAAAAGCAGCAAAAACGAAAACGAAAATAGCAAATGTAATTGAACAATTAATTGAACAGTTGTGCTTCCTGTTTGGAGGGCTTTATTAACTGGATTATGAGCTGATCAAAAATGAGGAGCACCTTGGGAATTTGTTTGTTTTGCAAACACATTTCAGAGGCCAAAGGTCACACACCTGATGGGTGGCAAAGTTCGTACACCTGCACTTGGAGCTAAATATGTGTAATATTTAAGTGCGTTTGAGCAAACTTCCATTAAATACAATTATTTTGTTAAGGAAGTTTTAATTTGATGGCAATTAGCAAACAATCTCACAGCCAATTGACTTACACGCCCACATTTCTCTCACTTTCTAAGTGTGTGCTTAAATAGTTAAAAATAAACCAAAAACAAAGGGGAACGCCTTCGGATCGTATGTATATATATAGAAGACTTTCGTTGTCGTTTGACATCATCCAAAATTAGCTGATATTTCGACAGCTGGGGAAGGAGAACTCCCCCAAGTTCACAGTCTTGCAGATCATTTGTGTCTGATCCAAACCGGTTACCGGCATCATGACGTATTTGCTGGACAACAAATTATACCATTATGCCA